AATGATCTTAGCTAACAGTCACTTATACTGTAAACTCTTTTCGTGAAGCTAAAATTACTATCAGGTACTTTATACTAAAGATTCTAAGATGAGGGCCTGGCATGGTGGCCTAGCGGTTAGGGTCCTCGACTTGAACGCACCGGGGATCCCATATGGGCGCCAGTTCTAGTCCTGGCAGCTCCACTTCCCATCCAGCTCCCTGCTTGTGGCCTGGGAAAGCAGTCAAGGACGGCTTAAAGCTTTGGGACCCTGCACCCTTGTGGGAAACCTGGAGGAAATTTCTTGATTCCTGACTTCAGATCGGCACAGCACCGGCCATTGCGTTCACTTGGGGATTGAATCACTGGATGCAAGATCTTCCTCTGTCTCTCCTCCTCCTCTCTGTATATCTGATTTTGCAATAAAAAAATAAAATAAATCTTTGAAAAAATCCTCTAAGAATTAAAAAAGTTAAATTTTAGATTTAAAAAATCTCTACCTTAAATAAGGTCCGTTCTTTTATCTTTAGAAAATTATTTATTTTTATTTGAAATACAGAGTTAAAGAGATGGTAGGAGGGAGAGAGAGAGAGAAAGAGAGAGAGGGAGAGAGAGAAACGCAAAGATATCTGCTGGATCATTCCCCAATTAACCACCGAACAACCCATCCAAAGCCAGTAGCCTCTTCGCGGACTTCAGTCATTTTGGCGTCCCAAGGTTGGGCCATTCTCCACTGCTTTCCCAAGCCATAAGCAGGGAGTTGATGAGAAATGGAACAGCCAGGCCTCGAACCAGCACCCACGCAACAGGTGTCGCCAACTACACCACAGCGATACCCTCCACACATATTTTGAAATATCTGTGAGATGGCTGTTTTCTAAGTCAGAGACACGAGCCCACAGACTGTGGTTTAGGACTGCCAGGTGTGCCAGAAGACCTCAAACTCACCCGGGATCAAGAATTCCTGAAATCAACACCTCACACGCAATCCTGCACTCAGCAGGTTCCCAAATTGGAAGCTACTGTCACAGAGGAGCCAGAAAAACGCAGATAAGGGTTGATGCGCACAGCAGATGGACAAGCGAACGGGAATAACAGGAACGCGGGTGAACCAGACCTACTACAGACGGGCTGGCAAGGCAGGTGCCTCCCTGGGGCCCAGCAACCCTGCAGGCAGCCCAGAGCAGGGGCAGCTCCTGTGCGCCTCCGGGGGCCTGTGGGGCAGGCGGCCTGTGCGCCTGTGCGGGGTGCTGAGATCGACGGGGCCCGCGGCCGGCCTGTGCGGCGAGCTGGCGGCAGAGCACGCCAGTGCCAAGGCCGGGTGCGGGAGCACTGCACAGGCTGTGTGCAACAGGGTCCTCAGAGCTTGTTATCGGCAGACGTGCGCACACGGGCTCCCTGCGTGAAGAACCATAGGCACGCGCGGGATTCCAGCGTGGGAAATGCACGCGTGCCTACAATTCCAGCAGGAGAACCTCATGTTAGCACGGGATTGCACCGTGAGAGCTAGCCGCGTGCACAGTGTTCCAGAGTGAGAACTTGCATGCGTGTGTGCGTGGACAGAATTCGAGCGTGAAAACCCATACGCTCGCACGGGCTCCCAGTGTGGGAACCTGCGCGCGCACTGTGAAAACTAGAGGTGGGTTCCAGCAATGAGAACTTATGAGCGTGCACAGAATTCTAGCATGAGAACCTCCTGTTCACACAGGCTCTCAGCGTGGGAAGTTTAGCCCGCCTGCAAGGTTCCTTCGTGGGAAATGCGCGTGCACACGGCACTGGCGTGGGAACACAGCCAGAGCCAAGGGATTGGCCAGGAGACCCTTCTTTGGTTGTGTTTGCACAGTCCTCTTCCTCCTTGCCAACCTATGAAGTTTTTCCCGCTGGAGACACCGCCTAGGGTATGTCCAGCTTGAGACTTCCTGCGCCTGGGACAGCTCCAACAGAGCCACTCTCAACGCTTAACCTCCCCCAACCACCACGTTTTCACTCTGGGGTGTGGACACGGTCCAGTGGGAAATGCGTGCCCTGTGGCTGGGGTGGGGGAAGGGATTGGCTCAGGAGGTTAAGCAGCTGGAACATCTGCCGCATCTCCCGGGGTTCAAGGATGGGCTCGCAGCGCAGCAGCCTGCTAATGCACACGTTGGGTGTTGGATCAACGAGTCAGGTGCCTGCCACCTACCCACAAGGCCAACGCAGGACATTGGTGCCAGCCCCTGGTCCACCCTTGTGGGCATTTGGGGAAAGTGGGAGTAGAGCCATAGCTGGCTGTCTCTTCTTTCCCCCACTCCCCCTCGCCCCCTTTCCTTACTTCAATTCTTTTTTCAATATTTAATAGTAGGCCAGGACCAGAATCACTGATGGTTTAAAACCACAGCATTTCATGCCCGGCGCGGTAGCCTAGCAGCTGAAGTCCTCACCTTGAATGCGCTGGGACCCCACATGGGCACCTGGGACCCTGCACACATGTGGGAGACCCGGAGGAAGTTCCAGGCTCCTGGCTTCGGATCGGCGCAGCACAGGCTGTTGTGCTCACTTGGGAAGTGAATCATCGGACAGAAGATCTTCCTCTCTGTCTCTCCTCCTCTCTGTATATCTGACTTTGCATAAAAGTAAATAAATCTTTAAAAAAATTTTTATTAAAAAAAAAAAAAAGCATTTTAACAGGATCTAAACTCTGCTAAACTCACAGCCACCAGGCCAGGCTTCAACAAGAAATCTCTGGTGACATCCGGGGAACCTGTTACTGGAAGCAGACAACAGAAACTGCCAATGCAAAGACCATTGTGGATGCTGGGGTCACCTTGAGAAAACAGTTGACCCAAAGCCAGGAGCCAGGAGCCTCTTCTGGGTCACCCACATGTATGCAGGATCCCAGGGACCTGGGTTGTCCTCCATTGCTTTCCCAGGGAGCTGAGTCAGAAGTGGACCAGTCAGGACTCGAACTGGTGCCCACATGGGATGCTGGCACTACAGCACAATTAGTCTGTTAAGTCACCCTGGAATGTTTTATTAACTATTTTTCCTGGCTGTAACACTTGCCAGTATCCCTTGCATCCCCTGTTGGTACCCACCTGCCAAGCATTCTGAATCAGTGTGGACCCCCACACTCCATGGTCTGGTTCCACAAGCAGTTACCACTGGACTTTATGAGGCTTTACGAGGGTGGGGTCTTCCATGGTGTAGCCCTCTCCCCCAGGGCCTGCATTCCCCCGAGTTCTCATTAGGAAGCTCCTACTTCCCTCCAATGTGCCGGGATATTCATTACAGACTCTGCCGCATCCACTGATGCCTGCCCAGTGTTCCCCCCCAGGCCTCATGGAACGCTGCCTGTCAGCCAGGGCTCTGCGGCTTCCTCCTGGCCCCGGTGCAGAGGCGGCCACCTTTGCCTTCCAGTTGCTCAGCCGCCAGCCACACCACCAGCAGCCGCTGGGCATACCGCTGTGTGATTGATGATGGGCAACAGGTTGCCCCTCTGCCAAGGGCAGACTGTCATCAGATATTCAGATGTTACGGACAACCAAGTCGGACCCAATACCCACCATCACCACTTGGAAATGCTTACATGGTGCTTTCTTTCTTTCTTTAAGATTTATTTATTGTTACTGCAAAGTCAGATATAGAGAGGAGAGAGCGAGAGAAAGATCTTCTGTCCGATGATTCACTCCCCAAGTGGCCACAACAGCCGGAGCCGAGTCGACCTGAAGCCAGGAGCCAGAAACTTCTTCCAAGTCTCCCACATGGGGGCAAGGTCCCAAGGATTTGAGCCTTTTTCTGCTGCTTTCCCAGGCCACAGGGAGGGAGCTGGACTAGAAATAAAACAGCTAGGCCTGGAACCAATATCCATGTGGATGCCAGCACTGTAAGTAACAGCCTTACACCTTACACCAGCACCTAAAATAGATCTTTGAAAAATAATGTTTGTTCTGACAAAGTCCGGGATCTCCAATTCCACTGCACTCAGGACACTGGGCCACTATGCCCAGTGCATGTGGAGTATCAGGTGCCAGGGTCTTCATTGCAGGCCATGGCACCCTCTGTATCCCAGGCAGAAGGCTGGGCTGCCTGTGCCTGTCCTCACCTTGACACTGCCGGGGCACTGTGTAGAGTGATGCTGCCTGCTCTGCCGCGTGCAAGAAGGGCACGGGGAATCTGCCTAGCACAGCCCCAGGGAAGGGCAAGGCTTCAGTTGAAGCCCTTGCTGGCCCATTATGCTCTCTCTGTCACTCCTGCTGGCCCTCTTGAGCTCTGACTTTGCAAAACAACCCATCTGCTGGTTTTAACAACAGATGTTGGTTGTATCAAGCGGACTTCATGTTCCTCACCATCCCAGGAACTGCTTTATTGTTTGCAGAGATTCTGTGGGCACTGGAACCCCCCGATGGCTGGGCTGCATTCAGTGGGGCACAATGACAGCTAAGACAGCCCTAAAGAAGAGTTTGCAGGACTGGTATGGTGGCAGAGCAAGCTCATTCCCTGCCTGAAGCACCTGCATCCCTCGTGGGCACCAGTTTGTGTCCTGGCTGCTCCCTGCCTATGACCCCGGGGTTTGGTTCCTGACACCCATGTAGGAGAATCAGAGAAAGTCTTACTTCAGACCAGCTCAGCTCTGACCATTGTGCCCACTGTGCAGTGGACACATTTTCTGACTCTCTCATATCTGGCCTCTTCATTACTAGGCCACTGCGGACGACTCGAGAGAGGGCGTCTGGCTTGGTGCACCCACTCATGACCTTGGAGTTTAAACTGCAGAAGTACTGCTGGGGAGCACGCAGCGGCTCAAAGCTGACATGGTGGTTTGTTTGTAGAAGCTGTGTAGACTCACCGACTCCCCCCGGCACTCACCCACTGCTGCGGCCACTGTCCACACGTAGGCATACAAATGGGATAGAAGCCAAAGACAGCAAGAAACGCGACATAAGCACAGCCCCGACTAAGAGCTTTCCCTTGCAGTCAAGGTGGAGGACACAAACATTTCAACTTAAAAAAAGAGAAAAGATAAGATACCACCTCACAATCAATACATGTGATGAGCTATGTTTATTAACTCTGATCGGCTCACAAAGATGTCCCCACAAAATCAAGTCCTTAGAAAATCAATCTCTAAGATGATACAACAGGGTGAAGTATAAATAACTGCACCGGTTGGCTCTCCAGTTTTTATTTGCCATGTTCACTGCTGAGACAAGTCCCATCAGGTGGCTCAACCAGTACATCACAGTTCTGCAAAACCAGACACTCCAGGCTATCAGAATTCCCAGATTGTAACTTCTGTATCGAATTGTTCTTTTAAAAGGATGCTTTCAAAGGTCTGACTTCATTCCTGCTGTTGGGCATGGTATCTGGCCTGTCCCTAAGCAGTGGTTCAGGTAAGCTACGGTCCCTGGCTAACGGGGTTCTAGTGCTTCATGGCCAGTCTCCCCGCACCTGCAGGACAAGCCCCAGCTCTCAGCCCTTTTCTAGAGCTGAGGATCCGGGCCCTGCCAGCAGGTCTGAGCTGCTCAGAGGCAGGAACACGAGAGGACCGAGGAGAGCCAAGGAAGCGAAGCTCCGCAAGGGCGGCGGGGGGGAATCCAGCAGACATGGCTCATATCTGCTCTCCCACGTAGCGCTCCCACGGCACACGGGCCTTCCGTGACACCACAGACGCGCGCCACTCCAACAGCTCACAACTTTTCTAACCCTACAGAGAAGCGACAGGCCATCTCTCTCAGGGTACAAGCATCCAGCACACGTGCGCGTGCGTGTATATATACACACACACGCACAGCTGATCAAGACTGGATGGGAGCACAGCATCATTTCCAAGGGCACATGGTTCGCTGAAAGGTTATCACTCACAGGAAGCAAGACGCGACACAGGAAGCCCGGATCACTTCAGAACCCAGCTGAGTGCTGGACACCCGCTGAGGCACACAGCAAGGAGTGGCCAGGACACACCTCCCAGACATGGGACATGGCTGACTCTGCTCCCTCCTTACAAAGAACAAGACGCACTTGGGGAGATAGAGAAGGGTCGGTCCCACACCCCAACAAAGCCAGTGTTTTGAAAGCACGCCCCAGTAGCTTGAGAGTTCCTGTTTAACAACCAGATGATAACCTGGGACAGTGGCCGCGGCCTTCTCTCTGAGACTTGATCAAATGCGTAGGTCAAGTTGGAACAAATATATTTTATTCGGCCAATCCCATCACCCTTAGCTACTCTTACTGGTGTGGGGCAGGCAGGCAGGGGACGCAGTGCCACAGCCTCTGTGCCCAGCAGCCACATGGGAGGACGGGGAGAGCGGGAAGGACCAAAACACGTGCCTCATCCTCTTCTGAGCTTTGGGTTTTTAATGGACTTGGGAAACCTAAGTATTCCTCCAGACCTACTGGGGAGGTTCCTAAACAAACTTCCGCATTTGAATATGGGGAAAATAAATTACTTGGTATTAGTGATGAGATTCTGATTTATTTAAAAAAAGACTGCACACCAGTTTAGTAACTGGCTTAGAAGGGTGAGGACTTAGCTGGCTAGCTATCTGCACCCACTGCTTGCATTTTTAAAATGCAGGTAAAATATTAAAACAGAACAAGCCACTGGCCTCTGGGCACTGAGAGGTGAGTGCAGTGCCCCACCGGTGCTTGTGCTGCTGTAGCCTAGCAGCCTGGGCAGGGACGGAGCCAGGGCAATGGGGCCTCTGCCACCCCTGGAAAGAACACAGCTTGGCAGAACTCCAGAGTGCGGCCATGGGACATCAAAACCGGGGTGGGCAATGTCCACAGAGCCAGGACAGAGGAGCCAGGAGGGACCGCTGAGCTCCAGTCAAGATTCCCTCTTGGGCTGGGATGTGGGAGTCCGCCTTCTGCGGAGAAAAGCCCGCACTGACCGACCAGCCGGCCAGCCGTGGGTCTGAGAGAGGCGGGCAGGGAGAGGGGAGCTGCCGAGCCTCCACCTCCTGCCACGCCACCACACCCCACCCTTGTGGCTCACAGTATGGCTGCAGCCGGTAAGTGAGAAGAAAAGGCAGACTTCCACAAACACCAAAGCTGTTTACAAAACAGTCCCCTAGAATGCCCACTACACTAGGTGAATACCAATTGCTCTTCAGTTCTGACTGCCATCTAGCAGTGATGGCTGAGAGAACAGCCAACCTCTGGCCTGCCCTTCCCGCCCCTGGACCCCCAGAGCCCTCCTACCCCTGATATAATTTCTAGGGGCCCCCAACCACACCCCACCCCATCCCATCCTATCCTATCCCATCCCATCCCAGAATTCATTTGCTTAGCAACTGCACCGAGCCAACCCTGAAGACACATGATTGTTGGTTGGGTTCTGATGAAACAATCGATAATCCTAATGTGTGGGAGGTACAAGGCAGGGGCATGCTGGCACGCAGGCCTTGGACGAAGCTGCTGCCGGCCAGACCCCAAGTGGGGAGGGGCGGAGGCCTGGGCAGTGCAGCTCAGGTTGTGGGTAAACTGAGGTACGGAAGAACGTGACATCTCGGGCTGGTCTGTATGCCCACAGGTGTGGGCACCGCAAGACTCTTCTGGCTGCGGCTGTGTTGCCACTTCCAACAAGAAGATGGCTCTGGGCAGAGTCCCCGAAGAGCAGCCACTTATCTTCCTCTGAGGTACAAATCCGGCAGAGCTTACCCCCAGAGAGCCGGCGCCCACTGGTGTGCAGAAGTCAAAATCAAATGTTCAGAATCAAAAGGGGGTGGCGTGGCTGTGCCGCCAGTTCATCAGCAGTTGTATAGACAGATCAGAAAACTAGCATTTAGTATAAAAACTGTCTTTCAAAGGGCGTCGTTTCCTATCCTCCTGCAGACATCATAATTCTTCATGATTCTGAAGTCCTATGGGAAAAGAGAACCGCAGGCAAGAAAACAGGTTACCCAGGCACCACAGCCCGGGTGCCCACACTTCACGGCGGCAGCCCACTGTTTGGACCCCCATTCCCATTTCAGCCTTTGAAAAACGTTTGGTTTGGGCCCAGTGCAATGGCTCAGTGGCTAAATCCTCCTCTCGTATCCACTGGGACCCCATATGGGCACCAGTTTGTGTCCTGGCTGCTCTACTTCCCATCCAGCTTCCTGCCTGTGGCTTGGGAAATCAATGGAGGACAAGCCAAAGCCTTGGGACCTTGCAGCCACGCGGGAGACCCCAGAAGAAGTTCCTGGCTTCAGCTCAGCTCAGCTCCAGCTGTTACAATCACTTGGGGAGTGAACCAGTTGATGAAAGATGTTTCTTTCTGTCTTTCCTCTCTGCCTTTCTATTGAAAACAATACATCTTGAAAAAAAAAATTTTTTTTTGGTTTGGTGTTTTCAGGCTTAGAATCTTACTTCAAAAACTAAAGAATTAGTCAATTGAACAGAGAGTGACAGGGATTAAAAACCTACCCTCTGTTTGCTCCATAAAAATGCCCTCGAGAGCTGGGATGGGGCTAGGCCAGCGGGGAGCTGGGAACACAACGCAGGTCTCGCCCAGGGGGCCAGCCCACCTACCTGCGAGCCACCACACCACAGCTGTGCTGCGGGCTGCCCTTGGGCGAGAGGTTGGGATCAGGAGCAGAGCGGGGACTGCAAACTGACAGAGATGCAGGTGTCTCAACCGGCCTCCTCACTGCGACCCTGGACGCACTACCTGCTCTTATATGTTTTAAAGGCAAAAACCTAAATGGAGGAGACGGCTTTCTATTTCCAGACACTGAAGCATCCTGCAACCTGCAGCCCCAGCTGGCTGCTTTCACGGGAGCAACATCCCCTGGAGCGACCATGCCTGTGGCTCCAGTTGGGAGTCTGTTCCTCACTTCTCAGCCGGCAAACCATCTCCTTGGCCTCACGGTAGCTCATCCCTGGGTGTTTAAATGGCTTTCAATGCTTCTGACATATATATAATAGTAAAACAAGTGTCTACATGCATATAACTCTTTATCAAGCACTCATTTTGTTTTTTAAGGATAAATCTGTAGAAGAGGAACTTCTGAGGTTATAAACATTTTAAAGACTCTTCTTGGCAGACAGGTGAAATCATTTAAAAACTCAATTGTTATGAACAACTTGCTAATTATTGAGTAGACTGTTTAGTTGAAAGAGTTACAGAGTGGGACAGAGACTGTCCATCCTCTGGTCACTCAGGAGCCCAGGGATTCCCATCTGGGATTCCCAGGTGTGCAGGGGCCCAAGCACTGGGGTCATCCTCCACTGGCTTCCCAGCTACATCCGCAGGGAGCTGGATCAGAAGTGGAGCAGCCAGGACTCGAACAGGAGCCCATAAGGGTTGCCGGCAGTGCCAAGCGGCAATGTGACCAGCGTGCCGGCAGTGCCAAGCGGCAATGTGACCAGCGTGCCGGCACTGCCAAGCGGCAATGTGACCAGCGTGCCAGCACCAGTCCCAGACGTGCTGCTCTTACACAGTGTTAGCCCGGTGTCATGACAACAGCCCCATCACCTTCTCCTCCAAAATGGCATCGCCGACATGTCTGCTTTTCTCTGTACAGCCGAGCCACACTCTAGGCCGTGAGTGACTGTGCCCTGGAGGGCTGACCTGTTACTCACGCTTTCCTCTTACTGAGCCGGGTGGCCACACTCTGCTCCCCTATTTCAGGAATTCTTTAGATTTCAATAAATTTGAATTCACTTTTATGGTGAGCATAGAATTTCCTAGCTGAGATATTTAACCTGGTATTAAGAATCCATGTGTTGCCTTAATTTTTTTGGAAAGAGTTTCAAGGACAACAAGGCTCAAAATCCAGAGCACAGCTTGTTAGTACGAAGTCCGTTCGTAGGCTACTAGTGTTTTCAAGTGCCCACTACTGTGAGCTCTACACAGTAGGAACAGACCAGAAGACTTAGGTCTTTTCTGTCCTTAGCTTAAATGCAATGCACTTCACGCCCATCCCAGTGTGTGCTGGGGGAAGGACTCTTCCCAGTCAATACAGACTTTGTCGTGGTCTCAGCACACCTGCCCCCCAGTGCCTCGACAGTTTTACTGACAAACCTGAAAACCCGTGAACCGTAAGAACCACTACAATTAAGGTGCTCCTTCTCCCTCCCAGCGCAACAGGGGAAGCGGAGTCACGGAGGGAAAGGAGCCGACACTGGCGCAGACCAGCAGGGTCAGCTTCCAGACGGAGCGTTAGCCTCCTGTGTCTCTGCTCCTTATTCTGCCGCAAATAGAACCCGTGACAGTGAACAAACGCTCCCCACGGGTGGGGGGAGGGCGCGCCTACCTTCTTGGGGCTGCTCAGGCGTCTCTTCCTGGTACAGGGTTCCTGCCTCCTTCTCCTCCTGGAAGCGCACCTGCAGCTGCTTGATTTCCTGATCGTAGTCCTGCCACTCGGGGACGATCCGCACGGCTGCTTGCAGCTTGGGCTCCTTGGTCATGGGATTGTTGCACTGGGACAAGCAGAGGAACACACACCTCAGCGGGACAGAAGCAAGGGCATGCTACGTGGAATTCAAAGGCGTTCCTGGTCCTTGGGAAGCGAGCCCTAACTGCACAGAAAGGACAATGACGAGGGAGCGAGTGATGGGCGAGCAGGAGCACCAGGACGGCGGGGAGGACAAGCCCCCACACCCTGGGGAAGTTACGCAGCAGGCGGGGGTAGCGAGGTCGACTGGAGGCAGTGGGAACAGTCCCATCAGGCCCTGCTGGGCTCCCTGCTGCAGGCACAAAAGCCAGTTCAGACCTACTGGAAGATGCTCCACAGCCCATGGGCCAGTCCCTGAGGTGGGTGAGGTAAACGAGATGGCTGTGGGTCACTCTTAATCTGTGCAGCTGTCTCTGCGGAGGAGCGACATGGGTCACTCACCAAATCAATTGTCTTTGCCTTTTTCTTAGAGGCGTCATCACACCACGTTTCACACCAAAGCCATTCTTGAGGAAGTGATTTAATTGGCACCTGATGGATCATGTTGTTCGGCAAATCCTGTTTGGCCAAGGAAATGAAACATGTGGAACTAATGTTCTGGGAGAGGTTTTAAATAACGGCACAGTAAACTGGTGATGTTAGCTGCTCCTGGCAAACCACAGCCCACCAAGGGTGCTCAGCCCTGAAACGGCCCTCGCCAAAAGCTTAAAAGAAGTGAGAAAATTCATGTACAGAGTTGTCTGAAACCTCAAAATTTAGACAAAACACTGGACCATGATAAGCAACAAACATCTGTGAAAAGCGCAGAACTAGTTGCACTCAAACATCTGTAAGAGCGATGATAAGAAAAATATTCCTGTTGACTGCTGAGACAACTGAACACAAGGATCTTCAACAACAATTCATGGAAATGCATTCCATGAAAAACCAGGCCACGCAGTGGCAGTAATGTTGCGGCAAGTACATGTCAGGGTCCAGAAGGGGAAAAAAAAATGGAGCAGAAAAATATCATGAACACAATAAAAGAACAACTTATGCTAAGTATATGTAACTCCACAATTTGCAGGCATTGATATAGTCAGCAAAAGATGTAAGGAAAAACTGGACAGAATTACACGACACAGATTTCATAAGATGAAAAAAGATTTCTAACAACTCTCCAGTAATTAAAAGAAGCAGACCAAAAAAAAACAAGAAGCAGAAGAAGAAAAGAAAAAGTATAACAACATATTGCTAGGCATGACCCAAGTAGAGCAGCAGGGATTCGAGCTGGTGCCCATACGGGATGCCAGTGCTGCGAGCGGTGGCTTAACCTGTTACAGCACAATGGCAGTTTCTGATTTTACTTTTAAAGACTTCTTTAGTTGAAATGCAAGATAACAGGGAGGGAGACAGAGAGAGGTGTCTCCTATCCGCTAGTTTCATCCTCAGATAGCTGCAACAGTGAGAGCTGGGCCAGGCTGCAATCAGGAGCCAGGAGCCCCACCAATGTCTCCAACATGGGTGGCAGGCACATCCACTGTTGCAATTGCAGGAAACTGAATGGGAAGTAAGAGTCAGCACACAAATCAGCACTCGGGTATGGGATGTTGCTATTTGTGCAGGCAGAGACCTACCCCACAGTGCCACAACGCTGACCCCCAGATGATTTTAATCAAAGAAGCAAGCTAGGAATAAGAGGAATAATAAGAGGAATTTCTTTAGTCTGAGTAAGAGGTATGTACAAATTCTACAGCGGATGGAGATCTCTGTCTCTCCTTCTCTCTGCAACTTTGCCTTTCAAATAAAGTAAATAATTTTTTTTTTTTAAAGTCTCTTGGGCCTGGTGCAATGGTGTAGTGGTTAAGGTCCCATATGGACGCTAGTTCTAATCCCGGCAGCTCCACTTCCCATCCAGCTCCCTGCCTGTGGCCTGGGAAAGCAGTCGAGGACAGAGCAAAGCTTTGGGACCCAGCACTGTGTGGGAGACCCGGAATAGGCTCCTGGCTTCGGATTGGCTCAGCTTCAGCCATTGCGGCCGCTTGGGGAATGAATCATCGGACGGAAGATCTTCCTCTCTGTCTCACCTCTCTGTATATCCGCCTTTCCAATAAAAAATAAAATAAATCTTTAAAAAAGAAAAACCTCTCTTACACTAGCAAACACACACCCATTTCCATAAAGAAACAAGACTTCCGGAGACTACCATGCTTCATTTTCCGACACAACATTGTATCTTTGTTGCTGCAAGGTGCTAACCATGAAGAATGGCCACTTACTTGATCAAGATTTGAAAGGCTGTTGGGATCCTGGCTGAGCCCTTGGTACTGTCCCCTGAGTCTGTCACCGGCAGCTATTTTCCTAAACTTCTTCAGGTCCACGACATACAGTGCACTGAACGGGGAAGACACATTTGTTATGAGCAGTCATGGGTCATGGCAGAAAAAGCTAACTCCGCCACGGCACGCAACAGGCCACCTGCCAAGTGCTCTGGCTTGTCTTGGAGAAGTTGAGACGTAGCCCCACAGCAGCTCACGGCCATGCAGGACTTCAAAGGTGTTTAAGAGGTTACTGCAAAATCCATACTCTGCCACCAGAAGCTAACATTTGTCACTGCTCCTTATTGAACTGTACTCCAAAGGACAATGCAGTGCAACAAATGCAGTGGATTCAGCCGCAAAAAAAAAATAACTATTAGTCAAAGTTGTGGTAGAAAAACCCAGTGTTATCAATTCTTTTTGACAGGGAATATAAATGTGACACTGAAGTCCCCGATCGCCAACACTTCTGCTTGTAGGAAGGTACTTCAAAAGCTCTGTGGCAGATTTGGCCCAGCAATCGCTTCTCAGCCTTTTGGCTGAGATCAGGTGTAGATTTGGCCCAGCAGCTCAGATTCCGTAGCCCACACTGGAGTCCCCAGGCTTCATCCCTGACTCCACTCCCCAACACTGTGGAAACTGGAAGGCAGCAGGTGATGGAGCAAGACGCTGGGCTCCCCCTACCCACCTGGGAGACGTGGGTTACATTCCTAGCTGCTGGCTTAGGCCCCGAATTGGGGTCACCGTGGGCATTTGAAGACTGAACAATAGACGGAATACCCAGCATCTCTGACCTCAAAATCAGTAACAGCTTTTTTTTTTTTTAAGAAAATATGAGGGTCCAGTGTGGTAGCCTAGCGGCTAAAGTTCTCGCCTTGAACGTTTCCGGATCCCCTATGGGTAATGGTTTGTGTCCCAGCTGCTCCACAGTAAAAAAGCAGTAAAGGATGGTCCAAAGCCTTGGGACTCTGCACCTGGCTTCAGACTGGCTCAGCTCTGGCTGTTATGGCCACTTTGGGGAGTAAACCAGCCAATGGAGGATCTTTCTCTTTGTCTCTCCTTTTCTCTGTAAATCTCACTTTTCAATAAAAAATAAATGTTTCTGACAAAAAGAAAAGTTTATTCTGGTGCCAAAAATAATGCTCTAAATAAACATGAAAAATATATATTATGAAGAAAAAAAAAAAAAGCAACTTAGGCATAAATTTCCAAAAAAAAAAAAAGGCATAAAAATCAACTTGTAATTTATTACTTGAAAGGCAAAGTTATGGAGAGAGAAAGACAGATTTTCCATCTGCTGGTTTATTCCCCAAATGGCCACAATGGCTGGAGCTATGCCAGCCTGAAGCCAAGAGCCAGGGACTTCTTGAAGGCCTCCCACATGGGTGCAGGGACCCAAGCACTTGCAACATCTTCTGCTGCTTTTCCAGATACATCAGCAGGGAGCTGGATAGGAAATGGAGCAGATGGATTTTGGACCGGCACCCATATGGGATGCCAGTGTGGCAGATGCTGGCTTGACTAGCTATGCCACCAGGTCGGCCCCATGAATTCGCAGTTTCAGCCCCAGGCTTCCAGGAACACTTCCTAGTGCCCTCCTGCATTCCACCAGTCTCCTTACTTCCAAATCATTCAGAGCATGCCTTTCCCAGAGAAGAGGAGTGAGTGCTCACGAGAAACATAAACAAACACATCCACTATGTGACCTGAGTTTCACTTCCAGGAACAGACCTAAAAAACACACTTGAACTGCATATAACTAACTACCACCGTGTATTCGATAGATAACATATTACAAATCATTATAAATAATACTCACATACTAGAATACTAAGCAATTGTAAAAAGCAACACAAGTCCTTCCCCATATATTGATATTCCATGCGTTTAGACACTAAGAAAAAATAATAGCAAATCAATGTAAATAGCATGCTACATTCTGAGCAAAAAAGAACATGCACTCATAGCTGCTTATGCAAGGACAGACCGTAAATAAACCAGAGAATACACCTGATACAGGGGTGAGACTGAGTAGAAGCAAGGTAGGACTAGGATCTTTTTCTCCCCGTATATGATATTTTGGATGGGATATAGGTATCTTAACAGCGGGGCTAAATGCCTACCGCAAAACCCAAACTTAACATTTTAAAATACAATTTTTTTACTTTTGACTAACATAATGTATTACTTATTCACAGTGTAAACATCTCAAAAGTTAAGACAGCACAGCATCATGAGGCATACCCCTTTCTCAGTACCTGATGTGATATTTTCGCCCAGCTAAATGACTGGCCCAGTACCCCGACTTCCAGAACCTGTAGCCATCCATTTCTCTTCGACTGTCACAGAAAGGAGTGTAGCCGTAAGGGGCACCGTCCAAATTGAAATCCCTCAACTCCTTCAGATCTGTCCGCACAATCTGGAGGAAAGAACAGCACAAGGCATTGGTGAGCAGCCATGCAGAGAGCTCCGGGGCAGCAGCTCCCTTCAGGCAGCACGGTGGGAAAGAAGGCCAGCCCAGCCTGGATCCCCCGCACAGCTGGTTCTGCCGACTAACAAGTAAAACCTAGCCTAGGAGGAAGTTCAATGTCCTTGTTTGCAAATGGGAATGACAGTACTCCTGTCACAGGGTCACAGAGTTGGATCATGTAAGTGAACAGGGGAAACAGTGGCTATGTACTCAACCAAGATTAGATGTGGACATACCGGAAGCAGGAAAGGATGCTTCCTGGTTGAGTATATAATGCTATGATAATTTTGTTACGATAATGAAAATGACAAATACGCAATACAAAATTAAAGTGATCCTATCTTGAGTGATGTTCTTCCTTATGTTTTTACAAAAAAAACTTACTTTGAAAGGCACAGTGAAAAAAATCTGTTGAGTCACTCTCTAAGTGGCTGCAATGACCAGGGCTGAGTCAGCCCGAAGCCAGGATGCAGGAACTCTGTGTCTCCCACATGCGTGGCAGCAGCCCGGATACAGGGGCCATCTTCTGCTGCCTTCACAGGCACATGAGCAGAAGGTCAGAAGCAGAGCAGCCAGAACTCTGACGGCGCCTCTGAAATGGGATGCTGATGCTGCGGGCAACAGCTTAACCTGCTCTGCGACTACGCTGGTGCCTATATTTTCAAACTGGTCATTTCCACAAATGGAAAAAATGCCTTGTGAAAAAAAAAAGAACGGGAAAGCTGCTACCTTTATTACAACTAGGAAAACCCAGCCCATTTCAGAGCTCACCTGATCAGCATCCACAAACAGGAATTTGTCGACCGCGAGTGGGAAGAGCACATCCAGGAAGAGGATCTTGTAACCCCAGATGATGCGCTGCTTCTCCGTCTGCTGGTGAAGCCACCTGGGCCATTTGTACTGCACAAGTTCATACTGGAAATTGTACTTGCGTGCCATGTAAGGGATAAACTCCTATTTTGAGATATGGGGAACAAAACAAACAACGATTTGCTCTCATTAAGAAAACTGGCATCGTAATGTAAGGCAATCCCCACAATTAAGACCCATGTCAAATGCAGCCACCAAAAGAACTGGCACGGGAAATGATACAAGTCTTTCTACGCAAAAGCTTTTAGATGTATAGCTCTCTGTGTGTCACTTCCAAGTCCATTTAACCATTTTTGAGTCTGATTATGAGACGTCCTCAAGGCTAGGGTCAGTCCAAGAAACAACATGGCAAAGTCAAAGTTCTAGACAAATTTGATGCCAATAATGAGTATGGCTTTCAGATTCTAATACAAGCACCTTCAGGGAACTGGCAATGTATCAGTCACCTGGCAGATTTGTTCATGAATTCATTAAGAGTTGTTTACTAAATGTTATGGGGCGGAGGGAGAATACACAGAAATCACTGCAGATGACAAATTCTGGCTGACGTAAATGAAGCCACAGTCTCTGCAAGGCTGTTGCTCTTGTTTTACGTGGATGAATCATTACATCGCCAGGAGTTAGTGGTTCACGATCAAACCAGTCACTCTCCTCAACGAAAGCTGGCACTGAGTTTTCTAAACGAAGGGAACATTACTCCATCAAAAATTCGCTTCAAAAACAAACAAAAAACAATACAGATGATCTCTCTTCACCCTATCCAAGCTTCAAACAGGTCAGTAATTTTGGCTTGGTTTTACAATGACTGTTATCATAAAACAAACTGGAAGCATAACCAACATAGATATAGGCAATAAAATTAAGGCAAATGAACAAACAGAAAGCAGCAAGTACCTACGTATCTATCACACACACACACACAAAAAACAAAACAACAACAACAACAAAAAACCAAACCTCTCCTTAATGCCATTGTGTTCCCTGAGAAACCAACCTTGAACGTAGGGGACAGATAATTCTTCAGGAACCAGAACTTCACAGGAGTCTTGGTGTTCTTCAGCACGGACAGCATCATTATACTGCCAAGTGAAAAGCAGATGGTAACAAATCCTGCTGGGCATTACTGTCAGCAGTAAATACGGTCAACGCAACAAGCACAACGTCAAGGCTGAGCCAAAGGACGGCTCGACTAGGCGGGGCCCTTACTTCTGTTCAATCAGGTGTCGGTGAATGGGACAGAAGGGGCCTTTATCACCCATAAATAATTCTGTTGTGAAATCTGCTTTTTCTTCCCCCAAAGATTTTCTTTTAAAGATTTATTTATTTTTATTGGGAAGGTAGATTAGATTTACAGAGAAGAGAGAAAGGTTTTCCAAAAGGCCATAACGGCCAGAGCTGAGCTTTCCCAGTCTCCCACGCAGACGCATGGTCCTGCGGCTTTGGGCCATCCTCTACTGTTTCCCCAGGCCAAAGGCAGGCAGCTGGAACAGAAGTGGAGCACATGGGACACAAATGGTCATCCACATGGGACCCTGGCACTTGGAATATGAGGATTTAGCCACGGAGCTATCGCACCAGACTCCCAAAGATTTTTTTTTAGAACAAGATTTATTTATTGGGCCCAGCATGGTGACCTAACAGCTAAAGTGCTCGCCTTGAATGCATCGAGATCCCATATGGACACCGGTTCGAATCCCTTCAAGTCCCGCTTCCCATCCAGCTCCCTGCTTGTGGCCTGGGAAAGCAGTAGAGGACAGCCCAAAGCCTTGGGACCCTGTGCCCGCGTGGGAGACCCAGAGGAGGTTCCTGACTTCCGGATTTGGATCAGTGCAGCTCTGGCCATTGCAGTCTCTTGGGGAATGAATCATCGGATGGAAGAGCTTCTTGTCTATCTCTCCTCCTCTCTCTATATATTTGACTTTCCAACAAAAATAAATAAACCTTAAAAAAAAAAAGATTCATTTATTTATTTAATTTGAAAGGCAGAATTAAAGAGAAGAGGCGAGGCAGAGAGAATCTTACAGCTGCTGGTTTACGCTCCAAATGGGCACAAAGGCCTAGGGCTGGGCTAGGCTGAAACCAGGAGCCTGGGCCATCTTCAGGGTCTCCCACATGGCAGGGCCCCAAGTGCACACGCCATCTTCTACTGCTTGCCCTGGTGTGCTAGCAGAGCTGCGTCAGCAGTGAACCCGGCAGGACTTGAACTGGCACCCATATGGGATGCCAGTTTTGCCGGCAGAAAATCAGCTTGCTACAATTAATGCCAGCCCACAAAAGACTTTTATATTTATTTGAAAGGTAGAGCGGCAGAGAGGGAGACAGAGACAGGGATTCTCTATCTGCTGATTTTCACTTCCCAAATGCCCACAACAGCCAGGACTGGGCCAAGCTGACCCTAGGAGCAAGAAACTCCATTCAAGACTCCCATATGAGTGGCAGGAATTCAAGCACCTGGACCATCACCTGCTCATCCAGAGTCATCATCCGACTTGAAGTGGTACTTGTTTCAGGGATGCAGGTGTGCCATGAGGCAGCTTAACCCACTACACCACAACGCTCGACTCACTCGTTCCTTTATCTAGACTACAGTACAAAATGCTGGAGGTTGTACGTAACCACCCACCCCAAGCCACGTACTGAGGAACGGGCATGTAAGTTTACTGCCTCCTACTGCGTGGACAAAGAGGCCTGGTAGAGAGAGCTAGCAGAGGCGAAGGTACAAGCTCAGGATTCTCCCCTATGAAAACAAACCAAAAAAGTGTTGAAATGAAGGGATCTAATTAAGTCCAGTAATTACTACTGTCATTATGTTAGGCTAAATATTATTCTTGGAAACAGGAGAGCTAAAAGGAACAAAGTGGCATTTTGATTATTGTTTCTCTTATTAGCATTGTAGCGAAGAGTGAAAAGTCACTATAATGGAGATGAGAAGAACTGACTCCAGGCAAAAACATCCCTCGGGGGAGTGCAGAGGGGTTAGGCACCGTGTGGGAAGTCCTGGGGGGGCCAGCCCAAGTGCCGGGAACGGCACTTCTGAACCAGCTTTCGGCCAGCACATCATGGGGACAGCAGGACATGGAATTCCTGACCCCTGGCCTCAGCTTCACCCAGCCTCAGCTGCTGTGGGCATTCGGGAAGGGAAGCAGCAGCTGGGATACCTGTCTTTCCCCCTTCCAACTACACAGGAATAAATAAACAAACACTGAAAATAAATGGTGTCTCCTCAGAGTTGAGCCTTCCTAGCACCACAAGGCCCTCACATGTGCCTTCCCCTTGACTGCCAGCACGTCACCCAGCCCAAGCGCGCGGCTCCTGGCTCCACCTGTGAGAATGCAGGCCAGGCCCTCATGCTCTGGGCCTCAGTCTGTGTGAGTCAGGAACGTCCTTACATAAAGACTGAATCTCCTGGCTCTAAAGCCCCCAAGAAGCAGCAGGAGACAGTGAAGGGGGCCACAGGTCTGCCTGCTCTCTACTTTCTCATTTTCCCTAATTTTAAACAATGTCTGGGGGGAGGAGACCCCATCCACAACACGTGCGTGGCGACAGCAAAGGTCTGTATCCTCGAAATACACACACAGAGCACGCACTGCACAGCTCAACTCCCTGGCATTGAACAGACAAAAAGAGACCCATCAGGCAAGCCAGGCACCACGCCCACACAGGTTCAAGCATACACCACAGGCACAGAGGGCAGAATTCCACAAAACCTTTTCTCTCTACGAAGGAGCTGTGTGACAAAATCATTCAAGCACACTGAAGAGATCAACAAGACTAACCGAAGAAATCTTTCATAGAGGTGACCGGACGCAACAGAGAAAATATTAATTATGTCGTCTTTATCTGGTTTCACATCCTCCGTCTTCTGTCCTCCTGTGAAGCCCCTGTGGTAACAAAGGTGAGAGTAAGGCGGCATGAAAAGCAGGTAGAGGCAGCGCTTTCAGGAGCAGGCCAGAGATGCTGCTCGCCTCTTCCCACCCTGCTTGGGGGGATGCAGCCGTAGCTGGCTTTGAGACCCTTATGCACCGTGAGGGCCCGGGCCGGCAGCACCGTGCCCAGAGATGACGACACTCACGCCGAGGCATTGTGCTCTTTTGGGAATCGATACTATACACAGTATGTACAACGGGGAAGTCGGGAACAGAAGTCGCTTCACCGCGAGGAGAGAGCAGCCGCCTTAGGCAGCCGCGGGTGAAAGCACTCATCTACTTCAAACGTAAGTGGGAGATTTGCTGTACAAAAGCAGAAGGCTAAAAGCCTAGGCAGCATCATTATATTAAAAAGGAGAAGACAATACTGAGATATGTCTCAAACTTCCCTTAAAAACGTGGCTTCTCTTTATGCTGCCAATTTACCATTTGAAGGAGTCCCAAAATCCAGATTCATTCTCACTTGTCCCATCGCTCAGCAGGTCTTCGTTCACCATGTCCGCCTTCTTCTGAACCTGCAATCACATGTCATGGGCTCATTCCCCCACGTAGGTCTAACAGGCAAGTCAGACGCACACTGCGCATGCTGCTGACACAAGGCACTGTCACACAATCCGACCCAGGCCCCGGACACTGTCAGCAGAATGTTCCCATCGGAACTTCAGGCCAAGAGTTACAACCTCTTCATGAGACAGCAGCCATCTACAACTTGCCAAGTAGATGGATGAAGGACATGAAATTAAACTGTGAGTTAAACCAGAAGCGCTGAGAGGAAGGAAGCACTTCGGGTCAGAATCTGAAGGATGTCCTGGCACCGACACAGGCTCACTGCTGAAAGCACAGGAACCATTTTCCGCTCACCCTAGCATGGCCGACTTCGGGGTTTATTATGTATAAGCACCATTTATCCTGCAGTACATTTTATGTGAATTTATGGCACTCTAAAAACTTGCAAATGCTAAGAAAAAGCCAAAGTGAGCAGAAATCAAAGAAGACTATCATTTCATTACTTATTTGGAGAGTAACTAGCTCCACAACACTGTGAACTGAGAGCACTGCACATGAAACGGGACTTCTTCCGGCTGAGGTCCTCTGCAGGTGTGACCTCCAAGTTCCAGAAAGCCACGGGCATCCAAGGAGACACTCAGAGCGGCACTCCTGTAACTGCAATGGTAAGCTCCAAAGGGAACCGGGGGCTGCGTTCAAGATCTGAGTCTACACAGTGACTGCCTAATGACAAAAAGCGGCTAAGTTTGCCAGCAGTAAGCAAGTGAGTGCCTCGGGGTAACAAACTCACCTTCACTTTAATAATTTTACTTTTGAAGTTGTTGAGGATGACGACAACCTCATCAGCGTCAGGAGGAGAATCGGTACCATCGTGGCTTGGAGAGAAAAACAGGAGACATACTACAAATCCCAGTTCTCGCAAGGCAGTCAAGAGGCACGACAACTGCCATGCTTGTTCACCTTCCTCCTGGTAAAGGATGCTTTCAGAACCAAACATTGTTTGCCACCCGGAGGAAGCCACTTGAAGCTTCACGGAAGCACTTGTCCCAATCCTGAATTTCACGGGAAGTGGGTGCCTAAGTTCCCTAAGAGATCCTTGTCAAGTGATCCATCAGAGTGGGATGCTCTCAGGCATGGGACACCCCTAACAAACACTGAACAACCGTGCAGGCCCTCAGATCTGAGCCAGGCGAGGTGCCTTCCATGAAGGACAGTGATGGGGAAGGATCTCTGCGACCTCCCTGGAACCACAACACATCTACTCTTCACTGGGCGGGGCACTGTGAAGGAATCTACTGTCCCCTTCTGCCTAGAGACACACAGTCAGCCGGGGCTGACCCTCAGCTCTATGTGCAGGCAGACCGGGGCAGAGGCAGGAAACTCACAAATAACACTTCCCCATCACACACCAGGGTCCAAAGTCACAGGAATAATACGAGTTCTCTGCATCTGCTGTCATCCAGCAAAACAGAGTTCTCAGGCAAGAGTAAGATTCTAACAGGGGCGGAACCCAAAGTAACACAAACTCCCAAGACTGGCAAGCACAGGAGGACAGGAACCAGAGACATTAAACGTGGGAGCATCAGCCCACGCTAAGGGAAGGGGGAAGACTGGGGAGCAAGGGCACAAAGAGAGGTTAGAGGCAAAATGTGGAGAAATGTCTCCTGTTTACCATGCCGATGCTGTTATGGTGCAAAATCCAATAGAAAAACGATCTCTGGCGCCTTGCTTTCGTGCAGGACAGGAGCAAAGGAAAGGACACACAAAGCAGTGTCTCAAACCATCTCCAATGAGAAGCGTTCCCCAGAAAATTCCCAGGGAAGACCTCACACGGCTTAAAACTAACTTACACCGTGGTGATCAGAACTGACACTGAACTTCAGCTGATAAGCACGTGTAGTAAACTGGCTCCTGCTGGCAAGTTTTACAAAGAATTTGTCAAGATCCTGCAGACCAACCATAAAGCTTCCAGATCAAGACACGTACTTTCAGTAGACAAGTTTGCTTTTTTCCTTTTTTTCCCCCAAAATTAAACTTTTCACCTGCCTATGGTCTGCATTACAGTGAATACATGATTTCATTCCAGCCATGCAAAGGAGTCACTGAAGAATAAAGCCTGGCAACTCAAGGGTCCTTTAGAAAAATGCATGAAAAATGGAATCGAGAGATCAGTTCCTATGGGCGTTAAAATGCAATTATGAAAAAACTACGCATGGATTTCACATCTTATTTCTATCTCTCATGATCCAATTTTACCATAATAAATATTCTGTATTTGATTTACTGGAAAAACACTGCCTCGTTCCACACAGATTTATGAAGCCGTGTTCCTCAGCTACCCAACAGGATTGCTTTCAATTAGATCTGATCCTAAGTTCGAAAGGTCCTGAAGCAATGCACCCGCAGCTCGCGCCCCTACCTGTAGATCCTGTAGATATCCTCCGAGCGCCCCTTCCGCAGCCTGAGGAACCAGGCTCCCGGCTTGGCTTTCAGCTGGAAATAGCCCTGCCACAAGAAAAGCCAGATGTTAGGTCTCTTCAAAACATCGAAATGCTGTTTTCCGAGGAACAGCGCCTTCATTTTCAGTCAAAAACAAAAGTTTGGTGTATTCATGTATCCTGGAAATTCTAGCAAAGCACACGCCAATCAAATCAAGAAGTCCGCCTACCAGCGAAGAATTAAAGAGGGGCAGGTGTTGGGGAACAGCATAAGCCACTGCTCAGCACCCCAGGACCTCTATGTATGGCCTGGGATAATCACGTCCCGGCTGCACTGCCTCAGATCCAGCCTTCCCTGCTGCACCCCAAGAGGCAGCAGCTGACTGCTCAAGTGCTGGGACCCCTGCCGCCCACGTGGGAGACTGGGATGGAATTATGGGCTCCTAGCTTTGGCCTGCTGCAGCCCTGCGTATTTTAGGTATCTGAGAAGCAAATCTGTAGACAGGATAGAAGATATCTCTCCCACACCTCTCTGTTACACTCTGCCTTCCAAAGTAATAACAATACATAAATAGACATTCAAAAAGAATCTAGGTGTGCTTCATGAATCAGCTATGAAGCTGCAGAGCAGAAAAACAAAGCTTTTAGATCAGGAGCAATTAATTTCTAACAGGTCCATTCAGTTAGAGTAGACATTACATTATTTTTGGGTTAACTTAATTTTGATCCACAAATTGAACTGAATTAGCGATTTTTAAAAATGAATCAAATCAATTATGAATTTTTAATCTCACGTTATGGTTCAGCATGCCAACTGTTTCACGATAAACTATGGTATGCAAATGACCACAATACCATCCGATGAAGTGCTTATTTACCAGATTGGCCATGACAATGGTATCCACGACGACAGGATTGGCTGAAGTTCCTAATGTAAACTGCAGTCCTCGGGGGGGTTGACCTGTGGTGACGTCATAGCAATGACCTTCCAGTAACAGGTACTCCAGCTCATACTCAGCAGCTACTATGCTGTCCACCTGCAATATTGAGATGGAATTACTTGAAGACTCTGCACCAACACAGATGCATCTGAGAAGCACTCCACAAAATGAATAAAGCAGACAGAAAAGACACATATACCATATACTTCAAGAATTTTCAGGTCTAGTATGGTAGCCTAATGGATCTTGCATGTGATGGGATCCCATATGGGCACCGGTTCTAATCCCGGCAGCTCCACTTCCCATCCAGCTCCCTGCTTGTAGCCTGGGAAAGCAGTCGAGGACAGCCCAAAGCTTTGGGACCCTGTGCCCATGTGGGAGACCTAGAAGAGGCTCTTGGCTTTGGATCAGCTGTTTTGGCCGTTGTGGCCATCTGGGGAGTAAATCAGCAGACCAAAGACTTTTTGACCTTTCTTTCTGTCTCTCCTTCTCTTAAATCTGAATTACCAATAAAAATAAATAAATCTTTTTTTTAAAAAAAAAGAGAGAATATTCAAGAAAAGACAAAACTATACCATGAGAGAAAACATTTCAGTTGCTTCTTGGAACCAGGGGAAGGTGCAAGCTGCCTGCAAAGAGGTGGTAAGTTAACTTTTGGGGGTGAATGAAATGTACTGCACCTCGGCTGTGGTGACGGTTAATAAAGATGTCTGTGTTTGTGCAATGGTACAAAAGCACCAGGATTATAGCGAAAGTGTTCATAATAGTAAAGAAAAAAAAGGAAAGAAACAACCTAAATGTTTTTTCATGAATGGATAAAGAAAATGCAGCATGTGAACACATTATTCAACTATAGACAATCTGTCATTTGTGACCACATGAATGGACTTGGAGATTATGGTAGGTGAAGTAAATGAGATATGGAACAACAAATACGGCTATTAATCATTTGTGAAAATGAAAAAAGTAGCAGTTTCCAAAGCCTGAGAAGGTCCTAGGAGAGGAGATGGCGAAAAGACTCGGTTAATGAGTACAGCGGTGCCCACTGTCACCTTTTTAAAGATAGGCACCAAGCAATGAACATAGGCATCTACCTATTTACTTTCCAAACGCCCACAAAAGCCAGGAATGGGCTGGGCTGGGCTTGGCCAAGGCCAGAAACTGGAGACGCACAGCAGTCTTGCCTGCTGGTGATAGGGACCTGCAGTAATTACCATTGACTCTCAGCATGTGAACTGGGAGAAAGCTGGAGCGAAGAGCCCTCTGGTACTCTGACGTGGGATGCAGGCACCTCCACTTCTAAGCTAAATGCCTGCCCCACGAAGAATAACTTCTAAGAGTCTACAGTACAGCAGATTAACTGCGGTTGTTTATTTCAAACTCCCCGGCAGAAATGACTTTTTTTTTTTTAATTTATTTTTATTTTTTTTATTGGAAAGTCAGATATACAGAAAGGATGACAAAGATTCTGTACAATGATTCACTCCCCAAATGACCACAACAGCTGGTGCTGTGCTGATCCAAAGCCAGGAGTCAGGAACTTCTTCCAGGTTTCCCATGTGGGTGCAGAGACCCAAAGCTTTGGGCCGTCCTCGACTGCTTTCCCAGACTACAAGCAGGGAGCTGGACAGGCAGTGGAGCTGCCAGGATTAGAACTGGTACTCATATGGGATCCTGGCGCATTCAAGGCGAGGACTTCAGCCCCTAGGCCACGCCACGGGGCCCCAGAAATGACTTTTAATGTTCCCAACACAAAGAAATAAGTAACATTTGAGGTGATGGAAATACTCATTGTGCAGATCTTATCAGTTTTTGTAGGAATGAATTTAAATGTTATATTGAATCCCACAAACATATACAATTACTATGTGTTAGTTAAAAATTTTTAAATATTAATTTTAAAAAACCCAACAGACAGGTGTTGTGGCACAGATGGTTAAGTTGTCCCCTGTGGACACTGACATCCCATACTGCAGCACAGGCTCGAGTTCTAGCTGCCCTGCTTCCAATCCAGCTCCCGGCTAACGTATTTAGGAATACAAGGGAAGATGGACCAGGTACTTGGGCACCTGACACACACGGGAGACCTAGTGTGACCCAGCCCTGCTGGTTGTGAACGTACTGGGAGTGAACCAGTGGATGGAAGATCTCTTCCTCTGTGTCACCCAGCCTTTCAAGTAAATACAACTTAAAAAAAACAAAAACAAACAAACAAAAAACTCCACAGACAATAAAAAATATTAAAATAAAGTACTAACACGTCTGAATCTTGAAAACAACCTGTTAAGTGAAAGTGAGTCACAAGAGCCAACATAGCGTAGGATTCTCTATGTGAGAATCTTCAATGTAAGAATGTGTATTTACACAAGGATGGAGACGAGATGAGTGCTTGCCTGGGATCAAGGAAATGGGAAGTGACTCCTAACAGGATGGAGTTTCTTCTGGAGGTGACAAAGATATTATAAAATTAGGTAAGAGTGCTGGTTGCACAACTCTCAGAATGTACTAGAACCTTTAATCTGTACAGTTTAAAAGAGGTTAGCTAGCATTGCAGTGCAGCATGTTAAGCATAGCCATTTGCTATGCAATACTGCATCACAATACTGGCATCGTGGCTATGTCTCTTTCTCGCTTAAACTCAGCCAGAAGACTGAGGAGCAATGGCTGCTTCCCTTCTAATCTACCTTCCCGCTAGCTGCTGGAAAAGGCAGTAGATGACAAACCCTGCCACCCATCTGAGAGAAAAGGATGGAATTCCTGGCTCTTGCTTTAAGCCTGGCCTAGCTCTGGTTCTTGAAGTCATTTGGGGAATGGACCAGTGGATTAGAAGAGTGCTTTCTGTCTCTCTCCTCTCTCTGTCACATTGCCTCTCAAATAAATAAAAAATCAACCTTTAAAGACCAGGGGAAAGTTCATGGTATATGAATCCTAACTGAATACAGCTCTTAGTGTAACAGGTACATCAGACTGAGACACAGATGCCTTAAGAGGCCCACCTATCCGGTCTGAGCCGGCCACCACTGCATCACAAATGGCTTCATACACAATAAGGTCCATCTTACCTCCTCCAAATAAATATTGTCAAGATCGTAGGGCGTTCTGACAGATTCAACCATCCAGCTCTCGGGTGTGTTCAGATTCAGCGTGAACAGCGGTGACTGTGGCATATCCAGAAACTTCGCTATTGGACCTTTAGCAAAGCTCTTGTCTGAGGTGAAGGCAATCTCTGGTTCTAAGACGTAACGGTAGAAGCTGCAATCAAAAGGGATGTGTCAGAGGAGCTTCTGTGTGACCGTGGTCCTGGCGCTTACCAGCAGCCACAGCGAAAAACAAATGACTGTTTCAACAACCCAGATATCCAGGACTCCCCTTCCGTTCCCCAAAACATCTTTCAACCTGATCATGTGTCCTGTGGTTATTGTGGGACCAATAACAGAAGGGCTAGAACTGAGGGGAGACCACTGCCTCACATGGGTAGCAGCTGTCAGGGTCACGTGCCCCAAAAAGTTCCTGGGGAACTCTCATCCCATCAGGGAGAAGTCATTATTCTCTTAAAAAACCAAGACCACTGGGCATGGTGCAGTAGTCTAGTGGCCAAAGTCCTTGTCTTGCATGCGCTGGGAGCCCGTATCGGCACTGGTTTGTATCTCAGAGGCCCTACTTCCAACCCAGTTCCCTGCTTGTGGCCTGGGAAAGCAGTCGAGGACGGCCCAAAGCCGTCCTCACCCACATGGGAGACCTAGAAGAAGCTCTTGGCTCCTGGCTTTGGATCAGCTCACCTCCGGCCACTGTGGCCACTTGGGGAGTGAATCGGGATGGAGAATTTTCCTCTCTGTCTCTCTTCCTCTGTATATCTGACTTTCCAATAAAAATAAATAAATATTGGGGGGAAAACCCACAAAGACAGGTTCTTGGGCCCAGGCTAAAAACCCCGCGGGTGATCTGTGCAAACACTGCACCTATGAGGAGAAGGGAGGGGGAGCTGGGAACCCTCAGACATTAGCAAACACTTGCAGAAGGTGGCATGGTAAGGAAATGCCCACTGCAACAAGCGTGACATGCCCAATGTTGAGCCTTTTTATGTTTCCCTAGGTGGCTACTCCGAAACTCCTCACACCATAAAGCCATCCTCCCTTTGAAGACACGAACCCGGGAGCTTAAGCCACATTGCTCTAATCCGTGTATTCCAATTTGAAAGGACTCTGGAGATGAAAAGTACAAAGATAGGCAGCCTGGGGTGAAGGCCCCCAAATGCTCCTGTGGCCGTAAAATGTTTTCAGAAGAAAAAAGAAAAAAAATGGGGAAACCGAACTTGTACTAAATGATCTCTTCAAACTTGATGTCTACCTATGAACCCACTTGATCTTCAAGTATCAGCTTTTGGATTCAGAATTGTTTTTTCTTAAAAGGTAAACAGCGCTTTACCTTTTCAAAGGCATGTCGGAGAGTTTAGACTGGCAGTTCATAAACACTCTTAGATTCATGTTTACCAGCTGTACCAAAACCTAAAAGGACAAACCAGGTGGCAAAATAGTTACATTTTCTCTTCCAAAATTATGGCTTTACACTTAATTAAGGAAGAGCATTGCTTCAATTTAAAAAAGCATTAACAATTAGTACCATAAAGTATACACTGAAGAACTTTCTAGAAATCATTACTAGTCAAGGACTTCAATCATTTCTAATCAAGAGTTCTTTCAAGAGCTAGTGAAAAGCGTAATTTAAAGATAAGCCAATTTTGGCATGAAAAATGTGAAATCCATGCTTGTGAGTATGATGACTTGGTCAAAAACAAACCGCCATGAAGTAAGCAAGTGCAGATGGTTGATCCTCCCATACACACAGTTTCACGCACAGTTTCAGGAAAGCAACAGAAAATGGACATCTGTTTGCAAAAGACAATGTCAGGGCTCATCACCGCCACTCCCAAATAAAGTATCAGAACACTGAAAAAAGGCTAGGTGACTACACTTTAACAACAACATGTGTACACACACACACACACAAGCTTAAAAAAGCTCAACTGAAAGAACTGGCAAGCGCTTATGTTTTTGCCAGAGTTCTTTTTTATGAATTGAAATAGTACTGTCTTTTGCATACCTGAATGATAAGACACCACCCAAAAATGCCTCATAGCTACAGCACAGATCACCTTAATGCAGTTATTTTTGCTCTAGAGTGAGGATGTTACTGAGTTTTCAAAACCACGAGGCAGCCAGTGACACTGAGCCCAGTGTCCTTAGAGCCACTGTTGACGTATAGAGTGCCGAGCTGCCTGGGAGGCCCTGCCGAATCTCGGGGCTCGTAACGCCGCCAGAGACAATGCAGACCTCTGCGCAGCCATCCCTACCAGGAGCAGCGGGGTGAGCCTCTGCGCCTCTCGGGTGGCAGGGTCGATGACAGCCAGGACGTCGAAGTACGTTTCCCCTTCTGTGGGCCGCAGCTTGATCGCACTGTGGAGGACAGAGGGGCAAAAAAAAAAAAAAAGTAAGCGTGAGTGGCCCACGCCTTATCCACAGGATCCCATCAGGCCTTTTAGCACCTCAGAACATTCTAGATCTAGATCAGCTAGGGTGCAACGGTGGCCAGCTACATTGATTAGACATATCCCAAAGTCACCAAAACCCTAATAATGGGAGCTCACGTGAATGGCTTGAAAGATTTGGATGAGGACAGAAAAGCAGTTTGAAATTACATTCAGGCAATAACTGCTAAAAGCTCCTGACAGGTACTGAATATCATGCCGACTTTTATTCCTTGGCAAGAAGGGTGCAATCTTTAAAAAATGATAAAGGGAAAATAAGAGCATTCGAGAAAACCCACAAAACAGAAAGAGGAAATATCAAATATCATTATCCTAGTCCAATCACTTCACTGCAATTTTACATAATCTTTTTCAGATGATTCTACAAAAGGTAACTGCAGGCATAAAATAAAAGCAACTTTAAGCCAACTTTGTTCCTTTTTTACTACTTTAGTGGAAAGATACTCAAATATTTTTATGTGTTACACATTATTAGTAAGGAATATTTTATTAAGCAAGTGATTGTGCCACAGTTAACCTAAGCTATTCTTTCTTATTAGACATTTAGAAGACTTTTGGTCTGCAAGCAATTTGTATAACTAGCTTTCCTAGCTTTCTCTTTATCTGGAAATTTCTTCATAGAAAGAGAAAGAGAATATGAAGACATGAGATTATGGAACCACAGGATCTGAATACTTTTGTGGCTAATATGTATGTGGATCACATTTCCTGAAGAACTAAGCCAATTTACAAGCCAATGGAAATGTGCACCACGTTCTCAGCAGCATTACCGGTACGTATTTCATCTGTTCTTAGTAAAGTGGACACTGGCAGCTGCTTAGGCTTCTATCTGCTCATCTAAGCTGTCTGGGGGAGTGCACATTTACCAACATGCAATCCCCGATGGCAGGGGCTCAGCTTAATTCAAAAACAAATCACTGCTTCAACCAATCAATTTATGCTGGCTACAGAAATGACCAGACTAAAATCAAAAGCACTGGAGGCTCGGACGCATTCACCAAGGATAATGCTCACAGGAATCACCGAGGGAGATCTATGCTGATACAGTAACAGGGCCAAGGGCTGTCACTCCCCACAAGCTCCTAGGCTGTCCCCTGCTGCTGGGCTGCTCCTCACAGCTCAGAGCACTGCAAGATCTGGGGTATATGCACAGACAGCTCAGATCTTTCCATGAGGAACTTCTGATTTGAATGTAATCATTGCTCTTTTCACCAACACAACCCCATTAAGAATAACTCTATGCACAATGTAATTTTTACCCTGATAGTATCTGCAATTAGGGCACTTTAATCATTAAATACTTATGGAGTCTCGTGGAACAAGGATGTTCTTTTGCTCTGGTCTCACTAACTTGGCCATGAGGCAAGTCACTCAGGACATGCTTGTTGTGTAATTAATGAGTTACTTTCTTACAGCAGCTGGAGGGTGGCTGGGAAGGTTGCATGTGCTAATTCAGAAAGGGTCGGGCAGGAGCCACAGAAATGGCTGCCACTGGTGACCTGCCGAATCAGAAGACAGAGCAGTGCCAGCAGCAGGTCTGCATCCCAGCCTACAGACATCAAAGGGTCTGTACTCACAAACCATACTGCCACCAGGACTGGCTGTGACAAAGCCACCAAACCAACCCACACACCAGACCAAGCCCAGTGGGACACAACATGAGACACAAGCACACCTGCCAGACAAGGCAAGGGCTACCCATCATAACAGTGCGGGATCTCCCTAGAACCCAGCCAGGTCTAGGCACGAGGAAAAGGCCAAGCTGCGGGGCACGCCAAGGACCACTGTCTTGAATCCAAAAATGTTAACAGCATAAAAGATAAATGACTGAAAAGCAGGACAGAGGATATCTTCTAAAGACCAAGAAAGAAACAGAATTGTTGTAATCTGTGAACTGAACAAAACACACCTCAAAACAGCTGTAAGAGGTTCCTATTCAGACACTGGAAAAAGGTGAATTGCGTCGATGTGTAAACACTGTTGTCAGCTGGATTTCCCGTGGGCTGCATGGGAGGTGTGTGTCTTAGTCTTGAGACCTAGAGCAGGCTTAGGTCTACAGGGCATTATCAAATGGTGAAGAAGAGTGTGTGCTCAAATTCAAAGATGTAATGAACGCACACCCACATGTGTGCGACTGCACACAAATGTTATAAACAGCACAAATGTGCCAACAACTGATGGTCCAGAATAAAGACACCCATACCTGGGTGTTTTTTTTTTTTAACTTACAACTATTTCTGGGCTCGAAATTTCTGAATTAAAGACTCAAAAATAAGTCAATCAAGCATCTCAGCCATATGTTGGCACTGAAAAACTGGGCAAACGGAGACTTTAAGATGGACTATGTCAATCAGTGAATTCTTCAGCAACCTCATCATGCTTGGAGTGGCGAGACTGGCAGCAATCCATAACTGCTGAACTATCAAAACCACTTGAGCAAGACCCTCGGAGAATGCCCCAAATCAGGGACCTGGGATGGGTGGGAGACTGGGTGGGACTTCTACCTTAACATCCCCGTTTACCTCAGATACATGAAGGAAACAATATGGAAAGAATAGTCTTACCTACTTTCCTGTAGCCCTTGAACCTTTTTACCCTAATTAACTATGCAATGATTGTCAAACATATAATTAAAAAAAAGGAAAAAAAGTTTGCATAATGTCAAATTAAAATGTAAGGTTATTTCAATAAAACAAATCTTTGAATTGAATTATCAATTTTCCTAAACTTTCTAAAGTATGTTTGCACTTGAATTTTGCATATGAACATGAATGCATACATTAACATTAAATATTTTCCACTTCCACTGCATCGTATACACATTGTCTTACAGGAAAATAAAAACAAAAATACTGACACAAAGGCAAATCTAGCTTAATATTCAAGAACATACACAAATTCAACATTAATTCCCTTCCCTACCTGTGTTTGTCTTCAAAAAGCTGGTACTCAACTCGTGCTTCTCCTTTTGGCTGAGCTGACAGGAGTGCGTCCACCTTCATCACCAGATCACTTGCCCTGGAAGATGAGGGTTGGTCAAGGGGTAGCAGCTTTTCATCCTCACGCTGGCCAGTCTTCACTAGACCTGCCATCAGGCCCAGGGCGGCATGCCAGCGAGGCGCTAGCTCAGAGCTGACAGGCATGAGAAAAGTACTGAGTTTGTAAGTGCCTCGCTACACAACCACGTGTAAGTTCCTTCTTGGCACCTACCCTGCATGGCTCTTCCACTCACTGAGCTGGCCAAGCATGCAGCGCCCAATGCAGGGCTTGCCCATTATGGACTGTCACTAACATTTGCATTCTTCCTCACATAATTCAAATAAGTCCATTTCTTTACTTGAGAGGCAGAGAGAGCTGGAACTCATTACTTTCTATGATCACTGCAGCAATACTGTTGTAATTCAGAAAAACATGTAAATGGGAAATGAAGATTACAGATACTATTTAGAAACAAGCTCTGACATCGTGATCAATAATGCTATATTTTAGGATGTATACCCAAAGACAAAAGTAGGAGTATATTTCTTGGTAACCTACCTTTTCACTTAAAAGCATAAAAATTTTTTGTTTGTCAGTTAAGTACAGGGATGTATCAATACATTTAAATAACTGTGATATATTTCTGGGAACATCCACACAGACGTAAAAACCTTTATGTTGTTTCCCACCCCAATTTTATAACCCATACCGCAGTAAATAATTTAGAAAAGTATTTGTTTTCTCTACACCTTCCAAAGCTTCTTATCAATCAAGGAAGATTTTGAACCAAACCCTGAACCTGAATGAAACGCTCTAATCGGTTGAACAGACAACATCCCGAATAAGAATTCTGCAAGAGCACTTATGGGTATGATAAGCTATGCTGCAGTAAGTTAAGCTGCCACCTGTCACACTGGTATCCCAAATGAATGCCAATTGAAGGCCTGGCTGCTCCACTTCTGATCCAGCACCCTCCTATAGCACCTGGGGAAGATGGTCCAAGTGCTTGAACCCCACCACCCACTTGGGAGACACAATGGGGCGTTTCTGGCTCCTGGCTTTGACCCGGCTTAGTCCTAGCCACTACTGCCATTTGAGAAGTAAACTAGCAGATGGTTTGTCTCTTTTTTTTCTTAATTCTGTCTTTCTTTCTTCTTGGGTTTGTAAAGATGAATTTACTTATTTGAAAAGCAGAGTTACATAAAGATTTCTTCCAGCAGCTTAACCTGCAATGCCACAGCACTGGCTCCTGCTTTTAGTTTTTAAGAGTCAGGCATTTATTTGAAAGGCAGAGGGGCTGGCACTGCAGCACCATGGACAAACCTGTGCATCGGCATTTCAGATGTTAGTTTGATACCTGGCTGCTTCATTTCTGATTCAGCTCCCTGCTAATGTGCCTGGGAGAGCAGCATGCCCTTGCACTGAGCAGGGGAACCTGGAAGAAGATATAGTTTCCTAGCTCTAGCCTGGCACAACCCTGGCCATTGAAGCCATCTGAAGAGTGAACCAGTGGATAGAAGATCTCTTATTCTGTCTGTCTCTCTAACTCTGCTTTTCAAATAAATAAATAAATCTCTATTTTTTCATTTTATTTAGAAGATTTATTTATTTTTATTAGAAAGGCAGATTTTCAGAGAGAAGGAGAGGCAGAGACAAAGATCTTCTATACACCAGTTCATTCCCCAAGTGGCCGAAACAGCCGGAGCTGAGCTGATCCAAAGCCAGGAGCCAGTAGCCAGGAGCTGCTTCTGGGTCTCCCACGCAGGTGCAGGGTCCCAAGGCTTTGGGCCGTCCTCGACTGCTTTCCCAGGCCACAAGCAGGGAGCTGTATGGGAAGTGGAGAAGCTTGGACATGAACCAGCATAATATGGGATCTCAGTGAATACAAGATGAGGATTTAGCCAATGAAGTCATCATGCCAGGCCCAAATAAACCTTTTTAAAGTTTAAAAGAGAGAGAGAGAGAGAGAAATGGTCAATGTCCCAATAAAAAGATGCTTAACATCACCCTTCACTAAGGAAACACAAACCAAACCACACTGTGACATGACTTCATTCCCATTACAATGACCGGGGAGAACAAAAATGGGAATACATTGTTGATGGGAATGTAAAACAGGGCAGCCCATTCATTTGGCCTTTAACACAGAATCTAGGTGCATATAACTGATAGGCTCTAGTTACTCAGCAAGGATATAGACCATTCAAGTCCATTTCTTCCAGTAAGTCAAGTAAAATACAAAAGCTCATGAAAAACACTGAAGAAATTAACAAAATCAACAGCAAGCAAAAAAAAATCATCATCACCCTTTTAGAGGATGCAAGATAAACAACTCGGAATTTTGTTTTAGTAAGTCAAGAAAAGGAAACATTCACTTCCCCTTCCTGAGCGAACTTAAAGAACTAAACAATGAAGGAAATCTGTCTTTATGTAAGGATCCCATGTAATAAGTAAATTGGTCCTTCTCTTACGTATGAGTTTGAAATTTTCCAGGACCAATAGTTAAAAAAATTAATTAAAAATGGAGAGAAATAATTCAGTGCTTTCAATAGCAGCCACCTAAGCTAATTAGCTTGTTTCAGCAGCAACGTAAGCTAAACATTTCAAGAGCTAATATCATTACAGAATAAAGCTGGAAGCCAAAAGTCCTAGAACAGCAGCTGAATGTGACCATACACGATCACACCTTTGACCAATGAGGAAAGTCCAATTAACATGAATGTCAGGGCACGGACTAGTTAGCGTCCTCTACAGCAAGACTTACACATCTTCTTCTACTCGAAGATGCTGAATGTGAGACTTTATCTTCTGTCCTGAGGTTTTTAAGATGATATTTTCCAGAAGGTGGAAATCATCTTGATTAAAGAGTTCACTTTCTTCCAGCGGTCCAATGATCTGGGAGGAAAAGAGCAGATGGTTAGTGTGGACAGCATCTGCAGTCACTAGGTGCCAGCAGTCCTGGGTGGTCTATCCTACACCCCAAACCTCCCCCAAAGAACTGAGACAGGTACACGCCTCAATAAAACTAATTTAAAAAGAAAGCTCTACCTATCGCATAAGTAGAACATAGTTTTGTCCACTTGATGTCATTTTACCGTGGTAAACTGACATAATATAAACTAGCAATGTAGTTTTCATTCTCACTGAGTGTAAACAACAAAATCCCACCAACGTGGTTAAAGGTGAGACGGGTTTGTGTTCTGGAAGGTCCCACACTCTCACCACCTCCCCTGACAGCAGGACACAAACAGCAAGAAGGCTCCACACCGGGACTGGTGTGTCCAAAGCACACTTCCAGGGAAATAAAGGGGCAGAAATGTCCCCGACACTTGGCAAGCCCTAATCACCTTTGCAAACAGAGTGGCTCTGTTGGAAGAGTTTACTAGCTGCAGAGGAGAAGGCTGCAAACACTGCTCCCGGAACTAAGTGAAGCCAAGCGTGTGGCAGCTTGGCAGATCCTCACCCTTCCATTGCTGATCACTGCCCTCTGTCCCTTCTTCAGCTTCAGGACATCCCTGCAGTACACGGCATGAGACAAAATGAAATCCATTTTGGAAGACTCAAAGACCTCGTTAAAAAGACTGAAATCCATGCCCTAGGAAAGCAATCATTATTAAGGAAAAGTAGCTGTTATTAACAGACCATATGAACGAATAATCATAATGAACAAACCATAAAATGCTCTTTTAGTGGAAAGTAATTACAAATTTTCAGTCATCATGACATCTCAGCTCTCACAATTTAATCTTCCTCCATTACAAAACGGTTCATTTCTTATTTCCATTTTCTCTTGTGACATGTTCAAATGGCAGAGTCTTTCATGGTACCTTTATTCTGCATTTTATTTTTTTAAAACTACCAATCTACCTACCTACCTACCTGACAGGGAGAAACACTGGGGGAGCCCTATTTTCTGGCTGACTCCCCTTGGGCCCAGCTAAAGCCAGCCAAGGAATTCAACCCAGGCCTTGCCCCAGAGTGGCAGGGACACGAGTACGTGAGCTTTCATCACTGCCTCCCAGGCAGGTCATACACTAGCAGGAAGAGGGAGCAGGGACATGACTCAAATCCAGGTAACTCAAATATGGCCATCTCATTGTGGCTATAGCAAACACCCGAAGCTTTCCACATTCAAAATCTTGCTGAGTTCAAGTGGCTCCTGTTTTATTCTAACTGAAAGTTCAGAATTACACATAATCCTGTCAGTGACATTCAAATTAGAAAACATTCTCGGAATTACATCAGTGAACTTGCGCTTATACTGGAAAAACATCAAAAGCATGTAAACCTCTAAGCTGTAAGTGGCTTAAATTTCTAAATTATTCTCGAAACCAATTAAAATTACTTGTCTTTTAAAAAAAAGTGCATTAAATGCCTTTGTGTGTAAAACACAGAAAATTGTTGCCTTTTTGCCTCTAACTCGAAATGTAGGTAAGTTTGACATTAAAATGTGACACAATTATTTCTTGGAAAGAATCCTCTAAATTAAAAAACAACAAGCGAAATTCCTGAGACTCAGAAACCATCTTAAAATGCTGAAAGAGAAATATGCACCCGAGGGAGTGACTGTCTGTGTTAAGGAGGGTGGGGCTACCTTCTGGAACACACAGAGCCAGACGTACCCCGACTGAGAACTGCGTGATGTCTGCTCCGGTGGCCAGTGCCTCTGCGGTCTCCTGCTTGGCCATTTTGGTGATGAAGTTCTTGGCCACGTTGGAGCTCTGTGTCTGGAGGGCTGCCCAGATTGCTCTGGCGATCTGAGTGTCCTTGTGGCTTATTTCTGCACTGGGATTATTGATTATGCTTATCCTTACATTGTTACTGGATTTCTAGGTGGAAAATGAAAAGTTTCAAAACTTTAAAAGCAGTACTGGCATCAGTTACATTCTGTAAGCAGCAAATAACATCTCTTATAAGACTTTGGCTTCTGCATTCAGAATAAAACTCTAGAACTTCATTCAAGCCGTCAGAAAAACCTGTAAGAACTTAGTCCAGCCAATTTTTCTCCCAACTTCATTTCTTACCACCCTGGCAGATTATAGACCCTCCAAGTTCTCTCTGCAGTGTATTTATTTTATATTCATTCAGCACATGTCTTGCCTCACACTTTTATAAAAGTATTTATTTACTTTTACTGGAAGGGCACATTTACATAGAGAAAGATCTTCTGTCTGCTGGTTCACCCGTCAAGTTGCCACATCAGCAAGAGCTGAGCAAGTCTGAAGCCAGGAGCTTCACACAGGATCCCAAGACTTTGGGCCATCATCCATTGCTTTCCCAGGCCAAAAGCAAGGAGCTGAATGGGAAGTGGAGCCACTTTTCAGACTGCTTGAACCTTTCTTCACTCACATGCTTTTCCAGATTCCAGGTAGAAATGAAATCTCTCCTTGCACAAAGGCAGGACTCAACACAGGAGAAAGCATATGGAATCCATCAAACCAACAAAGAGGCTTTTATTAAGAATATGACAGTCCTTTAAAAATTTCATAGAAAAATGGAACAAAAAGATAAGCTTATTGGACCAGCCTCGTGGTACAGCAAGTTAAGTCACCATCTGGCAGCACTAGAATTTGTTGTCAGAGTTTGGGATTTGAGTCCCAGCTGTTCCACCAACAGTCCAGTTCCCTACTAAAATGCCTGACAAGGCTGTGAGATGGCCTACAGACTGGAGATCCTGCCAACCACATGGGATGAAGGTAAGGAACGCCATGAAACAAGCGCATCCTCAAAGGGAAGATCACTTCAAAGAGACTGTCATATGCATCGTAACCTCGTCCTCTGGCCCCACCTGGGACATCAAGAATGTAGGGGCAGAATGACAAAGTTGTTCTTGTCCCCGTCCTCCTCAAGCCCATCTCTTCCACACAAGCTGAAAAACCTCTGAAGACACAACAATCTTTTCCCTGAATACGAAGAAAGCAGGATTCCCATTGCACACCAGAACAACTACAGCAGCACAGCTGTCCTGAAGGAGACACAGAATGCAGCGTAGATACTTGCCTGATGTTTGATAGCATCGTGCAGCAATCGCCTCCCAGAAGCGCTATCAAAATCCCCAACAATCCAGAAAGTCACTGGCCGAATGAAAGACTCATCTGTAGAAAAATAAACACAGCAAACTGAGCTAGAGGATAAACATACTTTGTCTGTTTCAATGGTATTGTTAAACTAAGTTAGTTTTTGCAAACCATGCAAATAAATCAATAAGGACAATGACAAGTTTAATAAAGATCCAAGGTAAAAATAGTGAAAACTTCTCTAAGGATAGGAAAAATGGGACAGTGTTCCAAGTGGCTTAATTAGAGACTAGAAACATGCACCAATTAGTCCTTCTAATCTAGGTATATACCTGCAAGTACAAAGAGTTCTGAAAATGTGGGTAACATATGATAGTCCTTAATCATGCTAATTTGTAACTTTCTGCAAAGTTAATTCTTGGCAAGCAATTATACAAAAGGATTAGGCACTGATGGAGTCAACTGGTTACCCACAGGTTCCAGAAGCCTCACAATTAAGAGTCAGGGAATTCCGAGTAATAGTGATCCCCAAAGCCACATAAAGTGATGAAGAAAAAGAACAGAACATTCTGAAGTTTTAAGTTACCATAGATTTCCTTGGAGGACATTCCTGGACAGGGTAAAGAGTAAAAGAAAAGAAAGTGTCATTTCTGTAATTAATGCCCACTAAGCAAGTTAAAAGTTTAAATTATGACTAACATGATGTATGCATCTGTCTGCTCCCTGGTTTTCTCAGTGTTACCACATGACTCCAGGGCCCCTTGGAAATAATTATCTCTGAGGAACCAGATGAAGGAATTCCTGGTTCCTGTACCCAAAAACCAGATGTCCTTTCTGGGAGATCACAGCTAGGACCCACACAGGTGGCTTCCCTGACAGCTCGCAGGCCTTTGAAAGTCCAACACACAGCAGAATCGGTCTGCACCTGACAAGGCATCATCTCACAGCATCTTAGTCCAACAGTGTAACCCCAGATAACATCAGCTTTAAAAATACACCAAGCTTTTTAGAACCAGGCGTATGTTATAAAACCGAGTATAATCTTAATATTGCCCCGATGAAGGAAGCCAAGTCATACTTTCAGCCCATTAGCCCAATCCTTTTTTTAAAAATATATATATATTTTATTAATTACACTGCATTATGTGTCAGTTTTATAGGCTCCCTGAGCCATTACCCCAATTCTAAATTATAAATGTCTCCCACATTGAATCATGACTGATTTTGTAGGTTGATTTAAATAACTAAAATAAATTTAACACAATATAAAGAGTTGACTTTTAAACAAACAGTACTTTCAAAGCACTACAAGAATAAAAGAAACTAAGGAATTTATTTCCCCAACAGATATAAACATATTCCCAAATATTAAAAACAGTTAATTCCAAGATAGGTCCCAAGTGGATTACCTTTCTTTGTTAGATAGTTCATACTGTTGGCTATTGCAGCAGTCTTTCCTTGGGAATCCAAGACAGTAAATCTAGCATAATCATCCACATAAAAATTATCTAAGGGAACAAAGTTGAAGTTGGTATATAATTAATACGCTACATTTCAGTCTAACGTGCTCAGCTGCTTAGCAGACTTAACCACAATCTAACATTTATAAAAATTGGTGAGTGGAGCTGGCATCATGGTACAGTGGGTGAAGCTGCCACTTATGATCCTGGCATCCCCTATCAGAATGCTGTTATGGGCCCCAGCCGCTTCTCTTCCAATCCAATTCCCTGCTAAAGTGCCTGGGAAAGCAGAAGATGCTGCAGCCACATACACTGGAAACCCAGAAGGCATCCCAGGCTCCTGGCTTCAGCCTGGCCCAGCTAAAGGAAGCCAATTGTTAGACGATCTCTCTCCCTCTTTCTGGCATTATGCCTTTCAAATAAATATTACTAAAAAAAAGTTAAATAAATTCTGTGATAACTGGAACATGAACCCTACTCCATTAGAACAGTATCCATAAAATGTAAGAAATGCATTTAATAAATATTAATTAAAATGATATTAATTAGAATTATATTAAAAATACATTAAAATTATATTAATAAAAAATTTTAAAGCACAGTTAATGAACAACATAGATCTCTCACACAGTGATGACCATACAATCCCATTCCTATCATTTTACAACTAAATAAAAAACCTCTTAAAAGGATCTTTAACTCATTCCTTCTCTCCTGGGATCACCCATGAGAGTCAATTTTCCCTTATTACACTGGAAGAGGAGAATGAAAGAGACAGAAAATATGAGAACTCTGTTTCTTTTTTTCCATGACTTTCACACTATTGTTTTCCAGTTTTTTTTTAACTTCTTAATTCAAAAGGCAAAGAAAGACAAAGATCTTTCATCTGCTGGCTCACTCCCCAAATGCCTGAAAGAGCCAGGAGTGAGAAGACTTACCTGGGTCTCCCATATGAGTGACCAAGAACCCAGGCACTGCCCTCAAGTGTTAGCAGGGGTTCCACTTTAGAGTGGAAGTATTCTAAACATAAGCTAGCTTAATTTGCTATACCACAACACCAGGTTACAAAATATTTTTTAAACTTAACAAAAATAAAAGGACTTCTTCACTTTTTTTCAGATGTCTATCTTTTCCAGTTAGGTTCCAAGGACAACACTCTAACCACTTCTGTTTAGATCACTTATGCTACAAATTCAGTTCCATCAAGTCATGCCCTTGCTCCAACCTACCCAGTAATTACTTCCTAGCTATAGAACAGCTTCTAGTGCAGGATAAGTGGTCCTCTGCCTGCAGCAATCTTCCCAACAGCAAGCATCACTGCACCCAACAACAGGTGCCACTCCTATCACTGTCTGCTAGGCACACTTGCCTACCATCCATCTCCGCATTTGTGCAGCTGCTTTATCCAAGTATCCTTTCACTCAACAGTGAGTCAGACAGACATACTCCATAACATGATATGGAGGAAATGAGACAGTATCATGGTCATAAAAAATGAGTGTCTTTCCAGGAGAATCCCAAATGGCTAAGGTCAGAGAAGCCTGGGCAGTGGTACTGTCACCACTTGGCCCCCAGGGTGCAAGCCTGCGACTCTGACAGCTGCACCAGGTCAGAGAACAAGCTTCACTGTCTCACAGCTCATTACTGCCACACTGGGGACCAGCATGCTCTTTACTCACACGTACAATCTGAAATGATGAACAGTAACAAAACCCTAGGACAAGGAGTAATAATATACCTTGCTTTGATTTATTAAGACTTCCAGCAAAAAGCTAACACCTAATTGTGAAGAAACATTTCTTTTTCAAACATAAGCATACATCCCCATTTACATTTTCATGTGTATGTTTATGTGTATACATAAAAACATAAAGCTATTTTTATTGGCTCAAAGAAATTAATTTTACATAAATTAGATAGAAATAGTATCATAAAATAACTATAAAGATATATGTCTATCCATAACACTCAACTACAACAAACAAACACACTTGGTTTCAAATTCCCCAGAGTGAGTCATGGACAAGTGACGACAGCTCCAGCTTATTTCTGGGAGTTTGTGGCAGTGAACTTGAGACTCAATGGTTTTAAGGGGGTGTCAGGAGTTAATGTTGCATTGCAGTAGTCTATGCTGTTACCTACAGTGCCAGAATCCCATGTAAGAGTGCCAGTCCAAGTCTTGGCTACTCCACTTCCAATCAAGCTCCCCGATAATATACTTGAGAAAGCAGCAGAGGCTGGCACAAGTGCTTAGTTCCCTGCCAGGTACACGGGAGATCCAGATGAAGCTCCCAGCACCAGTCCAGCTCAGCCCCAGATGACATAGCCTTTTAGGGATGAAACAGACAGAGTATCTTTGTCTTACTAATTTTGTCTATCCCTCTCTAATTCTGTCTTTCAACTAACTAACTAAATATATACATATACACATATGTATACACACACACACATATACATACATTTAAAATCTTTTTCCTGAGATTGATTCATTTTATTTGAAAGGTAGATTTATGGAGAGGAGAGACAGAAAGATCTTTCAACTGCTGGTTCACTCCCCAAGTGGCCACAATGGCTGGAGCTGAGTCAATCTGAAGCTAGGAAGCAGGAGCTTCTTCTGAGTCTCCCACATGGGTGCAAGGTCCCAAGGCTTTTGGCAATCCTTGACTGCTTTCCTAAGCCATAAGCATGGATCTGGATGGAAGAGGAGCAGCAGAAACACAAACTGGTGCATATATGGGATCCCAGTGCTTGAAGGTGAAAGATTAATCACTTGAGCCATTGTGCCAGGCCCCCCACATCTTATGAACTCAGGGGAAGCAAGTTTACAAGATTGTATCTTACTCTGGCATTACCTTCCGAACACTGCAATCTAACAAATGGCAACGATTTTGAAGTGCACACACACACACACATACTCACACACACAAAAACAAAACAAAACAAGAAAACAAAAACCAAACAACAACAACAACAAAGAACCAAAATTATTTCTGAAATGTTCCTTACTACTTGCTGTTAAGTCCAGATACACTCGCTCAGCCATCAAAATCCTGGAATTGATTCGAGGAACAACATTTGGCTGATTCATGAGATACTCCACCACATCTTGATCGTGGGGTAGTTCACCCTATAGGGGGAAAAAACCAGGAGACACTGAGAAGGCGTATTCAATAACAACTCATCAGAAACTAAAAACGCAACTTCTGCTCAATACCATCTTAGAACAGAAGTTTCCATGCTTGCAGGCCACTGTCATTACCAAGCACAGAACTGATTGCTTAGGAAAAAAAAAATTGCTTATTTATTTGAAAAACAGAGCTATAGAGACATTTTCCATCTACTGGTTCATTCTACAAATGGCTACAATAAACACGACCGGATCAGGCCAAACCCTGGAGCCCGGAGCTTCAAGATCCCTCATGTGGGTGCAGTGGCCCAAGCACTTGAGCCATCCTCTGCTGCTATATTCTAATGTGTTAGCAGAGAAGTGGATGGGAAGTGAAGCAGCCAAGTCGCAAACTGGCACTCATATGGGATGCTGATACCACAGGTCGGTTTTACCTGCTGCACCACAGCATGGGCTCCTGACATTCACCATAAAGATGAGGGCGTGGAGGCAATGAGAGGACGGGTAACTGAAAGCCGTGAGCTAACACAGAGTGAACACGCATCCATCACAGATCCACTCCACACAGCAGCATGCTTCTCCAGAAGTGAACAAGCTCTTCAAAATTATGCAAGCCTCAACATAAGCGGCAATGCATCCTGTGCTGCTTTCTAATGGAGACAACCAACTCTTCTCTCCAACAATTCACAGATGGTATAATAAAAATCACTCCAGGCTTTCAAGTCAGAGTTACACTGAGAAAAGATGAACTCATTGAACATTCATTCTTTCCTTTCATGTAACTTATTATAACAATGGTTGTACTACTCTGGACAGCAGATCATGGTGCACATGGAGGACATGGTAGCTCACTGGAGCTTGCAGAAGACATCTGGTACCATAGCAGAGAATGGAAAACGGAACATATGGAAAACTACCCTAGCCAAATGATCACAGCAAATATTTGTGTGATTGGAGACTATAAGGTCGATGTGTCAGCCAATGGACAGTGGAAGGGTTTCCTCATCCACTGAGCAGCAAGACTGACAGCATTTCAAAACTATTGCATCTTCCTGGGCAGAACTACAGAACATGCACCACTGTGATCTGGGGTGATATCGGGTGGCCTTGCCCCATCCTCAGGGACTGGGATGGTGGGAGGCTAGGTACGGCCTGTCTCCTTATGTGACCCCCTCCGGCCAGAAATGGGAAGAAGATACAAAAAGCTTAAAAACAATGATCACACCCACTTTTCCCAAACCCTGGATCCTTCCCACCCTGATCAACTATGTAAACAACATCTACAAAACAAAAAAAGTTGTACTTCTAAAAGGTAATCTTTAGCCAACTGCCAATAACTATGGAACCCTGCAGGTAAGCACAAGATTTAGAATAAAAACAAATTTAAATTCATTTTCTTGAGAAAGATAGAACTGAATGAAATACACACATTCAAGCCTACGAAACTCCATCAGGTATTGTTTGAGCTATTTCTCCCATGACAAGATGAACCAATAACAGGCATATGAACCACCCACACAGCTCAAAAATATTCACAAAGGAACCATCAAAAGCACTTGAGAAAAAATCTCGGAGCATGCCCGACATCCGGTACCTTGGGTGGGTGGGAAACTGGGTGGGGCTTCTCCCTTAATATCTCCCTTTACCTCAGATACATGAAGGAAACAATATGGAAATTTTTTAAAAATCATAAAAAAAATTTCACAAAGAAGAGTTTCACGGTATGTGACTAACACATGAACTACATATACATTAACTTCCGTATATAAAAACAATGAGTCTTTCTAAAGTCAAAATTCCTTACCAATACAATGATCAGTGAAATTTACAATTCTTAAATGTTTCATCTTAAATCTAAAATCAATTATCTCAATTCTAAATACAGAAGTTTTATGATTATTTTCAAACTAATAGGACTTGCTAGGAATCTAACCAATAGTTAACGACAATAAAGAACAGTAATGCTAAAGTAATCTTACTGCTTACTACAAGAGGCTACAAAAACAAAGTATTCTCGTTCCAAACCAGCCTTGAGGGTCAGCGTTATGGCACAGCAGTCAGGCCCGTCTGCCAAACCGGCATCCCATACAGGTATCGCTTCAAGGTCTAGCTGCTCCGCGTCCAGTCCGGCTCCCTGCTAAGACGTCTGGGAAAGCAGTGCAAGAAGGCCCAAGTGCCTGTGCTTACTACTCACATAGGAGACCTGGAGCTCCTGGTTTTGGACTTGCCAAACCGTGGTCATTCTGGCTATTTGGGGAGTCAACCAGCAGTCATTAGATGCTTTTATCTCTCCCTCTTTCCTCCTCTCCCTTCTTCTCTATCTTTCAAATAGGTGTGTGTGTATGTATATATGTGTGTGTGTATGTGTGTGTGTGTGTTTCAAAACAACACGCTTGAAATGCCACTTACCAAGTACACAGCTCTTTGGAAGAAGTTTGTGGTCTCCAGGATTTTGTGCATGGTGATGGTCTCCAACTCATCAGGATCGAGGTGTTCTCTTTCAAGGGGCATCCCATTGAATAGGATGACAGGAAGTGGACCGACTCCAGTCTGCTCATAGTAGCTTCTTGCTTCCTAAAGCACAATGGAGCACAGAAACACCATGTATTTGCTCTTCATAAAACTAGTGAGACAAAATATAACTATACATGCTTGTTCCAGAGAAGAAAAATTAACTGAAGTAACGGTAAAGAAGAAATAACTAAATATATTTCTTTAAAAAAAAAAAAAGGTGTGGGGGAGAGGATACTGTGGCATATAATATAAAGCCTCCACTCGCAGTGCCAGAATTCTACATGGGTGCTGGTTCAAGGCCCAGCTGCTCCTCTTCCAATCCAGCTCCCTGCTAATTTGCCTGGAAAGCAGCAGGAGATGGCCCTAGTGCCTGGATCTTTGCACCCCTCGTGGAAACCCAGAAGCTCCTGGTTTCCGACTGATCCAGCTCCAGCAATTGCAGCCATCTGAGCAGTGAACCAGTGGATCAAAGACCTGTCTCTCTAGCTCTTTCTTCCTTTCTCTTTCTGTAACTCTGCCTTTGAAATAAACAAACAATCTCAAACAATAAAAAAAAAAAACAGCAAGAGAGAAAATCACTAATAAAGTTAATACATTTACTGGGCATATCTGACACTGAATTACTGAGTTTTTATTAGATGACAAAACCCCGAATATTAAGAAGCGGTGCATGTGTTGTATGTGTATTATCAGGTGTGTAGTTTAGGTTACCAAAATGGAGTTACATCTACTGTGGGTAGTCGTGTGCAGCAGAGCTTTCTCTAGTGATGGAAAACTTCAATCTGCGCTATCTAGCACAGTATCAAATAAAAACCATGTGGCAACGGAGCAAGTGGAATCAAGCTAGTAGAACTCAACAACTAAATATTTAATTCTAATTGATTTCACTTAAAAAGTTGCAGCTGGCTATCAGCGACAGTGCCCTTAGGCAGAAAAGCCTGAGCTGAAATATCTACACCCCTACCTCTAAGAGAGAAGCTGCACCTGTGCAAAATAAAGCAGGCTGGTGGGCAAACAGTGCCCCCAAACTGCTCCAACATACACAAATCCCAATCTTTTTCCTTCCAAATGACCAAAGCAGTTACTCAACAGGCAAATGGTGGGGTGATAAAATGGAGCTGGTCACTCTCCCTGACTATGAACATGGGCACTGTTCCTCAGATCAGCTTTCCAAATTCCAAAACCATTCTCACCACTTGCAATGTAAAGAATAGTGCTCTCAAAATTCTAGTTAAGAACCTAGCTATTTGAGGGCCCGGCGCAGTGGCGCAAGTGGTTAAGGTCCTCGCCTTGCACGCCCGGGATCCCATATGGGCACCGGTTCTAATCCTGGCAGCCCTGCTTCCCTTCCAGCTCCCTGCCTGTGGCCCAGGAAAGCAGTGGAGGATGGCCCAAAGCTTTGGGACCCTGCACCCGCGTGGGAGACCCGGAAGAGGCTCCTGGCTTCGGATTGGCATAGTATCGGCCATTGCACTCACTTGGGGAACAAATCATTGGATGGAAGATCTTCCTCTCTGTCTCTCCTCTCTGTATATCCGCCTTTCCAATAAATAAAAATAATAAAAATAAATCTTTAAAAAAAAAAGAACCTAGCCATTTAACTTTACTGAAAATTGTAGAACTGTTTATAATGACCGTTGTTTAAGATAGTAGAAGCAGAAAAAGATTGCAACTGGGCAACTAACACCAGTCACAGCCAGACCTCACCATGGTAACAAATGATCACACAGATTTAATTGAGACGGAATGAGACACAGCCGAAGAGGCCTAGAGGTTGGTCCCAGACACTTCCTTGCATCAATGGAAAAATTTTTGAAATCCCAACTACTTTACAAATGTTCTCAAAACACAATTTTAATATATTTGAAAATCTTCGCTCTGGCCCAATGAGCACAACGCAAAACAAAATGACAATAATCAGGGCCTAGTGCAATGGCTTCATTAACTAATCTTCCCCCTGAAAGCATTAGGATCCCACCTGCAGGCAAGTTTGTGTCCTGGCTGCCCTGCTTCCCATCCAGCACCCTGCTCGTGGCCTGGGAAAGCTGTCGAGGACGGCCCAATGCCTTGGGACCCTGCACCCGTGTGGGAGACCTGGAGGAAGCTCCTGGTTCCTGGCTTTAGACAGGTCCAGCTCTAGCCATTGGCCACTGGGGAGTGAAGCAGCAGATAGGAGATCTTTTTCTGTGTAAATCTGCCTTTCCAATAAAAATGAATAAATCTTTAAAAAGTGATCTGTTTTCCAAAGCTTTAGATGTTAAATGATGATACACTTTGTAAGCACAATAATCAACAAAAACAAAACAAAACAAGGAGAGTTAGGGACAGTAGACTGTTAGAAAAATCTCTTACCTTGCGACTTTGATCGTACGCAGAGTCAATTCCCAAAATGCTGTTCACTTCCACATACGGATATTTCTTCTCCAGGACACTGACCACGTGTTCCACTTTCACTTTTTCTCCAGTCCTCACTTTATTATAGATCTGAGTGAGGGGAAAACCAGATTTACTTTAAAATCGTTGTCAACATGTTCATTACCAAAGATTTTTGAATGTATGGGAAAACATGCCGATTTTTTGTAAAAATTAAGAAACATGTTAGCCAGTTCTTTTTTTTTTTTTTTTTCAGATATTTCATCAAGATATCCTCTCAAGAATTGACACTAATTTTCTGAAAATGATCTGAGCAGAGGGTGTTTGGCCTACAGGCTAAGACACCAACTAGGACTCACTGCATATTCGGAGCTCCAGCTTCCTGCTAATGCATAACAACGGGAGGGCAGCATATGACGGCTCCAGTGCTCGAGTCTCCGACCCCTCCCCTATGGAAGACCTGGATCCTGTCCCCAGTCCCCAGCTCTGGCCTCTGCCCAGTCCTGGGCTTTCCCTTTCTCACACAGATTAAAAAAAAAAAAATCCCAAATTAGGTCAAAACCATGTTAAGTCCCCAAAGCAAACACGCATTAAGAAAAACAGGACTACTTAAAATTCTTAAACTAAGAACAAAAATCCATGATATTCAGTGAGGGAAGGAGTCCTAAAGTATGTATGGCATAATCTCTTTTAAAAAAATAAAAGAAACTATTAAAAATAACAACGTGTGCATATGTATAGTTATATCCTAGAGAAGGATACCAGGCAACCCTTTAATGGTGTCCGCCTTTAATAAGCATTTACTTAGTTTTTCTCAGAGAGAGGATATATTACTTTCATAATAAAAACAGGAAAGAATGAAAGCTTACATAATAATCCCTTCCTTCATACACATATCTATGAGCGACAAGGTTTTTAAAGTCAAATTAACATACTGATTATTCCGAGTCACTGCTAACTAACGTCTTCCTTGTCTATTCTGGAGATCTTCCCAACAATTCATCAACCAAAGCCCTGTCACTTCCTTCACCCTCTGCTCCATCTCCACGGTGCAGTAGAGGATCTTTTGCCCTATCCTGTGGACATCCCTGCTGCCTAGCCCACAATGGTGTCCAGGACCGAGCAGCCCCTCTGCTGTCTGGCCCTCAGTCCTCTGTAGCAACCGCCCTAACCATTTGTCATCACCACCTCATTTGCAGCCAGGTTCCACTGACTCCCACTAGTCATGGGCTTGAAGGGCACAATTTCTCACTCCAAAAAAAAAAAATGCCTACTGCCACTCCCAGCTTGTGCTAATGGGGTGGGTGCGTGGACCGCTCTTGTCTCACCGTGTGCATGACCCCAGCTGCTTGTGCACATGCCCACACGTGCTGCGGCTCTCAGAGGATGGGGTGAGGTGTTACTACACACTGCACCCCTCATACCGCTACGCGGTCTGCCACGTAGTAGAAGGCCTTCAGGAAACATACTCTGAGAAATATGCAAATTCTAATAAAAAATGAATCAATCAATAACCAATCCCTAACCAGCAAGCATAATTAAAAAAAAAATCAGCAGACTAACATCACATCTAGGGGTAAAAATAGTAAAAATCAATACCTTTAGAAAGGGTCCTTAAAACGAAATAACTCTAAAGCAGAGTATACATAAAAACAGGAAGAAAAAAAAAACAATAAGACAAGAATTCTTTTTTGAACTTGAGCAAGTCACACACAAATCAGGGCATTTTAAAGTTGACAGTAAAAAAATGGGAAAAAAAATCATATCAAATCTTATAACTTGGATATTAAAAGAAGTTCTACAAAATATGACAGTTTCAAAAGAGGGGAGAAAAAAAAAGTAGACAATGTCTCATCTGCACAAAAGACCTTACTTACTGATCTCAAATCAATAAAAAACAGCCACGACTCAGCTGGAGGGCTCCATGGGGTTTGCTGAAACCCCAGCAACTGACCGTTAATACTAATGTGTCAATTTCAAGTAAAGTCAATCCTGAAATACAAAACACATTGAGGATCTATGCACAACTTCTACTTTTCCTTTTCACAGAAATAATGAGTCAGTCTGCTTACCACACACTACTTTTTAGAGTAAGTTAGAGTAAAAGAATGCTTTGCCATTGAGGACAACAACATACATGTGTCAGAGTTTGGAAGGCATGATACCGATCCACTTCTTGCACGACATAGTTATACGCTCTCAGAACAGCCACGCCGGCATCTTGCATCCCATCAACATCTTCAGAGTCATTAACCACAAAGATAAAACCAATTCTGGAGGGGGTGAGGAAAGAAGAAAAAGAAACTTCTCAAAGAACGCAACTGGTTACGAGGAATGGCAACCCCTACGGCAACCCCTGCTCAGTCGGAGGGAAACTCTGCTCCTGCAAGAAGCATCTTCCTCCAGCAAGGTCAGCAAAGGTCACCTCCGGTCAAACGGCAGGCGCACTAGGGCCCTCTGCACTTGTCCAGCAGCAATCAGCAAAGGGAAACCCACACCACCTGTCCAACAGCAGGCTCGCAAAGGCCCACTGCACTGGCCTAGCAACAGTGTGCACATCAAGAAAAGAATCCTCTACTGACACATACGGCACTGCTATCATTTGAAGTGGGAATTTTATCATATAGCTTTAAACAAAAATTGGCGAAAACAAAAATTCTCAGACTGTTAAACAGAAACAAGGGAATTTTGAGTCATCATATAAGCAACAAGAGAATCACAGGGGTAAGGAACAAAATATCTATCCTATGGTGAAACCTTACAATCAAGGTTAAAGTTTCTTAGAATCTAAAGTTTCAAACAAAGAAGCAAAACCCAGACATCACTTCTATGGACTGGTTGGAAAGTCTTTCAGAAAGCCCCGAGCCATCATCGTGCAGCAAAAGCAATTCACTAGAGACAGTCTTTCCAACAAATGGTGCCAGAACTGGACATGCACATGCAAAATAACCTATCTAAATACCCACCTTCTGCCCTTCGCAAAAAATTAACTCAAGTAGATAACAGACCTAGATGTGAAATACAACACTATAAAATTCCAAGAAGTTGCAACAGAGAAGAAAATGTAGGTGACCCTGGGTCTGTGAATGACACAGAGATCCCAAGGCCCAATCCATGGAAGGAAAAAAAAAAAACAGTGGGATTTGATTAATGTTAAAACTTCACATCTACAAAAACCATTGCTAATATGATGAGAAGACAAACCACAAACTGGCAGAAAATCTCTAAAGACAGCTATCTGAAGAAGGTCTAGTATCCCAACATTTTTCAACAGCTCCTAAAGCACCAAGGCAAGAACCAACCAATGAAACTAAAATATAGGCAACAGATCTCAACAGACACATCACCAAAAAAACCTAAAACAGATGCAAATAAACACATGAAAAGACTCTGAAGGATAGTACACCATCAAGGAATTACACGTGAAAACAGTAGCACATTGCTATGTATCGACCAAAACAGAAATAGGTACTCATAACACCAAACACTGGATAGGGTATCAAATCCTTGTTCCCACGCCTGCTGAGAATGCAAAATGGTACAGCCTTTTAGAAGATACTTTGGCAGCTTCTAGTGAAACTCAGCATGCACTTAGCTCACAATCTCATGTATATTTAAAAATTCACATACAGACTTTTGTACTATAGTTTCCCAAAATCAATGAATATATCAACTGAAGTATAACTTTAAAATTCTTTTTTTTTTAAATTTTTATTGGAAAGGCTGATATACAGAGAGGAAGATCTCCCCACCGATGATTCACTCCCCAAGTGAGTGCAACGGCCGATGCTATGCTGATCCGAAGCCAGAAGCCAGGAACTTCTTCCGGGTCTCCCACACGGGTGCAGGGTCCCAAAGCTTTGGGTCATCCTCGACTGCTTTCCCAGGCCACAGGGCAGGGAGCTGGATGGGAAGCGCAGCCGCCGGGATTAGAACCAGCGCCCATATGGGATCCCGGACATGCAAGGTGAGGACCTTAACCACTGTGCCATCGCACCGGGCCCTAAAATTAATTTTTTAAGAATTTATTCAGCAATTATCAATTTCTGTTTGCTCACAACAGCCACTGCTGGATCAGGCCAGAGCAAGGGGCCTGGCATTCTCTCACAGTCTCCCTCATGGATAGCAAGGACCCAAGTACTTGAGCCATCTCCTGCCACTTTCCAGACTGTGCCAGAGCAGGAAGCTTGATGGTGACTGGAGCTGGGCCACAAACCCAGGCACGTTGGTATGGGATGTGAGGGACCCTCTGCTGTCCTCACTACTGGGTCAGACACATGCCCCTTTATAATGGATGAATGGATACAAAGGAGAAAATAAACCACCAAGCAAAAAAAAAAAAAAGACATGACAAATCTTAAACACATATTTAGGTCAAAGAGGCCAATCTGGAAGGTTCTCTATCGCAGGATTCTGACTATGTGACTTTCTGGTTAAGGCAGCACTACGGAGCCAGTGACAAAGATCTGTGGTTGTCAGGAGTTTTGGGGGAAGGAAAGAAGGACAAACAGAAGGAGCAGAGAGGGTCTTTAAGATAGAGGATCTAGAATACTGATACTTAATAACATGATCCTTTTGTAAAACATTATCCTTTTGTCAAACTCCACACATATACAACTCAAGCAATGAATCCAACTATGGACCATGCAGCTCAGTCAAGTCATGTGCCAATATTAACTGATGGACAGGATTGTAACAATCCGAAGCCAGGAGCCAGGAGCTTCTTCCAGGTCTCCCACACGGGTACAGGGCCCCAAGGCCTTGGGTCATCCTCAACTGCTTTCCCAGACCATAAGCAGAGAGCTGGATGGGAAGCAGGGCTGCCAGGACTAGAACCGGCACCCATATGGGATCCGGGCACATGCAAAGCGAGGACTTTAAGCACTATGCTACCATGCTGGGCCCCCCGCCCCTTTTTAAGATTTATATATTTGAAACGAAGAATTACAAAAAGATAGGGAAACAGAGACCTGCCATCTGCTGATCACTCTAAATGGCCACCAAGGCCATGGCTGTGCGACATCTGCCACACTGGTGGCAGGAACCCAATCACTTGGGCCATCTTTCACTGCTTGTATGGGCACATTATCAAGCAGATGAATCGTAACTGAAGCAGCTAAGACTTGAACAGGTGCTCATACAGCCCATTCCAGCATGACTTTTGATTCCAGAATCCGTTACATGTATAACCTGGAAAGCAGGACAGCTCAAGACCTTAGGTCCCTGTCACTTATGTGTGAGACTAAAACCTGTGGCCTGGCCCAATCCTGACCACTGAATTAATTTGGCAGAGGGGAAGGGGTGTTCGAACCAGCAAGAGAAAAATCTATATCTCCTTCTCTGTGCTTCTGTTTCAAATAAAAATGTTTAAAGTTCACGCAAAATGTGCACTATAAAATTGAATGAATTTCAAAAACAAAGCAGATTTATCTTTTAGCTCCATCTTCCACAAACTTTTAGAGTGTCTTCATATGTGACTAGGTGGCAGTAAAGGGTCAGTTTGAAATGAAAATTATCCTTGTTTTTTAAAACCCTCTTATGTCTGTTGGCTGCTGGTAGGTTCCAGGCTGGGGCCATCTCCACGTCCAGAGCTCTGACTCCAGCCAGGGGCTTCTCCCTTTATCTCCTCATTTACTCCAGATATAGAAAAAGAAGTAGATGTGGAAAGAATAGTCTTACCCACTTTCCCATAGCTCTTGATCCTTGTGCCTAATTAACCATGTAAAGATTGTTAAAATAAAGAAAAATAAATAAATTGATTTAAAAACAATCCTCTTATGATGAAAACTGCACATGTATGCTATGGACAGAAGCAGCCTAAACAGTCTTATGAAAATAAACAAATGGGCCACAACCTAATTAGACTATCAGACTCTTATCATAAACTAATTCCCCTCCTTACATTTTCAGTTTTGAAAAAAGACATTAGACTTTTTCTATTAGCTAGACCAGAAATTGCAGAATTTAGCTTCTCCTGGGTCCAGTCTCATGGCAAGCACTACTGGAGAGTTCATCAGAGGTATGCCTGGTCTCCACAGCCTAGGCCAATACCTCCACGTAGGCCTACGACAGCTCACAGTGAGTACAGCAGGCTGCAGGCCTGGGGTTCTCACCAACTTCCTGCAACACAGCTCTCGGGGGCTGATGACTGAGTGCTGCATCCAGCCAAGTGGCAGTCATATAAGAAAACCTTCACTGAACTCCAAACCTCTGCTTTGCCAAGCCATCAAACTTTGCTTTACTCAATGCCCAAATTCCTACTTCCCCCTGAAACTTCAGCTTCTCAGGTGATTCAATTCCTAAAGCACCTGATGAACAGCAGCACAAAAGTTCTCGGTCAAATGCCTTGCTGAAGCGTGTACAGCACTCAGAGATTCTCTCTGCCAGGACCCTAGCCACATGGCTTAGCCATCACCCTCAGCAGCTAGCTCAGTGCTGGCCGGGAAACATGCAGCAGTGCTTGCTGGTTTAACGCTCGTTTTGTTTCCAAGTTTCCTAAGAATTCAAACCTCATCAACATATAAAATGACCACAACTTTTCAGAAGGCAAGTTCAAACGTCTTAACACTTATATGTAAATCTGTAAAAGTTTCTTCTAGCTGTTCAGTGTCATGTGAGGAGAGCTGGCATCAACTGAACCGTGCGTCTGCTGCCTCTACACAAGTCAGCCCACGGCAGTGTAACAAAGCTAACTGGCAAAGCTCACTTTGCCACAGGGTCTGTGACACGGAAACCCACTCATGAAAATTCCCTCTCCTGGCGAATAAGCTGAGACCACAAACTGTTGACAGGGGCTACTCACTAACACTTCAATGGTGAAAAGCTACTGTTCATTGACAATCAAATTCATTGTCCTAAAAAACAGTGACCTTATTTCAAGGAAAAATCAAACTTCCATTAATGATTCCAAGTATTACTTTCCCTCCAACTCAGGAGCACAAGACATGCATTTTAGAATGAGAAAAATCTCAGTGACAGCGGATACATCCTAAGACAATACCAGTGTTACCTTAGAGGTATATGATTACTGAGGAACATCTCAGCCGTGTTAATCAACTCCGCCGTGCTCTCATGTGTAGGGTCAACCATGAAAACCTGTGGGGAGAAGGGAAGTGAATCAGCAGATGGAGGATCTTCTTCTCTGTCACTCTTCTCTCTGTATATCTGACTTTCCAATGAAAATGAAATAAACAAACAAAACACAACAAGAAACACAAAGAGCACAGCCTGGGAGAGCAGAAGCAGATGGCTTAAGTCCTTGGGATCCTGAACCCATGCAGAAAACCCAGAAAGAAGCTCCAGGCCCCTGACTTCAGACCTGCTCAGCTCCGGCCTTGCAGCCATTTGAGGAACAAACCAGCAGATGAAAAACCTTCTGTCTCCTCTCTCTTTGTAAAATCTATCTCTCAAATTAAAAAAAAAAAAAAAGACAAAAACAACTTTTTTTCAGACAGCACATTCTAATCCCTAACTCAAAGATGAGGAGTACCTGTTCACACGCTTGCTGGACAATGCCACACTGCTATGATGGCTCACGGCCCTATAAATGACTGGAACATGCCAAAGGCTTCCACTGTGAATACCGAGCACATGTGGTCATCGCAGGAGGGGAAGCAGGTGGTCCACAAGCACACACCCTGCACAGGACACTAACGTAGGGAAGGCAAGGGAGAGGGCTCAGAGCTAAGGCAGGAAGGGGCAGCTTCCTTACCATGTTATGCAAGTTCCTTCTGATCTGCCGGATAACGCCAGGAAAAGTGGGTCGAAGCAACTCTTGTAGGTTAGAAGGCCATGAACTGTATCTGCTATCAAGCTCCAGGTTGTTAACCCACTAGACAAAACAACACAACATGGGGCAAACATTTTAGTGAAATGTACAGTAACAAACATTTTAAATTATGTTAAGCAGAATCACATGATTAAAGGTCATTTACAGAGATCAAGCAGAGAAACAAGTGACTAAAACAATGCAACAGGTGAAGATATTTGCAACCACCAAGACCAATGTGAGACGTATCAATTTAAAAACTCAAGTCCTTGGGACCAGCACAGTGAGTCAACAGGCTAATCTTTGACTTGTAGCACTGATATCCCTTACGGGCGCCAATTCTAGTCCCGTTCTGTAACTCTGTTTTTGAAATAAAAATTAAGTTAAATCTTTCAATTTTTTTAAAAAGGGAAACTGACGAAAGAGATTCTGCGGGAATACTGGATTATCCAAATGTTTACGTTATTTACTAGGGAACAAAAAGATAAAGTAACAGGGGAGACCGGGTGGAGGGACTGCACATCACCTCGCAATAAAGAATGACCAGCAAGCAAGAAGCAGAACTACAGAGGGATATAAACAGCGATTTGTCACATGTAGCACCATATCCCCTCCAAACTGATCTCACACAGCAAGGTCAAATGCTAACACTGATGTAAATCATTACTAAGTATGGTGAGATGTGTCACATGGTTGTGACTTTTTCTTAACAGTAACCTAAACATACTTATGCATCATAATTAAGGGCATCTTTAACGGAAGAACAAACGACACAGCATGGTTTGTCAAAGTACACAGAAGGCGTTTGACCAAGTAAGTCTTCAATAGTGATCATCTACATTCTCTTTCAATGCAATTCCTCTACCCTATGTACAATGCAGCACCCAGGCCTGGGTGCCTACAGAGTGCTGCCACATCAGCTCTGTTCCAATCTCACTTTCTCCAAGATGACCCGGTCTCTCTGACAGCTGATAGACAGGCGCTGAGGATCATATAGCAGGCAAGAACTAAAGTTCCATAAAGAGAGTTCATCAAAAACTCACAATGTTAAAAATAGCTTTAAGCTATACATGTTGTCACAAAAAACAGACAAGGCCTGTAGGCAACTGAGGAAACACAGAAGAAACACTGTCGCAGGATGTTCAGCTGAGACCTGGAGCATCACAACGGTCCTAACCACTTTATCCTCAATAGCTCGACTGGGAAACACTCGACCATCCAACATATGTGCACAGCGGCTGGCTGCGAACCTTCCAACCACAATAAAAGAATGAAATAAGAAATCCCCAAGAAAAAAATAACTGGAAACCATACAGAACATCCCCAGGCAGCAAGCCCCTAGCCGGCTCAGCTAACTCACCGTAATGGCAGGACTCCTGATGTCCACCGCGTAGTCGGACTCGGACTGCTGGATGTTCAGCTTCAAAATCTTGTGCAGAGAATGTCCCTCTATTCCCAGCCTGTGCAGGCCCTCCATCACTCGAGCTTCATTCCTCAAGGTATCAAAAAGACTGGGGGAAAACAAACAGGTGTTCAGTAGGATAAAAAACACTTGCTATGAAAAACATCCGCTCAGTTCAAACTAAATGCTAAATCAGATTAGCAGGGAAATAAAAAACAGAAGCTAACCTTTGCTTTATCCCATCAAAACACACTGAACAAAGCACCTAGGACCTGCTCACCGATGCCTACCAATGAATGCACAAAGTATCTCCAAGTTTAAACACTTAGCACAAGGATGACATAAACCTTACTTTGTTACTGCATGGCTTTAAAAACCGTATTAATCCGGGCTTGGCGCATTAGCATAGTGGTTAAAGTCCTCACCTGGAAAGTGCCGGAATCCCATATGGGTGCTGATTCTAATCCGGTGGCCCTGTTTTTCACCAAGCTCCCTGCCTGTGGCCTGGGAAAGCAGTTGAGGACGGCCCAAAGCTGTGGCGCCCTGTACCCGCATGGGAGACCCAGAAGAGCTCCTGGCTTCGGATTGGCTCAGCTCTAGCCCTTGCATCCACTTGGGGAGTGAACCATCGGACGGAAGATCTTCCTCTCTGTCTCTCCTCCTCTCTGCATGTCTGCCTTTCCAATCAAAATAAATAAAAAAATAAAAATAAAAACCAATATTAATCTGTATTGTTTAATTGCATATGAATCTATAAGTACCTGAAAATGAATTTTAATAAATCAGCAAAAGATGTTACAGGATATAGGATTCAATATCAGTGTCTATCTACAAAGACACTATGCAACATACATGTAAACCGCAGGAAAAAGAATTCAGTGTTTGCCTGGGATGTAGAAGGACAGGTGCATGAAATGCATCAGGAGGTAAAATTTGGTTTCTTTATCTCCATTAGTGCAAAGTATTTACATGGAACAAGCGCAGAGTACACAGGCTCTGCAACGTGTGTATATGCACAGATACACAATCTTACAGTAAACACGTCTGCTTTTACTAACTTGTCACTGGCATGTTAATGCAATTAGGCACGTAACAGCCAACGGAACCGAAGTGAAGTGAGCCTTGTTCGGAAGCATCAGCACGTCCTGTTATCTTTATTCTGATGTAGCCAGTGCCAACCCTGTTGATTAAATTTTAAACACAAAAGCAGAGCTCTGTGGGACTGCTCATTCAGGGGTAATGAAGATAAAATAGAGCAAGTGTATCTTAAACTGCATTTGGATAACCCAAAGGGTGGGCATGCAATGATACTTGTGGGCAGAACGCCTTCTGGACATGACATATGGCATTGTAAATAACGTTCCTTTAGGCCTGGTATGATAGCTCACCGGCTGAAGTCCTCACCTTGCCTACACCAGGATCCCATATGGGCACCGGTGCGTACCCTGGCTGCCCCGCCTCCCATTCAGCTCCCTTCTTATGGCCTAGCAGGGTGGTCAAGAAAGACCCGAAGTCTTGGGAATCTGCACCCACAGGAGAGATCCAATTGAGGCTTCTGGCTCCTGGCTTCAGCTCTGGCCAGTTGTGGCCACTTGGGGAGTGAATCAACGGACAGAAGATCTTTCTTCCTGTCTCTCCTGTTTGTAAATCTGCCTAAGCAAAAAAATAAATAAATTTTTAAAAATACATAAATAGAGCCCGGCGGTGTAGCCTACTGACTAAGGTTCTTGCCTTGAACGAGCTGAGATCCCATATGGGCGCTGGTTCTAATCCCAGCAGCTCCACTTCCCATCGAGCTCCCTGCCTGTGGCCTGAGAAAGCAGTCGAGGACGGCCCAAAGCTTTGGGACCCTGAATCCATGTGGGATGCCCAGAAGAAGTTCCTGGATCCTGGCTTCGGATCAGCATAGCGTCGGCCGTTGCACTCACTTTGGGAGTGAATCATCAGATGGAAGATCTTCCTCTCTGTCTCTCCTCCTCTCTGTATATCTGACTTTCCAATAAATAAATAAATCTTAAAAAAAAAAAAATAAATAAGCCTCCACTACTTGGAGTGCAGATGCCCTAGAGCCTGCTCCTTTCTCCCTTCCTGTGGTGAACAGGGCATCCCTGAAACACACTGCGAGCTTGAGTGGACACTGCGACAGCAGACAGCAACACTCACACTGCTCAGCCAACCTTCACACACACAGTGGGGCCTGGCAAGCCACCAGGATTTCCATCTCACCATAGGAACAGTGACCTGCACATGCCACAAGGGGCTATATGTTACAAAGAACAGATGCATCATCCATACCTGAATATGTCTTGTGTATCTAAATCAATGTGAAGTCCATTGATGAAAATAGCTGAGTCTCCAGGATGTATGCCTAAAGTTCCCTTAAAATACTGAAACATAAAAGAAATAATATATTAAAAAGCAATGAGAGAGCCCGGCGCAACAGTGTAGTGGTTAAAGTTCTTGCCTTGAATGCACCAGGATCCCATATGGGCACTGGTTCTAATCCCAGCATCCCCACTTCCCATCCAGCTCCCTGCCTGTGGTCTGGGAAAGCAGTTGAGGATGGCCCAAAACCTTGGGACCCTGCACCCGTGTGGGAGACTCGGAAGAGGTTCCTGGCTCCTGGCTTTGGATTAGCTCAGCTCCAGCTGTTGCGGCCATTTGGGGAGTGAACCACTGAACAGAAGATCTTCCTCTCTGTCTCTCCTCCTCTGTATATCCGCCTTTCCAATAAAAATAAAAATTAATCTTAACGACAACAACAACAAAAAAAAAGCAATGAGAAAACATTTTCCAAAACCACAGTATTTCTGGGTTTTATTAGGGCCCAGTGTGGGAGCTTAGCAACTAAAGTCCTTGCTTTGCATGTGCCAGAATCCTGTATAGGCGATGATTCTAATCCTGGAAGCCCTGCTGTGACCCAGGAAAGCAGCAGAGTATGGCCCAAAGCCTTGGGACCCTGTACCCCAGTAAGAGACCCGGAGGAACCTCCTGGCTCCTGATTTCAGATTGGATTAGTTCTGGCCATTGTGACCACTTGGGGAGTAAGTCAATGGGCAGATCTTTCTGTCTCTCCTGCTCTCAGCAGTGTATCTGACTTTCCAATGAAAATAAACAAATCTTAAAAAAAAAAAATCTTGACAACCTGAGGTGGACTCATATTTCCTTCTTTGTACTCCCACACACTTCTTAGGACCTAACTGAACCGAAGACTGCAAGTTCAACAGGGCACACTGCTCCTGTTTCTTTCCAACCTCTGTCAGCTTTATCACGATCGTCTTAACTGTTTCCTAATGCAGGTACGGATATCACAAGGAGAATCTGAACCCTGTGCAATGACTTTACTGGCTAATCCTCCCCTGCAAGTGCTGGAATCCCATATGGCATCAATTTGTGTCCTGGCTGCTCCACTGCCATTCTACCTCTCTGCTTGTGGCCTGAGAAAGCAGTGGAGGATGGTCAAAAGCCTTGGGACCCCGCGTGCTCATGGGGGGCCTAGCAGGAGCTCCTGGTTCTTGGTTTCTGGCTTCAGATTGACTCAGCTCTAGCCACTGTGCCACTTGGGGAGTGAACCAGCTGACGGATGATCTTTGCCGTTCCTTCTGTCTGTAAATGTGCCTTTCCAATAAAAATATTTTAAAACCAAAACAAACAAAAGAACTAAACAGAAAAATCTTACAGCTACCAAGCTTAATGGAAGTACAGAAAAATGGTGGACCGCGTAGTGGCACAGGAGGGTAGTCTTCTGCCTGCAGCACTAGCAGTTTAATTCTCAGATGATCCAGCTCCCAGCTAACAGCCCAATGTAGGAGGACAACTGATTGGATACCATTTGCATGAAAACAACTGTATACACAGAACAGGGGAAGGTGTTTCCCCCACTCCCCTCCCAACCTCAAAGACAGGGAAACAAGAGCTAACAGACCAAGGAAAGGTAGTCTCCCTCTTACTGTTGAAATGTTAATGCCTCAAACCCTCCTCCCTGATACCTAGGTGATCCTCAGTTTTGAAAAGTCTAACGTCGTTAATAAACTTGGGCTACTGACCATTAGTCAGTAGTCTGCACACATTATCACAGGCTCCATCGCCGCTGGACAGCGACCAACCTAGGAAAGGCGCAGCGGATGGCGCAGGTCCACAGGTGCAGCCATGTGGGAGACCTGGCAGCAGTTCCCAGCTCTTGGCTTTGGACAGGCCCAGTTCTGGCCACCGTGGCCATTTGGGAGTAAGTCAACAGATGGTTGTAGTCCCTCTGTCTCTCCTTTTCTCTCTATTGTAACTCTGACTTTCAATCAAAATAATACAATCTTTAAAAAAAAACAAAAACAAAGATTACCTAGCAAAGAGGAATCAAGGTGAAGAACTGCAAAGAATTCTAGAAATTTTTCTAAAACAAAACAAAATGTTTCTCCACATTTAAGAGACACATCACTTATCCAACAGTACAGAGACTTTCGTCTTCCAATGAGCATGTAGCAAAAAAAAAAAAAAAAGAAAAAAGAAAAAAATCCTATATAATTCCAGACAGTAAAACACACTTCATAAAAAGGCTTCAGACCACTCATAATTGAAGCCAAAATCCCAAGCAAAGGTAACAGTGTCTTCAATTCTTTAAATTTGCACTCTAAATTTGCATACCCCACCAAGCTTTCAATACAAGCAGAAGAGGAAAATGAATTCTCATAAAGAATGTGCTGCACTGAAAGAAAAAAACAAAAACAGACCCCAATAAAGGAGGTTAAAGGACAGTATGAGGATGTATAACAGCATAAAAAGCTACCAGCCGATATTAGAGCAGATCAAAACTGGAAAAAAAAATCACAACATAAAATAGTAAGACAGGAAAAATGACAGTAAGGAGCAATGCAGGGACACGGGTGGGAAGGAAGTAAAAGACTTCACATTCAAAACAAGACGCCAATGCACAACTAGATTGCAATCCAAGTAGGGTAGAAGTAATGGCAAGAGGAACTGCCAAGAGTTGCAAGGAGCTGCCTTGGCAAAGAATGGAACAACAGGGGTGACACACATTTAGGGAGTGTTCCTTTTCTGAAGCAAGGGGTAGCACTGTTCCATGCTTCCAGTTGTAGTTATATTCAACTCTGATGACAAGCTAAAAATGTGACCATTACAGAAATCTACAATGCTGCCATCTCTGACGGTTATACTGTTCAACGCCACAGGATTAACCTCAGACGTCCTCACGTTTCAAGACAGATCACAGAAAAATGGTCAGTATTTTGCGCCTGTTCATACCTTTTGATTCTCTTCCACTTCCGCTCGAAGTTCTGAACTCACAGCAGTTTTCGTGATTGCCCTGAGGATCAAAAATATGATCAATTGCTTAATGTTTGATACAAATGTCTTCATCTTCATTTTCCCTACTTTGAAGAAGACTCTCTTGCTCCAGAAACTACATACAAGTCAAACCTTTACAAGTGAAGCATGCATTTCCCCCTCTAGGAGGGGCGCGGCACTGCTGGAAGGCTGCTGCAGGAGCACTGAGGCAGGAGCCGTGCCTTCTTCCATCTGTCCTCCTGTTTACCATCTTTACACTCACACACCGCAGGATGAGAGAGAAAGGAGGCTGCAGGCTGCTGTCCGACTCAGAGAGGATGCAAAGTGTCCTGTTTAAGTACTACGATGTGGCAAACATGGATTTACTCTGATTTGTAATCAATATAAGTGACTTTACAAGTTAAAAAACAAATTTGTTTACAAAATATCAAGTCTGAAATCAAAACATCATATGCAGATTTCTCAAGGGAAAAAAAAGAGGGGGGCACAATTATACGTAGTGGGTATCATGGCACAGCAAATTAAGCCACTGCTGGGGCCCCACACCCCATCAGTCACTGATATGCCACTCCCAATACTGCTTCCTGCCAATTCAGCACAAGCTGGGAAAGCTGTATTAGGAGGCCAGTATTTCTGATGGACCCATGACGTGCACATGAGAGATCAGAATGCAATTCTTGGCTTGTGGCTTCATCCTGGCCTAGTCTTGGATATTTTAGGAATTTGATGAGTAAACCTATCGTTCAAAGATTTTTCTATATTTTATCTATTCCCTCCCCTAACCTCTGCAATTCAGCATTGCAAGTTAAAAAAAAAAAAATCAACCATTTCAATTAACTCCTAATAAAACTTTTAAGCCATTTTGCCATGCATTTGCGACATGTAAAGAAACATGACAGAATCAAAAGTGATGTTACAAAGTTCAAAACCTCTGCCACTAGGAAGTTGTTAAGACTCTAGCACTCAGCTGACTCATCAAAATTCAGCACCTACATCCTGAAGAAGCAAGGCCCCATCACCTAGATGGGTTACACTGGCAAATTTGGTATGCTGCCGAGTTGTTAAAGTCAAGACTGTCCTTCTCATCTACTTATCTACCATGCCCTCTACTGATGGGCATGGTCAGATAAAAGAGATCATTTAATTATAGAGATCACACATCTAGTAACTGGCAGTAATAAGAACCAACTAGGACCATCCCCACACACTGGGCTTGCCCTCTCAGTAGAACATTAGTGGGGGGAACAAGGTACTGTTTTTCAGCACTTTTGTATTTCACTGACCTCATTGGGCATGTAAACACAAAGATAAATGGGTACTATATTAAAGAGAAGAATAAATTGAAACCTTTGTATTACCTGGCTTTGGTAGGGAAATTCTGACTAAGATCCTTCATAACCACTAAAGCTAATTCAACAGGAGCGGCCAAGATTCGAGCAGCAGTCTGGAAACTCAGATCTGTAAAATGCCAGATAAAATGTAGAGCGTTATTCACCTATCGCAATGAAAGGCAGAAACAAATTCACATTCATTTATCGTCATTTTCATGGTAACGATGCCTTAGAAAGCAGCTCTTGTGATCCAGCATGGCTCTCCAGGAGGCCACTCTCCTGAGGCCCAGGGCTAACAGGACAGGGGAACATGGGGCTCTGCCCCGTGACAAACAGATCATTCTGATGACACAGGAGATAAGCTGGCCCGGAGTCCACGCCTAAACATTCTTACCACTTCTCAGAGTGGTGTGGACAACGACTGAGGAGATGAACCATGCAGGAAACAGCCCTTGGGGGCACTCAATCTACATTAAAACTCATCCTGTTGGTGTCACTGTATTGATAAATCAGTATTTTATTTTGCAAAATTCATTCATGCTTCCAAACAGGGTGTTTGTGGAGAGAACCATCACACTTCACTTTATGCACCAACAGCTGATACATGGTAAAGAGAACTGTTTTGAAAAATTTTGAATAATATTTGTTGCATTACTGGAAACTCTGCATAATGAGCTCCCTAAAAATTGTGCTTAATGACAAGTGTGGTTAATAAGACTAACCATTTGATCTGAAATTTATAAGGAATACAGGAAAGCACCGAATATAAGCAGGTCATTACATGAGGAAAATGTACTAGGGTTCCTAAGAAATCAAAATGTGGAAGAATAACACTAAGCTATCTCCTGACTTTGTTCACATTTCCCAGTAGACAATGGAATTTCCAAATACTTGTTTGGTGCACATGGAAAAGCAAATGAGAAGCTAGAGGTTTTAAAGGGATCCATGTTGGTTTTGCTTTCTTATGAAAATATTTGCAGTTCAGCTAAGAAAAGTGAACTAAATTCAGATGTTCATCTGTTTATGAATTGAAATAAAAATGGCATTTCACTAAACAAAACAAAATGGAAATCACTGCACAGTACCCATGGTTTAATTTTAGATGGTCTTCCCTTCACAGATCCCCATTTATTAAACCATTCCTGAAGCACCCCAATAAAACATTACAGTTCGCACTAACACAATCAGCAGAGGACAAATCAAGCCCAAACTGTTTTCCCTCATTTCTATTTCTAAAATATGACATTAACACTTTCAGGAACACAGACAGGGAGGGAGAAATCTATGAAGGAGGAAGTAGATACATTCCAGCACATTATCGTGCCTTAACACTCTACTGAGACGCAGCGTAGGAAATGCGCACATACAGGAACATGAAGGCACTGAGAAGTATTCAGTGCTACAAGCCTGAGACAGAAAATCCTGGCACGCATGTGCTGTTCTTCCCTAGCACTACCAGAGTACACAAACCTGACTAATCACGGCAAAGGATGTCTTTAAAATCTGCGACATCCCATGATTAGATACAGCTAAATTCAAACACTACATTTTTCAGTACCACAAACTTTGACCCAAAAGCAGACGAGTGATGTCTCTACGCTACTATTACCTTGCAACTGCCAGACTTTCAAAGGCGCCATTTCATTGGTGCTCTCCACCAGATGCTTTCTGAGTTCCTTCAGCTGCACTGACAGATCAGGGTGCAGATCTCTGAAAGAAATAGTCAATTAGGCTCGGCTATCCCGCTCCTACGAATAGACCCAAAAGAAATTAAAACTACCAATGTGAACTGGATCTATAATCTTATATTTACAACAGCAGCACAGTCTACAATAGCAAAGACATGGAAACAACCCAGATGCCAATCCAAAGAGGAGTGGTCAAAGAAACTGCGATCTACTCCATGGAATATTGCTCAACTATTAAAAAGAATGAAATCATACAATATGCAGACAATGCGATGATGGACTGTCTGACATTGTCTGTACCAGCGATGTCAGGGCACACTAAAATAGCACACTGGTGCAACTGTGACTACTTATGAAGAGTTGTGACATTATGGGAAAAAAATCAATCAGGGGTAGGAAATTGGAAGGAGGGGAATTACAGACTATACAGAATTAATCGTACATTAAATTTCAAAAACAAAAATTTCAAAAAAAGTCTGTTAGTTCTTTCCACTATCCGTTCTTTCCCAAAGCAAATTTAAAAGGAAGCTGGCAACAACTCTAACTTCCCTTGTCTAATCCAAGGGTATTCTTCCCTGTAAGTTAAAAAAAAAAATCATAAATTTGAGGGACTTAAAAGATAAATTAGTTATTGGCAAATATGATGGCTAATCTGGTTAATCCTCTACCACCAAATGCCAACATGTGATTATGGGCGCTGGCTTGTGTCCTGGCTGCTCCACTTCCCATCCAGCCACCTGCTTATAACCTGGGAAGGCAGCTGAGGATGGCCCAAGGGCTTGAGGTCCTGAATCCACATGAAACAGGTTCCTGGCTCCTGGCTTCAGTGTGGCTCAGCTCCATCCGGGATGGCCATTTGGGGTGTAAACTGAGGTATGGAAGCGCTTTCCTCCTCTGTTTCACCTTCTCTCTTTGTATTGTGTTTTCCAATAAAAATAAATAAATATTTGAAAAGCACCACTGCAGTGGTGATCCCAGTAAGAGGAAAAGCATGGTGATAACACACACACAGCAGGTAACCAAGGAGATATCAACTTCCCCTCCAGGGCTTCACTTGCCTATCTTTTTTAATGCTAATTTATTTTCTTTCTTAAGATTCATTTGCTTATTTGAAAGTCAGTGTTACATGGAGAGGGGGAAGAGGCAGTGAGAAAAACAGATCACTCCTCTGATGGCCACTTAATCAGGGCGAGCCAAAAGCTTCTTCCCAGGCCTATACATGCGGGGTACCCCTTCACTGCGAACTGCATCAGAACTGGCAAACCAGGACAGGAGTGAGCGCCTCTGTGCCCTGTGGGATACGGGCACTGCAACTAGCCTTTTATCAGCTATTCCACCATGCTGGCCTCATCGTTGCTTTTTAAATGAAAGATGGCTTATGTGTGGAGAAAAACAGATAACGTTATAACCAGTTATCGGGAACAAAAAAGCAAGTATGATAGCAACAATCATTTCTGCGTGGTATTCGGAAAGTGCATGGAATGTAAAAAACTATACATGAAAATCAAAAACTTTGGTACAAAAACAAGTTTATCTTTTAATCCTACATATATCAAACGTTTTGAAGTAACCTTATTTTTTCCATAGTTTTTCTTTTTGTTTTTTTTTTTTGTTTTTTTTAATTGGAAAGACAGATTTAGAGAGAGAGAGCGCTTCCATTCAGCTTTCACTTGGCAAGTGGCTACAAAGGCCAGAGTTGAGCCAATCCGAAGCCAGGAGCCAGCAGCGTCTTCCAGGTTTTCCACATAGGTGCAGGATATGGGATCCTGAAGCATGCAAGGTGAGGATTTAGCCATAAGGTTATCAAGCCGGGCCCTCCACTGTTTTGTGAAAAGAATTTTTTTAATATTCATTTATTTTCATTGGAAAGGCAGATATACAGAGAGCAGGAGAGACAGAGAGGAAGATCTTCCACCCAATGTTTCACTCCTCAACTGGCTGCAATGGCTGGAGCTGCGCAGATCCAAATGAGAAGCCAGGAGCATCCTCCAGGTCCCCCACATGGATTCAGGGTCCCAAAGCTTTGGGCCGTCCTCGGCTGCTTTCCCAGGCCACAGGCAGGGAGCTGGAAGGGAAGTGGGTCCTTCATGATTCAAACTATATGGGATGAGCCCGGTGGGATAGCATAGAGGTTAAAGTCCTCACCTTGAATGCACCAGGATCCTATATGGGCGTCGGTTCTAATCCCGGCGGCCCTACTTCCCATCCAGCTCCCTGCCTGTGGCCTAGGAATGCAGTTGAGGACGGCCCAAAGCTTTGGGACTCTGCACCCGTGTAGGAGACCTGGAAGAAGCTCCTGGCTCCTGGCTTCGGATTGGCTCAGCTCCAGCTGTTCCGGCCACTTGGGGAGTGAATCATTGGATGGAAGATCTTCCTCTCTATCTCTCCTCCTCTCTGTATAACTGCCTTTCCAATAATAAATAAATAAATAGCCATATGGGATCCCGGTGTATTCAAGATGAGTACTTTAGCTGCTAGGCTACCACACCAGGCTCAGTTTTCTGAAGTTTTAACTTTTCAAAATAAAAAGGAGAAAAATGTTGCCAGTTGTAAAATGAAATTTTTCAGGCTAAATGCTTATAAACCTTTTAGTTACATAAATATAATTCCAGTTATTTGGTTTTGTATGATCTTAAAACACAATGCACTTCATTTAAAGCTAACCAAATGGGTCATCAAAGGCAGAGCTATGAAAGCTGGATGAACTACACAGCTGGTTGGTAGATTAGTTTTGTTCTTGTAAATGCCAGGACCTCAAAATGTCTTAAATGCCACCAGCAGGAAATTAAAATGTGTGCTCAACCCTTCACCATCCAGCCTATCCATTTACGGTTGCTTCCTTCAAACTCTTCATGATAAAAATGTCAGAAGAGTGGGACCAGCCTGGTGCCACAATGAACCAAGCCACATGTAGAAGGCCAGCAGTGCATGCAGAGACTGGCTTGAGTCCTGCTGCTCTGCTTCAGTCCAGCTCCAGGACAATGCACGAGGAAAGCAGCAGCAGATGGTCCAGGCCTTCGGGTCCCTGCCCCCCAATGTGGGAGACCCAGATGAAGCTCCTGGCTTTCCGTGGCCCAGTCCTAGTTTTTACTGCCATCTGGGGATTGAGCCAGTACACGGAAGATCTCTTTTTTCTGTCTCTTCTTTGTAACTTTACCTCTCAAATATTTAATAAATAAATCTTAAAAAAAAAAACTTCCTATGTCTTAATTAACAATTTTCAAAGCATGGAAGAAATAACTGCAGAAACCAAAAAGACTCTTCAACTACAAAATACTTTCCGGGAGCAGAAGGGTTGTACACCACCCACCGTAGTCAGCATTCCATTTGGGGAACTGGTTCATCACCCAAACTGTTCCACTTCCACTCCACCTCCCTGCCTGCCTACGGCCAGGGAGAGCAGAAGGAGACGGTCAAAGCCGTGGGAATCCCAGCTCAAGTGAGACCAAATCCAGTCATTGCAGCCATTTAGGGAATGAAACTGGGTAAAAGACCTCTCTCTCTCTCTTTCTCCTTTTCTTGGGGTAACTCTGCCACTCACCAGCCGTTGCAGCTGTGTGGGGAGTGAATCATGCGATGGAAGACCTTCCTCTCTGTCTCTCCTACTCTCTGTATATTTGCCATTCCAATAAAATACATATATGATATGTTTATAACCTTCTCTTTCAAATAAATAAATGTTTTTAAATTTTTTCATAAAATGGCTATGGAATTAAGGAATTTTTAAAATTCAATAAAGACATTTATTTTCCCTTTTCATATAAAGCAAGTTCTAATAAAATGTATTTCAATTCAACATGCATCAAAGTAGGTATAACTCTTTTACATTTCCTTCAGACTATGTCTGACACAAGCAATCATGACACTTGAACTTAAAACGCATCTTTTTGCTTCAGAAAAAGTTAAGTCAAACATTTGATTTCTCCTATTATGTCAATCAAAAACTGATACATAACTATATCCCATTAACTGAGACTCCCAGAAAGGGAAATTGAGAACAGAAAGGCAATGACAGCATCATTCTAAAATAGCAGGCTTCCGAGGCTGGCACTACGACACTACTGCTCAGCATGCCACTTTCTGACTCTGGCATCCTACATGGGAGCACTGGTCCAGGTCCTGGCTACTCTGGTCCTGCTCAGGCTTCCTGTTGATGTGCCTGGGATAGCAGCAGCAGGTCACCCAGTACTTGCGCCCCTGCCTCTGCCATGGGAGACCAAGACAGCTCTGAGCTGCTGGCTTCAGCCTACCCAAGCCCAGCCATTCCAGTATCTACGGAATAAACAGCAGATGGAAGATCTCTTTCTCTTTCATTCTGCCTTTCAAAGAAATAAATCTTCATTTTTCATACTATACTTATAAAATGTAATAGCAAGGAGATCTGTAACTCAGACAACAGTCGGCATTACGATGCTTGGCCTGCTGGTCAAGACACCATTTGGGATCACTTGTCCCATGCGGGAGTAGCTGAATGGATACCCAGCTCTGTTCCCAACTCCACTTGCCTGCTACTGTACCTGGGAAATCTGCACTGAGTTCCCAGAACTTAGATTCAGCCTGAAGCATAGAGCATTGTAGGCATACGGAGAGTAAACCAATGCATGACAGTCTCATTCACTACAAGTTTAAAGAGAATAAAACCATTTCCGGGGAATAGTGTCATGGTTAAGCCTCTGGCTGCTACATTTCTGATTCAGTTCTCTGCTGATGCACCTGGGAAAGCAGTGGGGGATGGCCCAAATGCTTGAGCCCCTGCATCCACAAGGGAGACCCGGAAGAAGCCTCCGGGTTCATAGCTTTGGATCAGCTCAGCTCTGGCCATTGCAGCCATTTGGGGAGTAAACTAGTGAGCAGTACATCTCTTATTCTCTCACCTCTCTCTATAAATCTGCCTTTCCAATGAAAATAAATAAATCTCACCCAGTGATGCATTAAGGGTACTTCACAAAATACATAGGAGAGGCATACCTTAATTTTCCAAAAAGAAACCCCTGAACTTCATCAATAGGGTCACTTTCACCAATCACCGTGGTGTTTACTTCAGTTCCTGTAAAACCACACCAAATGCAAGGCTAAACACTCAGATGAGAAATTAAAATGTCACTAAATAAAGTTTGAGCAATGCTAAAACAAGGCAAAAACACATGAAATTACAATGTCATTGAAGAGGTTAAGCATTTTACAATGATTCTCTGAACAAACAGAATGTGTTCTACCATTTCTTATGTTCCAGGAAAACAAATGTATTTTTTTCTCCTTAATTTTGGAAAATTTTCATTGCTAAAAATTTCAAAATTAATAGCTACACAAAAAATTTATGATGTCAAAATTATGCATAATTTGTAATCCTAAATAAAATTACTGAGAAAAAAAGAATCAGAGGTACTGGATTTTTTTCTATTTACTTTGTAATTCCATTCGCTTAAAATGAGCTAGAAGAAAATAAAAGTCTAAAACTTGCGGTTGAGAAAATGAATTCAAATCCTGGAGTATTACAACAGGTAGTAGAGTAAACCATTCTATGCACAGAAAATATAAATAAAACGGTTCATTAGCAATACAGGAGTTTAATTTCACCTTAGAGTAGCAAATTAATGGCTATTAACCACATCAATAATAGCTATTGCTAATTAAAGTTTTGCGCAATTTCATTGCTAAATTCATTATCTATTCCTTCCAAATACTGGAAGAGGCATATATCATTGCCTTCATTCCACAGAGGGGAAAAAAAAAACCATTGAAAATTTGCTTAAAGTCACCCATAAAATGTGACAGAATAAGAATTCCACAAGGGCCCATCTTATTCCTAAATCTAATCTTTTCATCACAGAAACAGATTCTCCTATAACCTGTATGTAACGGAAAGAGAACACGGTGCTCTTATTTTTACAAATTCACCTTTCACCTGAGTATCATCCTTTGCTTTGTATTCAGTGCTCTTAATGGCCAATTCCACACCATAGCCAGAGAGATACACGGGTTCCTTCCTGGGATTCTGCAAGCAAACCAAGGATCCATCATTAAAACCTGACTCTTCCCCAGGCGCAACAAGATCACATAATACACAGCAGATATTATCACAGAAAAAGTAACCACTGGCATGCGTGCAATCTATGGCTGGAAACAGGCCCAGCTGGGGAGCTAAGAGGACACGCTGACTCAGATGGGAGTCCCACGGAGGAGGCGCAGGGGCTGGAATGGAGGCTGCATTCCGATCAGGATATGGTTGTAGTCTCCCTTGGCACAAGTGTGGATTGGGACTGGACGCACCAAGTCGGGCTAGACTCCAGCACCACCTGTTGCTCATGAAATCAAGGCTAGATATAGAACAGACTAGGCTAGATCTCTGCCCCTACTGTGTCATGTGTGAGCTGTGTCTGACTATGGACAAGCCGTGGCTGGGCTGAAACATCCAACAGTAAGAACCAGATTGAGTTAAAGGCCATCCAGCAAAGGCCACTGTTCCTGCTAGGACAGAAGGTGGACCGAGTAAGCCTGGCTCACACACCCACCAATATGCATGAAATCTGGCATTGGGAGAGGTTCTGAAGGAAGAGCCTGGGCAACTCCTCTGGCAGGACACAGACTTGGCAGGTAAGCGCAAGAAGCATGATAGGAAGCAGCCCAGAACAGACCATGGAAAGTTTCCCACTGACATACATTAGGCATGGGTCGGGGGCAGACCCGGCTGAATCAGATCACATCATCCACTGGCAAATCTAAGCACCAGAACAGTGTGGGTCAAGCCAGGTTCGGTCACAACAAAAACTAGTACACTTTACGGAATGCCAAGGTGAGGTTATCTGTACTGGATGTGACCGCAGCGCCCAACCAGCACACATGAGAACCGGGAAGGGAGGGGACAGAACCGGCAGGGGAGATATGGGTGGGGGGGTTCCCTTGCTGGACAGCTGCTCCCACTGAAGAGCATGAGCGGGGATGGGGCCAGACCAGACTAAGCAGGGCTACAACACCTGTGCGCCTCATGTGGCCTAGATCAGGGAAAAGCCAGGCTGGGATGATTGTTCCTACTGGTGCAAACTACAATTAGAGTGGGTGAGGGTTGGTTGGGCTTAGTTACAGCACCAGCTGGCAGAAGTGGCACTGGGGGCTAATTCTGTCAAGTTAAAGTGCAGAACCACCTGGAGAGGTCATAATCCAGGAGTGGGAGTGGCCTAGGATGGAAATAGTGGACACCTCCCTCTTGGGTTACCACTCCCATGGGAGGGTACAAAAACTAGGACAGCAGCTGGGGTGGCTAGACAGAGAGGTAGGTACCCAACAACATCCATGAGGGCTGGATAGTTGAGCTATTTAGATGGAACTAGGCTTTAATACTCATTGACATGTAGGAGAGCCAAATGGGATGTGGGACAGACTGGACTAGACTGCTGTATATACTGGCAAACCAGGGTAGGGGGTGTGCCTGGTGTGGGTTATTGTGGGTTGCTCCAAATAGGCTGCAGCTCCCACTGGTTTTATGTGAAGGCCGAGTATGTGCTGGGCAGAACCAGGCTGGACATTGGTTCTGGTGGAAGTCAGGAGTGAAAACAGAACCGACCCAGCAATTGCAACCACCAGCTGATAGGGGCAAGGGACTGTGCTGGGCCCTGTGTTTGCTAGTACATACAAGAATCTGGTCTGGGAACACCTCAGACAAAGTTTCTTTAGGGATCTCCCCAGTCGAACAGCCGGACTCAGAACCCTAACCATGAAAAGACAGAGGACAGAACAAGTCAATCAATCACCTCAGTCATAAGTTGGCACTGAGAAATGGGGCAAACAGAGACTCTGAGATGGACTATGTCAATCAGAGGATTCTTCAACGACCTCATAGTGCTTGGAGTTCGAGACTTGCAGCAATTCATAACTGCTGAATTATCAAAACCACAAGAGCAAGACGCTCGGCGCATGCGCCACATCAGGGACCTGGGATGAGTGGATGGGAGACTGGGTGGGGCTTCTCCCTCAATGTCTCCCTTTACCTCAGATACATGAAGGAAACAATGTGGGAAGAATAGTCTTACCCACTTTCCTGTAGCCCCTGAATCTTTTTACCCTAATTAACCATGTAAAGATTGCCAAAAATATAATTAAAAAATAAAAAAACAGTTGCACAGTCAGCCAATACTTACAGATACATAATGTCTCAACACATAGTTGATTTTGCCTGCATCACTCTTTGATATAAGCTGGTGGTGGAAATTAAAAAATTCCTCAGAGCCAATCTCAGAGTACAAAATCACCACAGGGCTCTCAGGGTTAGTGGAAGGGTATCTGTGATCTCCTTTGAACAGAAAAGGTTTGGGCCTGGAAAGTAAACACGACAAGATTAAAATGGTAACAGAAAAACAGCTTCATGAAAATCATACAAAATATAAAAGCACTATTATGGTTATTTAAGTAAAGATTATAGGCAGTTTAATATCAAAAGTATCACAGCCTTAGGTAGGATGTACTTAGTAAGATCAATGATAAGTCCAGGTTTCACACATGAGCACCAAAAACTTTGTGGAAAAGCCTATTCTGAAAAAAGCTCCCGGGAACTACACACTCTTTGGCACCACAATATCCAGTTTTTCCTCCCACTTTTCCACCAACTTTTTGAAACCCCCTGTACCTCTTCATGATTTTTAAAAGATATATTAAGCAAATCAAATACATGTAACAAGCATAAAGTAAACTTCTATTGGTCATTGTTACCAATTACTGAAGAGAAAAAAAAAGCCAGAGAGCGAATACGGACCCAACTGAAGTATGACAATTTCAGTTTGCTTATTTTCTCCCTTATAAATGAAATGTGGTTATTCTTTCATTGGAAAATATTAGGTACAAATAGTAAGAATAAATAAATAAATAAATAAAATCAACAAATAAAAGTAGATAATGGATAACTTTAAATTTGTAACTTGCCAATTACAGTCAGGTCTCCTTTCTCTTCACATTGTAACTAACATGCTCTTTCTATTAATGGACTTAACATTCATTGGATAATCGAATATACAGAGAGGAGAGACAGAAAGGAAGATCTCTGTCCGATGATTCACTCCCCAAGTGAGCACAACGGTCAATGCTTTGCCGATCCGAAGCCAGGAGCCTCTTCTGGGTTTCCCGCGCGGGTACAGGATCCCAAAGCTTTGGGCCGTCCTCGACTGCTTTGCCGGGCCACAGGCAGGGAGCTGCCTGGGAAGTGGAGCTAAAGGGACACAAACTGGTGGCCATATGGGATGCCGGTGCCTTCAAGGCAAAAGGACTGTAGCCACTAAGCTACTGCATTGGGCCGCCTAACAACTTATAAAACATCTCAAAAAAAATTCTTGAGGTTTAATTATTTTCAAGATACAAGTCACAGACTTTACAACCTACTAATCTCTGCTATAATATTCAACAGAAAGTAAAGACACAGAGCAGACATTACAATAGCAAAAAAAAAGAAAAAAGAGAGGAGAAAAGAAACCTTAAAAAATCATCAGTTAAAACTAAACACAAGACACACTTACATAAGTTATTACACATCTGCTAAAGATAATGAGATACACCTACTTGCACTAAATGAAAAGATGTCTCTTGTAAAAATAAACCTACCTACGTTCATAAATTTAAAACTATGGAAAAGATTTAAAAGTAGTTACCACCTCTCAGAAGAGGACATGATAGCATTCTTCATGAAGGCCTGCATTGTTACTGTAACACATTAACGGATGCTTTTTGTTTGTTAAGGATTACAATGCCTTTGCTTTTGTCTGCCCCTTTACCAGTGTCCACACCCTGAGCCTGAGAGGACTAGAACAGACAGTGCATTTCTGGTCTCATCCTAGGTAAGAAGCACTGACGCCAGGCAGACAAGCTCACTCCAGACCTAAGCCACCTACAAAGGCATCAGTGCTTCTGAACGAGCAAACCCACGCAACAAACAGATGGTCGGCACGCTGCTCAGAGTGTCAGAGCAGGTGAGGATGGCGTGCTGCTGCAGCACACGGCACGGAGTGGTCCATCCCAGCCCTTCACTAGGGAACTCTGTGTTTAGGTAAAAAATGTGGGCATGTTAATTACCAATTTAATACCCAAATAAGGCTTGTATTTATTGTCTGAATGATCTCTTCTGTCTGAAGCTAATAATATCCTGAGCGATCATTGCAATTAATATCATCACTGCAGGCACTGGCCTCAATACACACAGTATTCCCTCCAAAGCTAACGACAGGCCTATGAGATCTGATCTCAGATAGTTGTTACTGGACAATAACCCATCATATTACATGTTCCTATCACCTCCACTCTGAAGTGAGATGAGAAAAAGAAACACTTCTCGTTCCATGAGATGGAGCTGAGATTCAAATCTAGTGTGCCCAGCTCCAGAGTCCATTACACCCAAAATGACAAGATACACAAGCAAAAGGAGAAGGCGGAGTTAACACAGCAGGTGTAAGAGGCATGACGCTTAAATACACGTGCAGCCTACCTTTCAGACGCTGTCGGCAGGAGAGTCTCAACGGCATCCAAATCACACGTCTTCTCTCCGTGCACTGAGAAAAAGGAGCTGCAGCCTTCTGCCGGGAGCTCGTCAGCCGCTATCTGTCACACACGACACAACCAGGGGGTCCATGAAGGCATGCACATTCGAAACAGGCGATCAGAATATAATCAAATAACAGCAACGAAGGCAGACATGAACAACTACCCAACATTCAGGCCAGAGTTCTCTTTGTGTTAACTTCACTGGGTAACTCCCGTCAGCCACGAGCTAAAGTGGAAAGTTTCATCGAAATTCTAACTAAGAAAACAGAAAAAGAAGTCCAGAGAATAAAAGCCACACTTTATGGAAAAGTAAGCTTACAAATGCCAATTCAAACCCCAAAGTGTAACAATGTTCAACTTTATCCAAACACGAAAATTAACTTGAAACCCCTCACGGAAATGGCAATACATAATAGAGTCTAAAATTAACCAAGCAGGGACTGGCTTGATGGCTCAGTGGCTAAATCCTCGCCTTGCAACCACCGGGATCCCATTTGGGCACTGGTCTGTGTCCCCACTGTTCCACTTTCCTTCCAGCTCCCTGCTTCTGGCCTGGGAAAACACATAAGGACAGCCCAAAGCCTCGGGATCCCGCACCTACGACTCAAAAGAAGCTCCTGGGGCCCGGCACGGTGGCGCAAGTGGTTAAAGGTCCTCGCCTTGCACGCCCGGGATCCCATATAGGCGCCGGTTCTAATCCCGGCAGCCCTGCTTCCCTTCCAGCTCCCTGCCTGTGGCCCGGGAAAGCAGTCGAGGACAGCCCAGGGCTTTGGGAACCTGCACCCGCGTGGGAGACCCGGAAGAGGCTCCTGGCTTCGGATCGGCATAGTATCGGCCCGTTGCGCTCACTTGGGGAGTGAATCATTGGACGGAAGATCTTCCTCTCTGTCTCTCTGTATATCGCCTTTCCAATGAAAAAATAATAAAAATAAATCTAAAAAAAAAAAAAAAAAAAAAGAAGCTCCTGGCTGTGGATCAGCTCAGCTCTGACCGATGCTTCCATTAGGGAAGTGAATCAGCAAATGGAAGACCTTCCTTTCTCTCTGTTTCTCCCTCTCATTGTAAATCTACTTTTCCAATAAAAATAAATAAATCTTTTAAAAAAAAGTCAAAAAACAAAAAAATATGTACACAATAAAGTAAAATGATCAAAAGTGCACGCAAGGCATTCTAGGAAAAGGCTGAATGGGATGTCAGTTTATTTGTGGAGTTACTTATTTATTTACACCAAGACCTAAAGGGACAAGTCAATTTGTAATGTTAATCAGAGGCATTTTGAGAAAGTCAAGCAAAATAGGATAAGTAAAGGACATAATGACAAGTAAATCTGTGTGCACTGCTATTATTTATTTAGTTAGTTTAAGATTTATTCATTTTTATTGGAAAGGCAGATACACAGAGAGCGGGAGAGACAGAGAGGAAGATCTTCCATCCAATGGTTCACTCCCCAAGCAACCGCAATGGCTAGAGCTTAGCCAATCCGAAGCCAGGAGCCAGGAACCTCTCTTCTCGGTCTCCCAGGCGGGTGCAGGGTCTCAAGGTTTTGGGCCATCCTCAATTGCTTTTTGGTAAATTACTTTAGAAAAGTACAAACCTTATGATTATCAAGCATGGCCCATCTTATTTATCTTCCCATCATACCTCGTGGGAACACTTTGAAACAAATCCCAAACAACTTTTTATCATGTATAATGTTTAAATATGTAGCATTAAAAGGTATTTTTAAATATATCATCATTACACTTCCTACCAAAAAGTCAACAGAACTCCATGGAGATGGCAACTAGCAACATAGTTTACAACCTCCCCCAGTTCCCCTACAAAAACAGCAGCTTGAAAGCAAGCCCCAAAACTCGTATTCTGGTGTTTCTTTCCAATGAATTGGCCACTACATGTTCCAAAGTTCTGAAATGGCCAACAGACCATGGAAAGACATTTCTTTAGGCTCCTGTTTGAAACCAACAGCTTCGGCACACTGCTGGTCTTGATTCAGGGCCACACAGATGGCACTTCTGATAAGGCTGGGGAGAAAGGAACACCCCCCCTACACCCAACACACCAACGAGGCAGGCAGGGATGCAGCGGACAGCACAGGCACCCCTAGGGAGGAAAAACCCCAAGCAACAGGTGCTAACTGAGAGGTGTGGCGGCCATCGAGCTCTGCTCACATCAGAATCAGCTGAACATGGGCCACCCAAGTAAAATTCACCAGGGATGGGGGAGTTTGGCACTCTGCTCTCCCCAAACTCACAGGAAGACACCTGCTGAGAGCAAGCTAAAACTTGGATAGGACAGAGAGGCAAACAGCAGATAGGGTCTGAATGAAACCGTGAGTAACTATCAATTTGGAAGCCACCTTATTTTCTTGACACTGCACTTCTAAAATATAAGCAAAGCTAACTTCACATCAAAACATGCACAAGCCTATGCCAAATCCTCTACCAAGCTACAGTAAGACAATGAGCAGACCAGTATTTAGGTAAGAGACTTGACAGCAGTGATGGAAACCCTCATCTGGCAGCTGAGCACTGGACAAGAGGCAGCTTTTTTTTTTAAAAAGATTTATTCTATTTCATTGGAAAGTCAGATATACAGAGGAGAGACAGAAAGGAAGATCTTTCATCCGATGAGTCACTCCCCAAGCAACTGTAACGGCTGGTGCTGCACCCATCCGAAGCCAGGAGCCAGGAATTTCTTTCCAGGTCTCCCACACGGGTGCAGGGTCCCAAGGCTTTGGGCTGTCCTTGACTGCTTTCCCAGGCCACAAGCAGGGAGCTGGATGGGAAGCAAAGCTGCTGGAACTAGAACCCGCGCCCATATGGGATCCTGGCGCATTCAAGGCGAGGACCTTAACCATTAAGCCACCGTGCTGGGCCCCACAAGGTAGCTTTTTACTTCAACAACTTGGTTAATTTTTATTTAAATAGCCTTTTAAGGCCTGAAGCTACGATACTGGGCAGTGTAGTCACAGCCAGTGAGATCCTATACAGACAGAACACAGATAAAACAAGCAAATTATAATGCATTAAAGAGATGATATAACATAAAAGATTACCTAGTCAGAATCAAAAAGCTCAGAAACAAGGTAACATAACTCTAACATAAGAAGACATTCCTGAAACAAAAGATGATTTCAATGTTTGTATTCGTTATTGTATTTGAAAAGCAGAGAGGAAGACAGTGAAAGAGCAAACAGACACTGAGAGAAAGATCTTCCATCTGCTAGTCCACACCCCATGAAGCCCACAATGCCAAAGTTAGACCAAACCAGCCAGAAGACCAGTGCTTCATTAAGATCTCAGATATGGGTGGGACAGACAACACTGGCAAGCATGGGAACCAGGGTGGGGATGGGCTTGCTGGGGGTTGTGGGGAGTCACCCCGACTAGGCTGAAGCGCCCACTGGTTTGCGTGAAGGCAGAGTATGAAGTCGGCAGGATCAAGCTGGACTGCAAACGCCATCGGTTCGCGTGGAAGACAGGGCTGGAAACAGAACTGACCCAGCAATTGCAAGCACCAGCATATGCAGCAGCTGACTGGGGTGATGGACTGTGCCAGACTCTGCACTGGCAAGCACACACAAGAATCAGGCCTGGGATCACCTCAGATGAAGTTACTTTGGGGATCCCTCTAACTGAACTGCTGATCTCAGAACCCAAACCATGAAGAGACTATTTCAGCCAGTGGATTCTGAAGAGATTTCATCATGCTTGGAACGGCGAGATTGGCAGCAATGCAGAACTGTTGAACTATCAAAACTTGAGCAGGACCCTCGGAGCGAGCTTACATCGAGGACCTGGGATGGGTAGGAGGGTGGGTGGGTTTTGTGTATTTTTCTTTCTTTTTTTTTTTTTTTTTTTTTTTTTTTGCTTTTCCTCTGACCCCAGATACAGGAGGGAAAATGATGATACTAGTGTGGAAACAATGGTATTACCCACTTTCCTGTAGCCCTTGACCCTTTGTACCGATCAACTAAGTAAGATTATTTTTAAAAACTTAAAAAAAAAAAAAAAAAGATCTCACATGTGGGTTGCAATGATAATCTGCTGCCTGCCAAAGAATACTCCAGCAGGACTTTGCAATTGGAGGTCAAACCAGGTACTGTGACATGGGCCATGGGCCTTCCCAGCTGGGTGTGAGCCACCGACCCAAGGCTGCTCTGAAAGCACTTCACTAAAAGGATACATTGCCCACCTGAGCATACTGGCACAGAGCTAGCAGCATCAAACCGCGATCTGATACGTTACGCCTTCAAAGAAAGTTCCATGTCATCTCTGGCTAAAAAGAGCGAGAGACCTTGAAGGCTATCATCAGTGGTTTCTGGAAAGCAACCTTACGCTGAAAGAAAACAGTCTGTGCTTAATATAGGCAAGGAAAGAAAACAGGAACCACGACTTTGTATCTAGACTTTGCAAGTACAGAGTACACACCAGAACTATGACATAACAATTGCAAAAGGAATGGCAGTATTCTTCCCCGGAATCCTTCCTGACGTCTTCAGAGGGAGGGTACTCATCAGGAAAGCCAACCGAGGACACTGTGTGAGGCACGGCAAGTGAGCAATTAAGACCTGAAGTACCTCTAGAACTAAGACAAAAGAACGGCAAAAGGGAAGTCAGGGTCACAGAAACTTCTGTGCTATTTTCAGGTAGAATATAGTCATCTTTTTCAGAGGCAGAAAAGATTTGAACAGTTTCCAGGGAATGTAAGTGATGACAGCAGCATTTTACTACTGAGACTACTGAGCAGATGCTGCGAGTGAAGCAAACCAGTCATCTTAAGAAGACCTGAGTAGGGCTGGCACTGTAGTTAAGCCTCCGCCTGCAGTGCCAGAATCCGCCATGGGATCCCGTGTGTGTTCCAGATGCTCATTACTTCTCTGCCAATGTGCGGGGAAGAACGCTAATGAGTTCGACACATGGCTGAAGCATAAGAACATGCTATGTGAGATAACATAGACACAAACGGCTACATGCAAAAGTCTACTTAGACTGAGGTACCTAAAAAGACGACTCAAAGGCACAAACAGGCTGATACTGCTAGAGGGGTAAAGGGAAGAAGGAAAATGGGGGGCTCACCGCTTTATGGGTATAGAATTTCAATTCTGAAGATGAATGGCGATAATTGTTGTATGACATGAACATACTTGATGAAATCAAACTGTACAATTACAAATGGTTCCAGTGGTAAATTTTATGTCACATATACTTACATTTTACCATTAAAAAAAAAAGCAGAGAGGAAAAATTATTAAAGGGCCAAACTAAAAGGATGTTAATGAAACAAACCCATTCAAACCTCTGGTCAATACAGGCAAGGAAGCAAGCATATGCTGTGCCTTCTTCCAGTGTCTACACTACAACCAAACCATGCCAAAGAGGAGAGATGCCTCTTGGAACCTCTGGCCCCGAAACAAACAAGAAATGACAGAATGAGACACTACTGTGCAATAACAGGAGAGAATAATAATGGCTGCTCCACTGAAAATACAAGAAACCAGATATCAGGGGCTTCCTACAGGAAATAAGAGCAGAATCACATAAAAACTTGCCAGAGTCATGAGATGCAATTCCGAACAGGCTTCTAGATCCAGCCGCACCAACGTGCCGAAAACAGAACACACACTAACGGCACGGTGGGTAAAGCTGCAATCTTTGACACCGGCATCTCATGTGAGTGCCACTGCCAATCCCAGCAGCACCACTTCTGATCCAGCTCCCTGCTAATGCACCTGGGAAAGGAACAGAGGATGACCCAAACACTTGGGCCCCTGCATCCACCTGGGAGACCCTGAAGAAGCTCCTGGCTTTGGTCAGGCCCAGCTGTAGATGTTGCAACCATTATGAAAAACCTCTCTGCATGTCTGTGTCTCTTTCTCTACGAACTTTTTCAAAGAAGGAAATGAAACATTTTTTTAACCAAAACAGCAAAAACAAGGAGGAATAAGTTAAAGCATATGTGATTAACAAAATACAACAGTGAGGGCCCAGCGCAATGGCCTAGTGGCTAAAGTCCTTGCCTTGAACGCTCCAGGAGCCTATATGGGCGCCAGTTCTAATCTCAAGGCTTCACTTCCCATCCAGCTTCCTGCTTGTGGCCTGGGAAAGCAGTTGAGGACGGCCCAAAGCTTTAGGATCCTGCACCCGCGTGGGAGACCCGGAGGAGGTCCGAGGCTCCTGGCTTCGGATCGGCACAACACTGGCCGTTGGGCTCACTTGGGGAGTGAATCATTTGCCGGAAGATCTTCGTCTCTATTTCTCCTCCTCTCTGTATATCTGACTTTGTGATAAAAATAAAAAAATCTTAAAAAAAAAAAATACAGACAGTGAAAATATCTACAATGCCAATGTTCAGAGTCACACAAAGAAAAAGAGATGGAAAGGGAACTTGCCAATTAAGACTAACGGTCAAAGATCAATTTTTCAGAACTGAGCAAGACCAAACCACGGTGTAGTGATGTCCTCTTAGGCAATAACATGAAAAAAAAAAACTACAGCAGGTAACTCTACCAGAAGCTAAGAGAGGGAAGACACGGAGGCATGCTTCTCCCACCTGGGCAGAGTCACGGCGCTGCTCCTTCTGTAAGAGTCCAGATCACTGCCCTGCCCGCCTGCACCCCGGCAGTGCTGCCTCGCACTCCTCCCCGCCTGTGTCATCTACCTTTAGACCTGCGGCTGATCACCAGACTGAGGTTCTCTCTCCCAGGCTCTGCCGCATAAACTCTGCTTGTCCCCTTTGTGTGGATAGTCTTTGTCCTCTTAGATGAAAATACGTGCAAATTATACATTTTTACAAATCTGTGATTTGTAGGCTTTAACATGGGTTTTGCTTACGATTTTTAAGACAAATCTTAAGTCCTAAAAAAAATGTGAGGCCACCAAGTGACAGCGGTGTAATTCTACCCCAGGAGTGCCACAATCTAAGCCGGCGTGTTGTCACACTCCCCGCGGAGGCCTGCAGGTGCGCTGCGCTTACCTGTTGGAAGGCTTGGATTGTAGACGAGTAAGAATGCAGAGACAGGCAAAATTTCAACAAATTCTGCTGAAGAGGTGACAGAAAGCGAAATGCAGCTTCCAACACTGCCTGATAATAGGAATAATCAGTAGCTGTTAAGGAAGAAATTCAGATGGTAAGTAGGCCTGTCTCATCCAGGAAGACAGACTGCGTGTCACCACGCTAAGCGACGGCCGCACTCGAGCAGCAGGGTCACTTGAGCTGCTGCCAAGCACTCGGTGTTCACAGAAGGCACTCTGGTAGACCCCTGCTTCTCTGCCCCCTGTTCAAACCGTGCCTCCCTAGACAGCCATGCCCACCTTACCCAGATGCCTTCACTTGCTCCTCTGTCCAGAAGGAGTCAGCTGCAAAATCCACTATTCTACCTTTTCCACTTATCGCACTTTTTACTAAATGACTGACGAACTGTCCACCAACCCCTCCAGCTAGTCTCTGGCCTGTCCCATACACAGAGAGGTCCTGACCGACTGATTTTAGTACCTTCTACATGTGGGGTAATAGAATTGTAAGGTAAATTTATTTTGGTGCGAAAAAATTTGGAAGGGCCCAGCCCAGTAGCCTAATGGCTAAAGTCTTCAATTTGCACACCCAGGATCCTATATGGGTGCCAGTTCATGCCCCACTTGTTCTATTTCCCTTCCAGCTCCCTGCTTCTGGCCTGGGAAAGCAATTGCTTTGGAATCCTGGACCCATGTGGAAGACCAGGAAGAAGCTCCTGGCTTCAAATCGGCTCAGCTCCGGCCATTGCGGCTACTTGAGCAGTGAATCAGAGAATGGAAGATCTTCATCTCTGCCTCTCCTTCTCTCTGTATATCTGACTTTGCAATAAAAATAAATAAATTCTCAAAAAACAAAAGTTAAAATCTATATGTAGTTTATTCATAATACACATCTTTTCATAAAAATTTTAAAGACAGTTTATATACATGGATTTCAACAATTTTTACAAAAAAATAAATTTTATCCTTTAATTTTCATATTTTCAAGCCTTAAGTTGTGGAAGGTTAACAATGTCAATTTTTGGTTGTTTGAATATGAGTAATATTTCTAAAAAGTAAACATTTAAGATACTTTTATAATCACTTCTAATAATTTATACTCCCATAACTTTAACACAGGACACAGATCATTTATACTAAACATATTTCATTTTGAATGTCACATTTCAAATTTCATTGTAAAACGCAGACAAATCTGTCCTATGAAATTTCCAAAGTGGGCTTGGCACCATGGCATAGCGGCTAAAGTCCTTGCCCTGAACGCACTGGGATCCCATATGGGCGCTGGTTCTAATCCTGAAAGCATCTCCACTTCCCATCCAGCTCTCTGCTTGTGGCCTGGGAAAGCAGTTGAGTACGGCTCAAAGCCTTGGGACCCTGCACCCGCGTGGGAGACCTGGAGAAGGCTCTGGCCTGTAGGCTCCTGGCTTCGGATGGGCTCGGCTCCAGCCATTGCGGCCGCTTAGGGGATGAATCATCAGATGGAATAATTTCCTCTCTGTCTCTCCTCCTTTCTGTATATCTGACTTTGCAATAATAATGAGTAAATCTTTAAAAAAAAATTTCTTTTCAAAGCAAAGTGATTTTTTAATAACTAAGTTACATAGCTAAAATTTAATAGCTTTTCAAAGCCTTTATTCAGGAAAAAATAGATCAGATTTTCAAAAAACAGCACATTTTTCTAAAATCAGAATATTAATGAAATAAAAAATGTTAATGACTGTATTAAAACTAACAGCAGAGACAATTTTCAAGTATTTCCTCTTCAATCAGAACTTGCACTTGTCAGTGTAATATGAAAAGGTTTTAACCTATCAGTATCATTGTTGACTCCTAATGTTCACATCCTATATTAAGTTTTCCTAGGTTAGAAAGCGTCTTAGAGCATAGGAGAAAGTATAAGTGAGTGACACAGGCTGATGTCTTGACACTCAGGCTGTGTGTGGCTGGCAGAAATAATGGAGAACATTCTGGAAGACACTGACTTAGCGACAACAATCAACAGGTAACGGATCATTTAGTTAGTTTACAACACAGCGGAACACAGACACATCAGATGCTTATTAAGTTAATACTAAACGAGTTAGAACAACCAAAGAACAGAAACAAAGAAGGAAAGAACTAACCGTACTGCTTACAACCACAATTATACACTGCTTCAAAAACAATGACTGCGGCTGAGCTGGCTCTTCCTGGCTGCCACCACAACTCGGGTCATTATAAAGTAAAATGCTCTTCATTACTGCCACGCCACACATCCCAGAAGACACTAATGCTTCCTAATATCTTCCCAGATCCCAAAGTCAAAAAAGCATTTGCTTCAAATTTTACCGTGATTATCTGATAATCCAATATTTTTACTGGCTTCTACAAAATTCCAAAATTTCTCTGGACTCTCTTCTGCTAAAAATTCACTGTGAAAAGAGAGAAATGTCAGGGGAAAAGTTAATTATAAAACCATTCAAAAGGAACTATAGTACCAAACAGACTGAAGAAGAGTTGGGAAGTTTCCCAATGTCCCCGGTTGAGCCTCAACTTTTAATATGAATTACACACAAGGATGCATAACATAGATTTTGCTAGCGGTAAGAAGCTGTTAAAAACTTCTTAAACATTAACTTGTTGAAGTTTAATAGTTGATTTATTTATTAGTTTGAAAGCTTTTAAGAGACCCGTAATAATAATAAAAGTACAATAAAAACAGGTATGTCCCAACATAAACAAAGTTAATCAAACCCATTAACAAAACTGCCATCAGGATTAGAAGCAGAATTAGGAACAGGTAATTCCAGGACTACTTCTGCTCACTCGTTTTCTGAAGGACGTGACAAACACACAAACAAAAAATGAGAAGCTAAGGTTCTCTCAGAGTAAAAGGTGAATCTTACAAAGACTGCTAGGATACTACAAGGCAGCATATTATAATCTTTGGCATTTATATACCCACATCTTCAAAATCACAAGTTTTTAGTTTAAAATCAGCAGTGACCTAACCATGCTAATCCTAGAGCCTACTGCCATCTGAACATTTCTTTTCAACTTTACGCTCTTAATCTAAAATAAGGGTCATTCTTCATTTCCTTAAGGGCCCAGCGCAGTAGCATAGCAGCTAAAGTTCTCGCCCTGAACGCACCGGGATCCCATATAGGTACCACTTCTAATCCCGGCAGCCCCGCTTCCCATCCAGCTCCCTGCTTGTGGCCTGGGAAAGCAGTCAAGGACAGCCCAAAGCTTTAGGACCCTGCACCCACATGGGAGACCTGGAGGAAGTTCCTGACTCCTGGCTCCGGATCAGCACAGCACTGGCTGTTGCGCTCACTTGGGGAGTGAATCATCGGACAGAAGATCTTCTCTGTCTCTCCTCCTCTCTCTATATAAATGACTTTGCAATAAAAATAAATAAATCTAAAAAAAAAAGTCTTTAGGAGCGAAATACTCCTACAGAGGTGTGGTGTGTGAGTGCACACGCCCACGAGTGTGTGAAGACAAATGGAAAAATACGTGCAGTTGTTATCAACTGTCACAATTTGTCAGGGGCTGGCTTCACTAGGGGGCAGGCTAAGCTTTAGGTCTGTAGGACTCATATCCAGTGAGTCCCGGCTGTTCCACTTCCCATCCAGCTCCTTGCTTGTGCCTGGGAAAGCAGTGGAGGATGGCCCAAAGCCTTGGGACCCTGCACCCACGTGGGAGACCCAGAGGAGGTTCCCGGGTATGGATCAGCTCAGCTCCGGTCACTGCAGCCACTTAGGTAGTGAATCCACAGATGGATGAAAGATCTTCTCTGTCTCTCCTCCTCTCTCTGTATATCTGACTTTCCAATAAAAATAAATCAACCTTTAAAATAAATAAATAAATTTTCCTTTATTCAATAGTCTAAAACTCCTAAAAGCCAATGTGTGTAGCTGAATTCTCTGCATAAGCCAATGAGCTTCTCCATGGTGATCATTCACTGCATGTAAGCAAGCTACAGGTGCGGGTCCTGGCCTACCTAGCCAAAGCAAGATTTCCCTGTTACTGCTTAACACTCACTCTACTCCACAGCTGGACACAGAAACACGGCAAAAGTAAGAAACAGTTCCTGGGAATGCGTGACTTCTCTAAAAACAGGTTTCTGAAAACACCCATTATCACAACACAGGAAGCTTCTCGGTGCCTCCCCCTACACAGACACCGTAGCAACCTTGGGAGAGCTCACCCAGAGGAGACTGACCCTTGTGGAGCTCAACCCATTTATCCAGTGGGTGTCTGCAGGGAGGTTCTGAGTTGTGGCTGGGGCCCTTTCTGGCCTGGGTTTTGTTTTTGCATTGGCCTCTCACTGCTGAGAAAAGGGAGGCAAAGCCCGGGCATGGGAGATTCAGGCTCCTGCGTACTTAGGCCAGCGTCAAGGCCAGCTCCCACGTACCCCACTTCCCCATGAGTCCTTTTACCTGGCTTCTAACAACAACGGCGTGGAAGACCACTTTGTGGTCAGAGAGGTGGTGATGGCTTTTGAATCTGCCTTCACTGACGAAAATAGCCACAGTCCACTGAGCAGAAGCACAAGGCCCATCTTACCGCAGGCCCCTGAAACAGAGTTTGGCAACAAAGTCATGTTACAAACCTGAATACTTGCAGACACAAAGTAACAATAGTCTTAATAATCAGAGATACAAAATAACTGAAATAAATGCTTTGAACTAAGAAAGTATCTCAAAATGTTTATGGAAAATGGGATTCAAATATAAGTTTGAGGGCCCAGCAGTGTGGACTAGCGGCTAAAGTCCCCGCCTTGAACACACCGGGATCCCACGGGGCACCGGTTCTAATCCCAGCAGCTCCACTTCCCATCCAGCTCCCTGCTTGTGGCCTGGGAAAGCAGTCAAGAACAGCCCAAAGCCTTGGGACCCTGCACCCACGTGGGAGACCTGGAGGAAGTTCCTGGCTCCTGGCTCTGGATCGGCACTGGCCGTTGCGCTCACTTGGGGAGTGAATCATTGGACAGAAGATCTTCCTCTCTGTCTCTCCTCTCTGTGTATCTGACTTTGTAATAAAAATAAATAAATGTTTAAAAAAAAAAAAGGTTAAGTTTGAGTGCAAAATATTTCTGAAATGCATGCTTTCTTCCAAATGTATATTTCTTAAGCACTTTTTGAAGACCTGTCACATAGATTTCAAAACTTGCTTTTGCACCAACATAAACATTTTTTAATCCCATTTTCATAAGCCTTTGCAACCACACAGAGTATCTAGTTACTACAGATGCCTGCTAAATGACCCACAGGTAACCAGGCACACGAAGCTCATTTTCACAGTTTTCCACAGGGGAACTACTTCCTTTCCAGGGGCATCCACACTACAAAGCAGGAGCAGACTCGCCTGGTGGCAAAGCAGCTTGCACACAACCATGTGCGGAAATGAACAGGTGAAGACTGATACAGACATTAAAACTACACTTTAAGCTAAGAAATGTCTGTGGCTGCCAGAGGCTGGAAGAGGCAATGATCTCCAGCCAAACGCGTCAGAAACGTGTCTTGCCATACCTTGCCACACCTTGACTCAGGACTTGCAGCCGTCAGAAGCAGGAAGTAGTAAATTCAAGTTGTAGGTCACCCAGTTTGGGGCACTTTATTGCAGCAGCCCCAGAAAACTGATACAAGGTCTAAAATGTAGCTCTGAGATACACTGTAGAGGAAGTGGGCATTTGGCCTTGCAACTCACACACCAGAGAGAGAGGCTGTGGCCCATTTCGGAATTCTGAAGTTCGACTCTCAGCTCATGTTTCTCTCACTTCCCACTATAACTGACTCTCGAAGGCAGCAGAGATGGCTTACTAACTGGGTTCCTGCCACCCACAAGGGAGACCTGGATGAAATGCTTAGCTCCTAACTTCAGCCTGGCACAGCCCCAGGCATGGTAGGCCTTGGAAGAGTAAGCCTGCAGAGGCGAGTGTTCTCTCAAGGAAGTTCAAGATGTTCATTAATTTAAGACAATAAAAAGGACCCAGTGCAATGACTCAGTGGCTGAATTCTTGCCTTTCACACACTGAGATCCTAACTGAGTGCAGGTTCGCGTTCTGGCTGCTCCACCTCCCATCCAGCTCCCTGCTTGCAGCCTAGAAAGCCAGTGGCGGACGGCCCGAAGACTTAGGACCCTGCATCCACACGGGAGACCTGGAAGAAGCTCCTGGCTCCTGGCTTTGGATTGACTCAGCTCCAGACATTGCAACCACTTGAGGAGTGACCCAGCAGATGGAAGATCTGTCTCTCCTCTGTGCAAATCTGCCTTTCCTATAATAATAACTATCTTCTCTAAGCACACCAAGATCCCTGCGGAAAGCACAGAGGGGGCAGGCTTTCCCCACTGGATTTTTCATACCTGCAGGCTGCCTAACACAAGTCTAACGAGGCTTCCCCCTGAGCTATCTAAAAAGTCAGCATCCAGGGCCCGGCGCGGTGGCGCAGTGCTTAAGGTCCTCGCCTTGAACGCCCGGGATCCCATACGGGCGCCGGTTCCATCCCGGCAACCCCGCTTCCCATCCAGCTCCCTGCCTGTGGCCCGGGAAAGCAGTTGAGGATGGCCCAAAGCTTTGGGACCCTGCACCCGCATGGGAGACCCGGAAGAGGCTCCTGGCTTCGGATCGGCATAGCATCGGCCATTGTGCTCACTTGGGGAGTGAATCATCGGACAGAAGATCTTCCTCTCTGTCTCTCCTCTCTGTATATCCGCCTTTCAAATAAAAAAAATAATAAAAATAAATCTTTAAAAAATAAAAAAATAAAAAACATAAAAAGTCAGCATCCGAGCTCTACCCATTTGAATGAAACCCCCAGAGGTGACCACGGTGGGAAGCACTGAGCCACCACTGCTGTGCTTAGGAGCACTAGGTACAGAACCCTCCACCGAGGACCAGCAGCCAATGTCATGCAGCTGGCTAGTATCCTCTTTGGAAAAAAATAAAAAGCCTAAGCATACGTGCCAACCTCCTAGGCTACACTACATACCCTATCCCTGGAGAACGATGGCAAAAAGCAAAATAAGCTACATCAAATGGGGGGGGGGGTGCGGGAAGCAGTTTTTAAGTTTTGAAAGTTCAGGGGCCAGTGCTCCATGGCGTATAAGTTAAGCCTCTGCCTGTGGTGCCAACATCTCATATGGGCACCTTTATGAGTCCCAGGTGCTCTACTTCCAATCCAACTCCCTGCAAATAGTCTGGGGAAAGCAGTGAAAAATCGCTCAAGTATGTGGGCCTCATTCCCATGTGCAAGATCCATTTGAAGCTCCTCGCTTCGGACTGGCCTGGTTCTGGTTTCTGAAGACATCTGGAGAGTGAACCAATGGATGAAAGACTCTCCTTTCAAGTAAAGATAAATTCTTTAAAAAAAAAAAAAAAAGAAGAAGAAAAACTGTCTTCTAAGTTATTAAATGATATATTATAGCAATTACATGGCCTCAAAAATAAGGCTTTAAAATATGTTTGCATCCCTGGGCAAGTGGAGATGCTAAGGCGGACTGCCAGCCAGTGGATTCTGGAGACATTTCATTGGACTTGGAATGGCAAGACTGGCAGTAATGAAGAACTGTTGAACTATCAAAACAACTTACTTGCGGGCCAGGTGCAGTGGCCTAGCAGCTAAAGTCCTCGCCTTGAACATACTGGGATCCTATATGGGCGCCAGGACTAATTTCAGCAGCTCCACTTCCCATCCAGCTCCCTGCTTGTGGCCTGGGAAAGCAGTCAAGGATGGCCCAACGCTTTAGGACGCTGTACCCATTTGGGAGACCTGGAGGAAGTTCCTGGCTCCTGGCTCTGGATCAGCACAGCACTGGTCGTTGCAGTCACTTGGGGAGTAAATCATCAGACGGAAGATCTTCCTCTCTGTCTCTCCTCCTCTCTGTATATCTGACCCAGACCCAGGAACGGCTGGGAGGTTGGGTGTGGCTTCTCCCTCTGTCTCACCCCTTCTCCCAGATACAAGAAGGAAAAAAAAGAGACTGTGGAAACAATGGTCTCACCCACTTTCCTGTAGCCCTTGATCCTTTGAGTCCTAATCAACTATGTAAAGATCATCAAAAATAAATAAATAAAGATATATATACACATATAGGCACAGAAAAAAAATTATATATGTGCATCCCCTAAGGTTAGGAGGAAAAAAAAAAAAAAACGCTTCCCAAAAGTCACTGTGTTTCTAAATTGGACAGGGAACACGGGAACTGTGCCCAGGCAGTACCCTACTGGCTGTGTTAATAACCTATCCTGAAACGGCCTGGGTGTGCAAGCTCCAGCCATGCTGGGAGTGGTGAGAGAGCCCACAGCACAACAGAAGTCCCCTGGGTCACCTCAGCACTTACTGAGCAAGGCGTCTGTGCCAAGCATGGCATCAGGTGCTTTCCATGTTTCAAGTTATGGAACCCTTCTCAGAAACGCTCGGGAGACTGAAGCCCCTGAGCACAGTAACTACATCCACTTTGCTCACCCCGGTGAGTGGCACAGTGCCTGGCAACCAGCAGATTCTCTATAAATATGCTGCAGGGCCGGATGAAACAGCAACATCTCCACTTCAAAACTAAGAAGATGCAAGTTTGGGAGAGGCCGGTACCCCGGGCCCATCGGGCAACTGATGTGCCACAATGCCTGGAACTTACACGTGCCTCTTTGTAAAGTTCAAGAAGACATGCTCTCTCTCCCGGGTCCTCCACCTGTAGAAGAGGTAAGACGTGGTACTGCAGAGCAACCTGCTCTATCGTGAGGCCCAATGCAAGTCCAAGGACCATCTCCAGGCCAAGACCTCAGGACACAAAAGGCTGAGAGAGAAAACGGTTTCAACCTAAAACCAATGGCATGGACCTGATACCAGGCCCCAGGCCAACAAGCCCAACGGAATCACCCTTACATTAGCTTAGGGGACTGAATGAGAGCTCAGCAATAAGGGCTTTTGTCTGTCCCGGTCACCATTCCCTGTGTGATGCCTGAAATGGAGAAGGCTTTCCAAACAATACAAATAGGCTTTATTTACCAAGGGGTGAACAAAAGAAAACATAAAAAAAAAAAAATGAATGTGGCAGCAAGAGTTAGTTTCATCATCCAAAAATCAGGCCTGCTAAGAGCGTAGAATGAAAATCCTAGGTACTTGGGACTAACCCCGAGGTCTCCCTGCACTGGGTAACACGAAACCAACAGGTCCAGCACCGCCAGACACAAGCCTGGGACAATGCTGTGTGGCCAAGACCAGCTCTGCCTCCTTGCCCTGCAGTCTCAGAGTCCCAGAGGACAAGGCTGTGCAGAAACCACAGAGGACCATATCCCTGAAGTGATCTTTCCTTTGAAGATCTTATTGTATGCATCCCTCAGCGCTCTGAGCTCACCTGTCTTTAGTCTGAGACACAACTACGAACACAGTATGTGCATAATGCTGCAACATGTTCAGTGAACAGAAAACACTCCCAGGGCGAGTGCCCAGCAGAGCACACTGCGCCTCCACCTGTGGTGCCAGTATCCCATAAGGGGGTCAGTTCGAGTCCCCGGCTGCTCCACTTCTGATCCAGCTAGCTCCCTGCTAACACATCCTGGGAAAGCAGCAGAAGTATGGCTCAAGAACTCAGACCACTGCATGCACATGAGACCTGGAAGCAGCTCCTGGCTCCTGGCTCCTGGCTCCTGGCCCCTGGCCCCTGGCTCCTGGCTCCTGGTTCCTGGCTCCTAACAGGTCCAGTTCCATTCACTATGGCCATTTAGGGAATGAACCAGCAGATGGAACACCTCTCTGTCTCTCTCCGTCTTTTCAACAAAATTTTTTAAAAAAAAAAAAAAAAGAAAATACTCGGGCCCGTCACTGTGGCGCAGTGGTTAAGGTCCTCGCCTTGAACGCCCGGGATCCCATATGGGCGCCGGTTCTATCCCGGCAGCCCCGCTTCCCATCCAGCTCCTTGCCTGTGGCTCGGGAAAGCAGTCAAGGACGGCCCAAAGCTTTGGGACCCTCCACCCACGTGGGAGACCCGGAAGAGGCTCCTGGCTTCGGATCGGCATAGCAGCGACCGTTGCGCTCACTTGGGGAGTGAATCAGCGGATGGAAGATCTTCCTCTCTGTCTCTCCTCTCTGTATATCTACCTTTCCAATAAAAATAAAATAAATGTTTTTTAAAAAAAAGAAAATACTCCTCAGTTCATTTCAGCTCTCAGTAGGATCCAGTTATGTTTATCTCTTGGCTACCTGATCTGAAACAAGGCATCCAAAATTAAATAAAGGTATCCAAAATGTCAATAAAAAGTATGCATGTCAAATATTTTGCCACTTTTTGGAAAACGGGCATAAAAATCTTAGATTATCACCAACCATTTCTTCTTCCATTTTTAAACTAAAGACTGTAGCCAACAGTCGCTCTCAAAAGAAAAAAAAAAAAAAAAAAAACAGCTTGTGATCTGCACCTTGGTAAACATGTTGGCCATCCAAGTTCCCAAATGTATGATATTAACGAGAAGGCATTAGGAAACGCTTTTGAGAAATTCACCTCATAATCCTACAACCACACACCCCTACACCTCTAAGCAAAGGGTGGGCTGTGAGTCACATAATTCTAACTCCAGCTAAGGGGTGACTAGCCACAAAAGAGTAGAGAAAACTTTCAACAGTTTCCCCTCGTATTCAGGGCACCATGCTACTGTAGAAAGTGTAACACTGACTCCTTTCAGAGGAAGTTTCAGCTGAAGGCATCGTAAGTCAACCCCAACGAAAAGGCTACAATCAGGCTACAATCGCGCTGGGTTGATGGAAGTATCCAACAGCCATCGGAAATGCCTTCAAAGGCTTGCAAATGTACAAGTTAAGTGGGCATGAGGTTGCACCAAAAAAAGAAAAACCTGACTTGGTAAGTGCATCAAGACAAATTCACCCTAGCGAGGCTTCAGATCCCAAGATCGGAACCTTTCTCCAAGCTGGCGAAGCATGGCCAACAAACCAGCCGCAGATGCCGGCAGAGCCACCACCACGCACGGGCGGTAATTTCAGCGCCCTGATCCGCGCGGGTTGGTATTCTCCAGGCAGGTCCCACAACTCAAAAGTGAAACCGGAACATCCCGTGCCGGGCCAACACAGATCTCCCAAATGAAACGAAAACGACAAGCCACGTTGCCATCACCCCAATTCCGTGCAGGGGGCAAGTACGACCTATAACATAAATCGGGGGAAGGGGTTTGGGGAAGAAGGAAAGGCGGCAGGTCCATCTGCAAACCAGGATCGTGCAAAGTGCTTGCACTTAAGCCGGTCTGAGGGCGCTGACCCACGGCTCCCTGCACCGGGATTCGGAGGTGCTCCCCACCCCGAGGCGCTCGCCCGAGGGGAGACCGAGTCAGGTGCACGCTCAAGGTGACCGGGGCACGGCCCCGTCTCGCCCCCCGCGCCGTCTCCCGGGGCACGCGGCCTCCCCACGCCCGCCCCGGGCGTACCTGTCACCCGCCGCGCCACGGCGAGCCCCTCGCTGCCCATCCCCGGCGGCGCTGCGTGCCCTCGGAGCGCCGGGACGGGGCGGGGCGGCCGCGGCTCTGCCGCCAGTGAGAGGCCGACACGCGCCTTTCCCGCGGCTCGCCTCCGGAGCCGGACTCGCCGGAGCTGCAGCCAGCCGCCGGCCGCCCCTCGCCTTCCGCTTCCTCCACGGCGCCGGGCGGAGGACTTCCGGCCACCGAGCTCGCCGGGGCCAGAGCGTCGCGCGGCGCCATCTTCTCCCGGGAGGTCCCACCTCCCGCCTCTCTGCGCGGTCCTGGGTGGGATGCACCTCGGCTTCTGGCTACTGTTTGGAACCCTGATGTACAGTGAAGGACAAGTGGACCCAACGCCGGGGCCTAGCGCTTGAAGTCCTTGCCTTGCACGCGCCGCGATCCCGTAGGGCTGCTGGTTCTAGTTCCACCTGCTCCACTTCCCATCCAGCTGAGGAAGACAGCCCAAAGCCTTGGGACCCTGCACGCATGTGGGAGAGCCCGAGGAGGCTCTGGGCTCCTAGCTTCCGATCGGATCGGCTCAGCTCCGGCCATTGGAAGTAAATCATTGGACCGAAGATGCTGTCTATCTCTCCTCGCTGTATATCTGAATTTCCAATAAAAATAACAAAAAATAAATCTCTAAGAAAAATAAAGGAGAAGTGAGAATTTCTGAGCCTCGTAGAGTTTATCTTGAAGATTATCGTTTCATATTTCCGTTCCAGAAAACACAAGGAAGATTTTAAATTAGATGAGCTCGTTTAGTTTATATGGATGTAATTTCGCTGGGATCCCTTGTCCATGGAAATATACCTCACTGTCTTAAATATCTTTGCAATGCAGGGCCCTGTGAAGATCATTTTATGCCCCAACAAACAGATATATCTCCTTCGACAGTATATTGTAAGCAGTTATGTCACAGTGAATTAAAAAGCCAAAACCCAGATGTGAAAAGTAGGGTTTTTACTGAGCCTGAATTATATGACAAACAACTCTGGTGTCAATACCAAAAATTAAAAACAAAACAAACAAACAAACAAAAAAAACCTTTGGTTAACCTAACAGCTATACCTTTGAAAGAGCTTGAAAAATACTATAGCGAGCTGCTGAGTTTTCATTTGTTCTTTGCTGGAGAGAAAGGAGTCCAAATTCATTTCAAAGAAGGAAATTTCCTTTCTGGAAGGAAGTGTTGTGAGGTGATGTGTTATCCAACCCTCTCAGTCACTTCAGGTGGTAGATCCATAAAGGAATGAAAAACAGCTGAGCAGGGTGGGCATTGCCGCAGGTAGGCCTGTGGGGACACTCTGAGCATGGTCCCTGTGTACTGCTGAGATGGGACAACGGATATAGTAATGTTATTTCTGGTTTGTGTACTATCAGGAGTTCCAGGAGAGGTGAGGTCTAGCATGATGGAATGTGGGCAGAGAAGCCAGGGAAAGGTGAATGTCTGCAGCTGTGTAAGTGTGTCCAGATTATTCATTGCATGTCTCTCTTAGGATAGTTTATATTGTTGGGGAAGCTGGGACATAGGTCTTCAGTTTAATGGATGGACTTCAGGGTAATGGCCATTTGTTCCTCTTGGGATTATGATTGGTTGGATTATGATTGGTTGGATCGCCACATGGACTTGTGATTTGCTATTTCTAGTGTGCTCTATTATCATCAAACTTGATTAATAAAGACTCCTTAATAGACTTTAGACATGTCTGGTGTGATCTCGCTCGTACCCCACAACAAAAATAAACTTTACATCACAGAACCTACATTGCACAGTTGTCTCCTTTTTTCAGTTGTTATATTCTGCATTGTGTTGTGAAAAAAACAAAGTTGGCAGGCCTTACACAATGGCTCAATCGACTAATTCTCCCTTTGTAAGCATCATGATCCCATAATGGCGCCAGTTTGTATCCCAGTTACTGTACTTTCCATCCAGCTCCCTGCTTGTGGCCTGGACAGCAGTAGGATGATCTAAAAGCCTTACATGGACTGCCCTCTGATGGGCTCAGTTCCAGCCATTATAGCCAGTTAGAGAGTGAACCAGCAGATGGAAGATCTTTCTCTCTGTCCTTCCTTCTTTCTATCGCACTTTCCAATGAAAATAATTTTTAAAATAATTAAGTTTGTTCAGTTACAGCATACATGTGGTAGAGAGTCTTTCAGAAAATTGGATTTTTCTTTTTCTAAACTTTTACTCTGCAGAGTGCTATCATATGTGATTGGAAACATTTCCAGTGCTTGCAAAGTGAAAATTGAGCCATTATACAAGGATTTAGTGAAAACTCTTTTTTTTTCATTTCTAGTCTACAGGGCTGGCACCATGGTATGGTAGGTCAAGCCTCTGCCTATAGCACCAGCATCTCATGCTCATAAATCAGTTCATGTCCCACTTACTCCACTTCCAATCCAACTTTATGCTAATCACTTGGGAAGGCAATGTAAGATTGCCGGCAATGCCCACTTCACCGTATATCCCGAGCTGAGCAGAGACAAGGGTTGAAAAGAAGACAACATACACTGGGTCATTAGTGTAAGGAGAATGCCATGTATTCAAATTTCAGGCTGCCTTTATATGCTGCCAAGTTCCACTCAGCATTATCCCATGCTCAAGCAGCCATCCTAAAATCCCCCAGGGGCATAACTTGACAATCAGGAAGCAGGAACTTGTGGTTACACCAGGAGCTAAATGTGTCATCCCAAGATTGCATGTCCTGTTACACCTCTTGAGAAACAAGATAAGCTGTGGAGTCAACCCTTAGGAGACGGGCCCTGCATAAGATTGCTTAAACCTTTCAGCCCCTGCACCAACATGGGAGACCTGTAGTAAGCTTCTGGTCCTCAGCTCCCAAACTGCTCAACCATAGTCAGCTGTTGCAGCAATGTGGGACATGAACCAGCACATACAAGATCTCTGTGTCTCTCCTCTCTGTCACTCTGCCTTTCAAATAAAAAATGAAATAATTTCATTTTAAAAATGCTTACTCTTGGGTCTGGCAGTGTGGCCTAGTGGCTTGAACACACCGGGATCCCATATGGGCGCCAGTTCTAATCCCAGCAGCCCTGCTTCCCATCCAGCTCCCTGCTTGTGGCCTGGGAAAGCAGTGGAAGACGACCCAAAGCCTTGGGACCCTGCACCTGTGTGGGAGACCAGGAAGAAGTTCCTGGCTTCTTGCTTCACAGCAGCACAGCTACAGCTGTTGCAACCACTTGGGGAGTAGATCACCAGACGGAAGATCTTCCTGTCTGTCTCTCCTCCTCTCTGTTTATCCGACTGTCCAATTAAAATAAATTATTATTTTTTAAAGAGTAGCTTCTTACTATTAAAAAAAAAAAACTTTGAATATTTGCCAAAAATGTGTTGGCAGCTATTTCTGGGGCCTTTTCTAATGACATGTATGTGCATTTCAGTAAAAACACAGTATCTAAACACCAAAAATAACGCATGTTTAGATCTTTGCCGATATCTATGCTAAAGGTTTCTATCTCATGGTGGAAGTTGTTGTGCCCAGATTTTGAGATCCGCAGAAATCATCAGGAATCTGAAATCGATCCAAGTGCACAAGGATGAATTATTGAAACTCAGCACATCTGAGCCTGGGTTCTTGGTTGAGAGTAGGCAGGTCGCTGACCAACACCCCTTACTGGAACATAGTCCATACAGCTCATTCATAGGGTTTTTAGAAGGGCAGTTCACAATAGCTTTAAAAGGGGAAATTCAAAATAGTCTGCAAGGTGAGGGGAATTACCACACATTCCCTAGCTAATCTAGGCTGGACAGCCCATGCCTCCAGCAACTAGGGCAAGCACCCACTCAATTACTTGGAGCCACCTGTGAGATAATCAGACTTAGGTGGGCCTTGATTCATGAGAATTTGGGCCCATCAGTGCTAAAGGTCAGATAGGCTGCTGAAGGTCACATAGGCCTTTTGGTCTGCAAGCTCAGTTTCTTAGCAGCAATGAGCCATAAACAAATGCTTGGGAGTTTGAAACTGCAGTTCTTCACAGGCATCCCATGCAGGTGCTAGTTCAAATCTGAGTTTTTCCACTTCCTATCCAGCTCCCTGCTCATGGTGTGAGAGACCTGGTAGAAAAGCTCCTGGCTCCCAACTTGCGATCAGCTCAGCTCTGGTTCTTTGGGGAGTGAATGAATGAATCAAAGACCCCAAAGAAGCTCCTGGCTCCTGGCTTCAAACTGGCCCAGCTACAAGCACTGCAGCCCTTTGGGGAGTAATCCAGCAAATGGAAGGTCTGTCTCCGACTCTCCTTTCTGCCTTTCAAATAAAATAAAAATATATTTTTAAAGTTCATAAGAATTCATGTTATCTTCTTAGCCCATTTTTGCAGACACTTTTGAAGCCTATTTGTGTATTATAGTTAGTGCTTCACAGGGAAGGCTCTCTGTTTTTGACAGAATTATCAATGACATGCAACTTGAGCTTATCATCACCTAAAAGGGTGTTTGGTTTGGGCAAGATTCAGATGATTGCTGGGATGGAAGGGGTCAAAGGTTAGGAGGCAGAACCGCATGGTCTCCATGACAACCATGAAGCAGAGAAAGCATGTTCACTGACAGACTTTTTGGCTTGGCATGAAGTGTGAGAGGAGTTAGACTGGGTAGTAGGCAGTTAGGGTATTCTGGGTCCCCAAGTCATCATCGTTTTCTCAAATATAAAACGGTATTTTCTCCACGCAATGGCCGATGCTATGCCAATCCGAAGCCAGGATCTAGGAACTTCTTCCGGGTCTCCCACATGCGTGCAGGGTCCCAAGGCTTTGGGCCATTCTCAACTGCCTTCCCAGGCCACGAACAGGGAGCTGGATGGGAAGTGGAGCTGCTGGGATTAGAACCGGCACCCGTATGGGATTTTGGCGTGTTCAAGGCGAGGACTTAAGCCACTAGGCCATACTGCCACTGGGCCCACACCAGAACACCTTTCTCTCAAGAAATAAGTGCATAGGGCCCGGCGCGGTGGCGCAAGTGGTTAAGTCCTCGCCTTGCACGCCCGGGATCCCATATGGGCGCCAGTTCTAATCCCGGCAGCCCCGCTTCCCTTCCAGCTCCCTGCCTGTGGCCTGGGAAAGCAGTCGAGGACGGCCCAAAGCTTTGGGACCCTGCACCTGCGTGGGAGACC